CCCCCCCCCTTTCCTTGGCTGATAAAGTCATGCTGGACACGTTGCCTTGCGGGAAATACCGCGGGATCGCCCCCTTGTCCCATTTCCCACGGGAAACCAGGTTCAAAACCTCGCTGGGGGGACCGGGAAGTGGAAATCTCATGAATTCCCAATCCCAAATGAGAACTGACCGGCTCGCATGCTTTCCACGTTCTGTATTTGGCGGTTGCCTTCTTCTCCACCGAGTGTATCAACCCATTCCATTGCATGTCCTTCACCCATCCCCAGGTCCACCCATTGCTGCCTCCCTGTCGAGCGAGACCGTTCCCCCATCTAACCATTCCAGCCCATCATGCGTCTCCTCTCCCTCCTCGCACTCATCTGCGCCATCGTCCTCGCCGTCCTGAGCGGCACTGAAACACGTGCCAACCCGGACGTCACTCACAAGGTCTACTTTGACATCAAGCATGGCGACAAGGATGTAGGGCGCATCGTCATGGGCCTCTACGGCAAGGTCGTTCCCAAGGTGAATGCAGGACAGGATCAGTTTTTCAACGCGTTCGAAATTGTGTTCCGTAGCTGACGGCTGTTTGTCTGGGCAGACCACCGAGAACTTCAGGGCCCTCGCCACCGGTGAGAAGGGGTTTGGATACCAGGGCTCGGCCTTCCACCGTGTCATTGCCAACTTTGTGAGTAACTTGGATTTTATCCAAGAATATTCTTTCCACTCATTAAACATCGTTTTCTACACCATTTCGTTCTGAATCGATCAGATGATCCAAGGAGGCGACTTTACCTCCGGTGACGGCCGGGGCGGCAAATCTGTATGCGATAGACCCATATTCCACGGAAACCTGCATATTTGTCTCAATCTTCTGACATGCTGCCGATCCTTTCTATTTTGCAGATCTACGGTCCCCGCTTCGAAGATGAGAACTTTGACCTCAAGCACGAAGGCCCGGGTACGCTGTCCATGGCCAACGCCGGCCCGGGCACGAACGGCTCGCAGTTCTTCCTCTGTACCGTTAAGACCAGCTGGCTCGATGGCCGCCACGTCGTCTTTGGCCGTGTACTTGAAGGAATGGATGTCGTTTCGTACATCGAAAAGGTCCCCACCGGCCCGCAGGACAGGCCAAAGGAGAAGGTCCTCATCGTCAAGTCCGGCGAGCTCCCAGCCGATGCAGGTGCCAAGGAGGTGAGAGACGAGCTGTGAAGATCCCAAGTCACAAGGCAAAGGTCGCTCTCCCTCTCCCATTGACGCCAAAAATCGTGAGGGTTTAGATGAAGGGCGGCTTTGGACAGTGCGAGCCTGCCGCGCCGGTGCACGCGATTCAGGATGAACGGCACGCTGACTCCTTCGTCCCTCTGTCTCTATTTTGTACAGCAGTCCTGAATGGCGCGCATGCGTACATGCGCGCTGCTTGCTTGACATCTTCGTACTTTGTAACAAAGAGAAGCATTCTGCAATCGAAAATAAAATACAGTGGACATGCAATGCAATACGAAGGCTGTCATTTTGCTCCAGGTCCAAGGAAGATGCTGACGAGAGATCAATATGCGTGACGCTGGACCAAACGCCAATGGAGGCATCGTAATGATATGCTCTCCCATTTTCCTTCACTGTCCACCTCCAAGTCTCCCGCCCCAGCCCGCATCCTTGGAAGCAGGCGGGTCGAATTGCTGCTTGCCAGCCCATCCGCCGGCTCCACCGCCGCGGCCCTTTCCACCTTTCTTGCTGCCGCCGCCACAAAGTTGCTGGTGCTGGTTCGGTTGCGGATGCAAGCGACCGCCACCACTGACGCCGCCACGGCCAGCGCCACCGCCGCGCAATGGGCGGCCGTGCTGCGGCCCAGGGGGGCCGGCGTACGCTTGCCACGCCCCTTGTCCTGGTCGGGTATTCCACTGCTGTGGCACTGCGCCTGGGAAGGTACCGCCAGGCGGGCCGCCACTCAGATGCGGGTGCTGTTGCATTGGCGGAGTGTGCCATCCTACCGGGCCCCTCACCCCAAGTGCGTGTCCGGGTCCGCTTGCGGTTGGAAGAACGGGGCCCCATGCTTGCGGATGCATTCCTGGAGGACCAGTAGTAGCCGGCGGTGCGCCATGCCAATGCTGCGCAGGTGGCATGCCGTGTTGTGGACCACCAGGGTGGAGCATGGCAGGCACAGCCGGTGCCGGCGAACCCGTTGTACCTTCGCCAGCAGCAGCGGCGGTAGCAGCAGCAGATACGGTGGGTGGAGGCTGTAGAAGAGTACCGGACGCTTTGAGCGTGTTGAGTAGCTGGTCCACGACAATCGGGTTTGCGTGCAAGAAAGACTCGAGCTGCGGAGTGCCCATTTGCTGCAGTGCTGCCGCTGTTGGTGGCGCCAATTGGTTCCCTAGTGTCGGCGCCGGAGCATTGACCATGTGCAGGTCTTGTATTCGGCCTGCAACTGTAGCAGTACCATCGCTACCTTCAGTACTTGGTGGTGCTTGTCGCGGGATAGTGGAATCTGCAATCGCACCCTTGCCGACGGCCTTGAGCAGATCCTGCAATGCAGCTCCTCCACCCGGCAGCGCGGATGTCAATCCGGGTGCAGGTAGCGGTGCAGAAACTGGTGGCCGTCTGCGCGCCGCCAAATCTGCCTCGAGCGCGCCCTTGTTCAACACTGCGACTAGCAAGAACAGGTCGTTCTCGCGGCCTTGTCGCACGAATCGCGGAGGCCGCAGCAAATCCAGCCAATCGGGAACTGCGTCGTCTTTAAGCAATGGCGCAAGGTAAAAGTCTTTGATGACCTTGCCCCGCGCAGACGACGCAGCTGGGATTACGGCGTATCGTTGGCGGCTGCGCATAGATGCTGCGAACTTCTCGTAGCTGGTTTTATTGGCCGACTCAGTGAGCGGCGCCTTTTCGTCGGCGTTGGCCAGCGCACTGAGCTCAAAGCTCATGTCGAATACAAGCACGATGACCTCCGTCCGTGCAGCGTGGAAGCACTCAACGAGGTATTTGCACGCGACGTGGGTGGGGAGACGGCCTTCAAGCTCGATGTGCGGAGCTGTGAAGAATCGATCCCAGACGTCTTGCTCCGCGCCGAGCGGACGCCCTGCAATCTGTCGCGCAGTGCCACTGAATGTGGCCTCTTCAGGCATGGTAAACGCGCCGTGCCAGATCGGCCCAGATGGCAAATGCAGCTTCGGCTTGGGTTTCTCTTGCTCTGCTTTGGCGTCGCTTGCGGCAGTCAAAGTACGCTCGGGATGAGAGTCGTTCAGGGGATCGGATTGAGACGCGTCAAGGGCATCCATGATGTCGTCGGCGTTGACGGCGTTTGCTTCGTCGAAGGGATCTCCGTGCTCCTCATGCACATCCTCCATGGCGCCTCCGTCGACGATAACTGCCATGTCGTCATCTCCCAGTTCCTCTCCCTCGACGTGACTTCCTCTGCTTGCAAAGATGCTGTCCATATTGAACTCGGTTTGGGCGGACGTCGGAGACATGATGCTGGATGTTGACCTGCGCGGCGCCGGTAGAGCTGCTGGAGCTGACTGTGGTTGTGATGACGTCCCGAGACTGCGTTCTGGCGTTCCAGAGTCGGCTCGATCGGGTGGTGGCGAGCCGCTGCCAGCGAAGGTTGGAGTGAATGGCGTCGAAGGGCTTTGCATAGACGGAGACAGCACACCTTGGTCCATGGTGGTGATCTTGCGACCTTGGCCTATCGGGCCGTGGGAGCCAGGGTTATGCTCTTCGTCGTGGCGTTTTTTGTTGCTGTCTTCATGGCGCATCTGATTACCAGCTTCGAACTCGATGTCTTCCTCGCCCTTGTGAGTAATCTTGCGCATGGGCCCTGTCTCTTTCTTGAGAATGGATTGCTCAAGCGCCTCCCGCTTTGCCTTCTCGACGGCAAGGCGGATGGTGTCATTCGCCAGCTCGTCAGACGGCAGAGTCGCCAACTTCTCACTCGGCAGCTGATTCGATGCAATGCGTACATGTAGCGAATGGTTATTCTTGTCTTTGAGGTTAAAAAGCACTGTACGGAGGCGGTCACGGTACGCTTTGCCTGCTGACGGGGCTTTCGTCTTTGGATGTGGCTCCGCGTATGCTGCCCACATCGCTGCCTCAAGCCCAGCACTGTATTCGGAAGCTCTCTGCTCAACGGGCATGAGAAGCATAGCCGTATCGACAGATATTGCGGACGGGGACGCGATATCGACCTTTGTTTCTCGCAAGATCTGTTCTAGCACAGCATTAAACTGATTCATAGCATGCATGCGCACAGGATCCAGGCTTGATGCACTCTTTTGCTTTTCCTGACCCTGGTCCTGAGCGTGCGGTTTGGAAGAGGCAGTGAATGATTTTGCAGCCACTGGGGATGTAGACTTGGCTGGCTGGCCTGTTGGGCCACCAGCTTTCTTCTTTGCTGGTCCCCCAATGTCACTTTCGGATGACCGTTTTTGAGCCGTTTTCGCCGGTGCTAGAGCCGTGGGCTGCGGAGGCTCAAGCAATGCATTCGGTTGAATTGGACTTGCTGCCCGTTGCTCCTCTCCATTAATCGGTTCTGTCAATATGCATAATGATACCTTGTTAGCGCGGTAATCAGACGAAAAGCAGCGGCCACCTGGATCCCCGGAACATTCGGTCGAGGACTGGACTGGTGACTTTCGAATGACGCTGATGAGCGCAATCCAGAAGTATCACGTCTCTCAACGTCCAGACACGTAGCATACATGCATTTGCCATGGCAACGCACCCTTGAGCAAGGTTCTTGCCCCAAACAGTTTCGGAGCGGTCTCCAGGCCAGCCCACACGGTAAAATCGACTTACCCTCCACCGCAGCAGCTCCGGCTGACTGCTCTCCCCCACACCTGAAGCACGCGTATTCTTCGATGGCCTGTGCATCTTCGAAGTTGAGTCCGAGACACTGTGTGTGATACCTGTTCAAGGCATTCAAAAGGATGAATGCGTCAGTAAACAAACTCGTGTAGACGTATGCTCTGCCTAGGTACTCACCATTCGTCGCACTTGTTACACTGGATCATTGGGGTGCCATCATCCATGCCTCTGCAAATGCAATACTGCTGCATCGATGCAGGGTTGAACGCACCCATCGCCTCAACCGCAGAGGCATTGCCCCCGCCGAGGTTGGTGGCACTCTGGTCATCAAGCTGAGCCCAAGGAGCCTCGGAAAACACACCAGGAGTGCCTCCTTCGGCATGTTGCTCCTCGGAGCCTGCCATCACCATCATACCTCGTCGCCCGAAGGCAAGAGTCGCTTCTGCGTTTCTCGAGCCCAAAGCCACGCTCGCAATGGGAGGACTGATCATGCGAGGCAGCAAGCACGGCTGGACCAATGGATGATGGGCCTCCGAATCACGTTCCTTCAGAAGAAAAAATGGGCTCTGCGCCAGATCTAAACCAGAGTAACCGCTAGCACCTTTTCTATGCACTTTCGCTAGAACTTTTCAACGCTCCAGTGATGACACAAAGGAGCTACGAGCAATGCACAAGTACAAATGGAACGGATGCAATGGTCGATGCGATGTTGCCATGGAGGGGGTGGCCTGGTGATGGTGGTGAAGAACGAGAGAGATTTTGACTGCGCCGCGCAATTTTATATTACGGGGATAAGAGAACCCTCTCAAGGTTTGGGTGTGAAACAGCGGAACAGCGGAACCAACCGAGGAAGGGACGGCTGGGTGCCACTCTCTCTGAAACACAAGCGAGACGGGGCCAGCAGCTCTAACAACCTGCAAGACGCAGGAACAGATAGATGACGAGCAACGCGACATGGTTCCGATGTGTCCCTCGCGAGCCAAAGGACACATGGTAAAAGGCAACACGACCTGCGATAGTGCGATAGACACGGCAATGATTGACACATGCCGGCTAAGAGCGCAAGCAACGAGCAACGCGCGGAAGCGATACCTCTGAGGACGATGCAGCTGCCGCTCCCGGATGGACCTGGCGGTGGGTCCTATGATTGTCTGCACTACCGACTACGGTGCCGAAGCTGATCGGCGAAGTTGCTCTTGCGCTCTTTTTGGCTGCTGAAGTTGCTCCAGACTCGCTAGCACTGCTGCGCCTGTCCACCAGCTTCTTTCTCTTTGGTCTGCTCAACAACTCGCTCTACGTCGTCATCCTGACTGCCGCCCTGGAACTGCTCCCCAAAGGCGTGCCGACGGGCGTGGTAGCTTTCGCCAACATTTTCCCTGCTCTGATTGCCAAGGTTCTTTGGCCATACGTACTCAAGGGACGCGTCCGATACACTAAACGAATATGGAGCTGCTCGGGTATCAGCTTTGTTGGCATGCTGGTGAGCTGCCTCCTATTAACGCGTGGTCTCGATGAGCAAGTCTGAACTTCATTTTCACAAATTCTGTGCGCAGATGATCGCAATGTTCCCAAAATTGACGATCAGGCTCACTGGGATTGCGCTCGCAAGCTTCTCTAGCGGCCTGGGAGAGCTGACGTACTTGCAGCTTGCAACGCGATACAAGAGCTCAGCTGGCCATGGTGTTGGCTGGTTCGCGTCTGGGACAGGGGCGGCGGGCCTTGTTGGCGCATTGACTTGGTGGATTGTTCGTCCACTCGGCGTTAGACTCGGATTGAGCATTCTGAGCATCTTACCGTGGTTCATGATCGGAACATACCTGCTCGTGTTGCCTTCCCCAGAGGCAATAGGTGCAGGCCCTACGGGGGGAACTTATGCTGCTGTGCCCACAGGTGTAGAAGGAGAAGAGGAAGACGCGGCTGTCGGCATCGAAGGGCCATTAAACGAGCAAGAGGAAGATGAATATCCGGTACAGCTTGCGGAAAACGAAACCATCACGTCACGCAAAACGGTCAAACTCGCTTTTGCAAACAAAATGACCCTGCTGCGGCCAATGCTGTTTACATTCATTCTGCCCCTAGTCATGGTATACTTTTTCGAGTACACAATCAACCAAGGTGTGGTGAGCACTTCTTTTGCCCAAGACACCATCATGGTTTCACAGCCCTGACACGCCTCGTGCGTAAACATAGGCACCAACGCTTCTGTATCCGTTACCCAAAGGGGGCGAACATCCCCTACTTTCGCTGATCATCAAAAAACTCAGCGACTACTATCCACTCTAGTGAGTTCGTATTCCCTACTCTTGAAAAATATCTTGCTGACATGCACACACCAACTCCGACAGCCAATTGACGTATCAGACGTTCGTCTTTCTGAGTCGTTCATCGATCTCCGTATTCCGACTGCCTGCAATACCCAAGTCATGGCTATGGGCACCTGCTTTTGTACAAGGCTTCCTTCTCGTGATTTTGACCACAGAGAGCCTCTGCAGCTGGTTCCGAGCAAGTATTGCAAGTCCCATTAGCATCGTGCTCGTATGCGTTGAGGGGCTTGCTGGTGGTTACTCCTAGTCAGTTTCCTTTCGCCCCGCCCTTGGCAACATAAGGGTCCAATGATCAAACTTACATTCCACCACTGTGTTTTACAGCGTCTCTGTTTTCTATCAGATCGGAACTACACCTTCTGCTGCAGATAACTTGAATGTGGAAGAAAGCGAAGACCCCGAAGATGCTGTGGCGAGAGCAGCACAGGAGCACGAGTTCCGCATCGGCTGCGTAGGCGTGAGTACCAGCGCGATTTCTTCTCAACAACACCCCCCGATCATCGTCCTCATTTCTACCCGTTGACTCCTTTCCGAATGTAGGTCGGAGATTCCTTCGGTATTTTGCTCGCCAGTCTCGTTGCCATTCCACTAGAATTACAGCTGTGCCACGCGCAACTCGCGCGGGGAAGGATGTTGTGTCAACAAGTCGAATAAGGCAAGCAATTGAATGGGTTTTTTAGTCTTTTCGATTTTCTTTGTCTCCATTCGGCTGATGAGGTATATGTAATAAGCTAGAAAGTAGGCTACATGCAGACTGCACTTTACGCGCACGATCCTGAGCAGCCCCCGCGGCAACCCCAGCAAGTGAGAGGTTGCGCACCGCCCTGCTTCATGAGCAGATTTGCAATCGAGGCGCCTCCTTCGCCGAGCACGAAGCCAGAGGCGACGACAATAATCATGAAGCCGGGTAGCGCAGTGTCTAAAGCACTAGGCTTCCGTGCAGAGGTGGTGGTTGATTGCTGGCCGCGCCGCACGTGGTACGCAGCGATGAGACCACCAATGAGACGCGCAATAGAGAAGTTGGGCGTGTTGAGAATCCCAACGGCAAAGGCGATGCCGCTCGGAAGGTAGTCGGCGAACGCGACCCACCTCGGCTGTTGCTGCGCGTTATTCATCTCAGTCATCTTCTTGGCCCTCGCTAGCGTCCGCACAATGCCCGTAGCCGCGAAAAGTGCTGCGGCGACGATCATGAACGTACCGACGTGATCGGGTAGGTGGCCGTGGTTAACCAGGCGGGCGAGGTTAAGCCACATGGCCGCGGTCGGTGCCGGGAACTCTGGCCCAGGGATGACATAAGCAGTCGTGTAGAGTTTGTACGCAAAGACTGAGACAAAGATGCCGAATGTGCTTCCGAGGATCTGGCCGTAGAATTGCGAGCGTGGAGAAGCACCAACGAGGTGCCCCGTCTTGAGGTCCTGCATGAGGTCACCAGCCTGCATAGCTCCAGCCTCAGCAATTCCACCAGCGATCAGGTTCGCGACGACGTTGCCCGGTTGGATGAGCGCAAAAATCAGTTGGCTGATCTTGCCAAGTCCTGAGGTGGGGTTCAGGTCTGTCTCGCCGAGTGAACGGACGGCGAGAACTGCAAGGAAAGAGGATAGCACAATGGCAAGAAAAGTCGCCCACCATGCAATCCCTTGTGAGCCGAAAGCTAGGTGAATGAGTACAATTGCCCCGGGAGTTGAAATCGCCAAGCCCCATGCTGTCCATGACGCAGGCACTAGGCGCGAGGGAGGCTCGTACTCGTCGTGTAGGGTCGGAAGCGAGGCGCCTTCTCCGCCATGGCCATCTGCGCTGTCCGCATCTCTGGAAGATGTGGGCAGCTGCGCGTAGCCGTCATGCTTCGAATGGTCGGAGAACCATGCTTGGAAATCAGCGAAGCCGTGCGCGGCGCCAAGCGTAATCAAGCCGATGATAGATTCGCTACACATGATAGCAAGCGAGACCCACACAATCCAGCCTGAATCAAAAGTAGCTTCCTGTCAGTCTAGAGGTGATGCACGAGCCGAAGCGCAGGGGTACACACCCTTTGCGCCTTCGTCCCCATCCAACGGATTCCCCTTGGCCCAACCCAAATGGGTTGCTAGCGGGCTCAGCACGCCCCACCCAACAAAGGCGCCGGCAGTCATGCTGACAGTAGTCGGTAGTCCCATGATGACACCTTGGCCAATGTAGCTAAACGATGGGGTGAACCACCAACCCCATTTGCTGGCGAGGTTGTGGTGCGGTGAGAATAAGTCAAAGACTGGGATGGCGTAAAGCACAGGAACGAAGAAGGAGACGATCGTGAATGTCGCAGAGAGGGCAAACGAGATGGAGAGTGCAATCCAGCCAGATGTGCCGTTCACGACTTCTGTACCTTCAGAAGGCATCTGCGCGGTGGTATCTGCGGACGGCTCTGCAGGAAAGCTGTGCGATTGTTGTAAGGATCTATGCGCTCGCCTTGCGCTCCTTGGTGGGCCATTGACGGCGGGCGTAGATACGGATGCGCTGCCACCTCCTATGCCCTCGCCTATCGCTAGCGGTTTGCGATGGAGCACGCTGATGAGTTGTGCTGTCGCCGTACCGCTTGGAAAGCGCAACTTCTCTTTGATGATCATCGGCAACCTCAGCGGGCTGGCGAACATGATACCAAAATATGCGCACGAGGCGGTCCAACCAAGCAGTCTCCACCAACCTAGGTCTATCGGCTCTGCACCGTCTTTCTTCGGGTCTAGCTTAGCCAGCGCAGGTAAGATTCCCACGAGCCCTGCCGAGAGTGGCATGCCACCGACGGCTACCGCTGTAGCTTGCACTACGCAGTTTTCTTGTGGCGTGAAACGGCGCCATTGCCAGTGTGACCGGTCGTTGCCAGCGAAGAAGCGGTTGCTCGTGCGCCTGAAAAATTCTATGGGTAATTCGAGTAGCCTAAACACCCCAAAGCCGATCAGCGCTGCTTGTAACGAAGCCATGGTGATCCAGCCACTCTGGAGGCCGAAGTAGGTGTTGGTCAGGCAGATGAGCGCGCCGATTGCTAGACCCACCAGCGCCGAGCGAAGCGTGAAGTCATTATTCGGCGCATCTCCCTGTAAGTCAAAAGCTCCGATGCCAGAGATGTAGTCATCCTCCTCCTCTTGATGTTCATCAACGACTCCATCACCTGTTGCGTCCAGGGATGGCAGAGAAGACGTAGGATGAGGTTGGTGAGAAAAATGCGACTGCGAATGAAAACGGTGCAGCGCTGGATCTTGCCATACTGCAGGCCCTTCTAGTCGGTCTTCTTGGTTCTCCATCTTGATGCGGCTTATACTATGCTTAGATCCGCCACGCTATCCTTGTCTTCAGTCTTGCATCCGATATCATCCCAGGAGCGCCGTGTGCGTCCGCTTTACAGGAAAAACCCGCCTCGAGCGCAACGCGTGCTTGTCGGCGTGAGCACGGCGTCCGCATACAATACCACCTGAAGAGGGTCAGCGTGTCGATTCCAAATCTCAGCTCTTCAGCATGGGCAGGCGGCAGCCAAGGTGCAAGAAAGACCGCCACGAACAAGATCCAGGTCAAAGCGTTGCATGTGTCTGTTGCGCCCGGCAATTCTTTCCTGTTGGTTGTTGTCAGCGTGTCCTCGAGAACGCCCGAATTCCGGCAATACTCTTGCCTTTTCCTGCCCACGACAGGCGAAAGTACCGTCGGAGTTAGGGTATTCAACCTCTTTTCCCCGCACAAGATCCGGGGAAAAGGCAGGCCCTCCGGTTAATCAATGCAAATACCGTCTCAACTAAGCCAGTTCTTGTTACGCCCGATCTTGCCGCTTGGCGCCCTCCGCGAAAGCCGAGGCGAGCAAATTACATACCGCACGTCGCCATCACCCTTGCGCCACCTCCCGCACCTTCAACTTCACATCATTGCATCGTCTCGGATCCTTGCTGTTTTGATGCCTCGAATAGGATATATAACTACTTTCCTTTCTATTCCACTGCACACACCCGTCGATAGCTGTATCCACCACTTTGAGCGTGGCCGAGACGACGTGCCTTACTGGCTACACGGATGGCGGGCAGAAGGCCAACGCCATAACCACCAGATTCTTCCGCGCGTGACGATCCATGATTCGGAGCTGAGTCTGCACACGCCTGAGAAGCGCTGGCTCTCAGGGGTATTCGCGCACTGGAATATGACATCGAGACGCTTTACTATCCTGCCGACCCTAATCCGGTGCGGTACACGTACCTAGGAGCGATATGCGACCTCTTCATTTACCCGCCGTCAAGCAAGCAAAACCCGAAAGATCCAGAGGTGCGCACCCGTGTCTCTTCATCGCGGTCTTCCACAGCCTGTGGCCTAAGACGCAACAAGGAGCGCTAGGGCTCAGCTATTGACTTGGACACAATATCGGTGCTACGTACGGCTTGACACATAGCCTATGCTCGGGCTTTGACGCTCGCTCGGACAGTTAAGCATGTTGTCGTTTCGGGAAGCACTCCGCAAGAGCAGCATGTCGCATTTTCCCATGCGCTCGCATTTGACCCAGCGCCGTATTCCCATACTGACCCTAACTTCAGACCAAGCCCTGGCGTCGCAGCGTGGCGTACAAGCCTCCAATGCGGTACAAATGCTGGCTGACGGCCCCGGCCGCCACACCACGCTCTCGTCCGTTTGCATCGCGCGCGCAAAGATTGACACCTTCACAACAAAGGCAGTCGGGGAGGACCAAAATGACGGGGATCGGTTCAAAGATGTGGCCAAGCTCTTGGAGGATGTCGCAAAGCAGATTGTATCGACTGCGCAGAAGTGGTGCAAGCAGGCGAAATGCATCTGCAAGAGTGGAAAATATGTCTCCTTTCGAAAGGCTATGTTGCATGATCGTAGAGCTTCGACTCGCGCAGCCGCATCTGTGCTTCCCGCAAAGCCCCCATCGTGGCTCCGGCGACAGCTCCAAGACTAATGGCTCTGATTGATGTAGGCGGTGGTATTCGGCCTTGAGGCACAACGACATCAAAGGAGGAACGCATCCGGATCAGATGCCTGCCACCAGAAGAAGACGCAATGGCTTACACTCACACAGAGCGACGGCTGCGAAAGCAGTCACGCATCCCGCTAGCGTACCATCGATCCATTTCCCGCCGACAGCCTGTCGTTGATACCACGCGGCTTCGCTCCACCAGGGCACATTTTGTGGCATTTGGCCACGTTCCGTAGATTCAAGATGGTCTTGAAACTGCGGCAGCTCGAGCTTCTTCACGTCTGCTGAGGTAACGTATGTCACACTCTGCACCCCTTGAGACTGTAACTGCTCCAGGTGCTTCAAATCTTCGTCTGTGTTGTATGTCGCAAGGGGGTAGCCTATCCCAGGTGGTAGTGTGTCCGGGCTGGTGGTTCCTCCGCTCGCAATCCCGCGCATACTTTCCAAGCTCGCCTGTAGTGCTTCCATAGCAGTTTCTTCCAGGCTGAGCGTGGGAGGCTGCGAGGCGAGCTCCGCAGTACCGCCTGTTCGACTTCGCTCGAGTTGCAGTCTCCGACGCCTGTACTGTCGCTCAACTCGTAGTTGTTGGACATAATTGGCCAAGGATAGCCGCCCAGCTCCGAAAGCTTCGTCTAGAGCCATAAAAGCAGTGACCCAGGCCGAGAGCCTCAGGCCCGTTGCGAGGCCTCCTTTGGCACCGGCGAGGAGTACCTTGTAGTTCTGCGGGGGAAAAAGCGCAGGATCACGGTGAAAATGTGAGAATGAGGGGCTGGGATACGAGTAGCACTTCTTATATTTGAACAGATCCACCTTTGTCTTATTGTAGAAGTACCATCCTTGGACGGTCTCGGGCCTTCGATGCGCGTTCTCGGCCATGAACACTAGGCTCGCTCGGTTAGCTGAAGTGTAGAGGCCAGTAACAAAGCCCAGGGTAAAAGAACTGGCTGGCAGCGTGACGAAATGGGGCGGTAAGGTGTTTGGATCGCCTCGCGCGTGCGTTGATGTGCATAGCACCGGCGGCGGAGGCCGTGGCGAAATCATTGCATTCGATGCGTTTGGCTCATACTCGCCCGCCTCTGCTACAGATAGACCGTCCGACGGCGACCGGCTCCGCGATGCCAGTGAATAGTGTGAGCTACATTCACCCTTGTCTTGGTTGGAAAATCGTCGCAGCGCCGCCGGCTGCAGCCAATCGGGCAAGAGATCGGACATAGGTCGGTAAGTGATAGTGGCTCGGCTGCTTTCCTTGGGTCCACGTTGAATCTTCTTCTCGCAGAGGCGTTTTCGTTGTTCTGAAGAGTACAGAGCCTTGGCCCGTGAAGTTGTTGGTGACGTGTGTAGAGTCGGCACTCACGGTGAGGGCAGAACATGGAAAGAGAACGAGGGCCATCAAAGGGCATTATCTTCCTCCAAGGGACGCACCAAGTCACCACACGCTGAGTCCACACCGAGACCCGCTTTTCTTGGACTGGGTACGCACCTCGAGACCAGTGCTTGATATCGTTTGACCACCTTCATCATCCATGACAAACTGCAGAACCAGCAATGACTCTTGGGCATACCACATGAGCACAGGCCATAGATAATTCGCAGCAGCAGTATCGGCATCAGCGCAGATCATGGCTAGCTCAACCGATCGCCCGTATTCCAAAGCTGGGCCCGGGGACGGCCACCCCTTTCGACCATACTATACGCCTCGCGAGGATGCATTTGTCGTCTCAGCGCCACGATTCAGTACCACGAATGTGTCATCCAGCGGCTCATCAACAGGCTCCAAGGCAGGTTCATCAGCATCTGCATCCGGGGTATCGAGTGCGGTATCAGGGACGCGAGGCAGCACCGGGAAGAGTCACTTAGGCGCGGGTCCACCCGCAGCAGCGCACAATCGATACTTTGACGGATCGAGTGACGAGGATTTGCTCGCAGCAGCAGCGGCCGGCTCAGGCTCTGGCGCCAGTCCGCCGTCTGGTGGTGGACTGCAAGATCGTAGGTCGCTCACCCAGATCGGTAAGGCGCTGCTCGTAGCCGGAGGACTGCAGTATGCGTCCACGCTGCTCGCCATGCCTTTCGAAGTAGGCAAGCTTCTGCTACAGATCCAATGGGCACCGAGAGAAGACGTGTGGGTCAAACACACCATTCGAGCTGGCGCCAGGGCACAACAACAGGGCGTTCTCGCATCCAACCGCAAAGCCCGCTCAGCCAAGGCAAGCGTAACAGACGAAAACGGAACGCAGGTTTGGGGAGACGAAGGAAGGATGAAACGACGCAGACTCAGTGAGGCGGGAATGGTCGCGCCGAGGGAGACAGACATGAACAATGTAGATGAACCAGAAGACATGTACGAAGGAGGCAGCCCGACAGAGCTTCTACCAGAGGCCGAAGGCGATTGGGGGGAGTTAGAGGGCAAGGACTTTGGCGGGGAAGATGACGAGGCAAGTGAATCTGTGACCAGCACTATCTCTTCCGTCGCTGATGTGCTCCACATCTACTTGCGCTTGACAGCTTTCGGACGAAGAAGATGCAGAGAAATACTTCAACGACCTATCATCACGACCGCAGCGCTCCTTTGCGTCCAGCTCCCATCAAGGCGTTAGTGGCACACGGCGAAAGGCGACAGATCAGACAGGCTACGTCATGCGAAAGAATATGTTCGATGAGGGCACGCGGCCCGAGTTTGTCATGCCCGTCGTCTTTACGGGCGGCGTATGGGAGATGATCAAGGCGGTTGCACGGGGACGCGAAGGATGGCTTGGTTTGTGGAAAGGTGCGTAGCTCTCCACAGGGTGTTCACCTCCCTTGAGCCTTGCCACCCACATACTTAGGCTTGCTCTCCCTTCCAGGATCATTCACAACATTTGTGCTTGATCTCGTAGCGGGTACCGTGCAGCCGATGCTCAGTTCGTTCCTCTCCGTATTCGTACCCGGCTCGAAATCGCTCCTGCCACTGCCTTACACGCCGAAGCCATGGCGGACGCTGTCGGTGATCTTCGCCTCGCACCTCATCACTGGCGTGCTTGTCTCACCTCTTGACTTGGTGCGCACGCGCCTCATTGCGCAGTCCACGCTTCCGCGCCATCGCAAATATCGAGGGCCGTACGATGCGCTAGTCCAAGTGCTCGAGGAGGAAGGCGGATGGAAGACGACGTACTTGCACCCACATCTGCTCGTCCCCACAATCCTTGATTACACCTTCCGTCCCTTTATCTCGCTTGCCACGCCGCTGTTCATCGACCACTATTTGCGGGTCGACCCGAACAGCAGTCCTGTGCTGTATGCGTTATGGGAGCTGATTGTCAGCACGATTGGCCTCGGACTCACACTACCGATCGAGACGGTCCGCCGGCGACTGCAGGTGCAGGCGCGCGCGGAGTGGGGCAAGAAGCCGCAGACGAAGTTTGGAAGCAGTTTAGTGGTCAAGCTGGGCGCAGATGGAACCGAGATGCCAACGACACAGTCTGCGGCGTCGCGTACGCACTCTGGGGGACAAGGTGGCGTCGATGCGCAACAATCTAACAGTAGCATCGGCAGTCACAGCGGCAGCGGCAGTCGTATCGGCATCAAAGGGCTCCGTACATGCGTCGAGACACGCCCGGAGGCGTACGCCGGCGTTATCGATGCGCTGTACAGGATCGTGACGGAGGAGACGACTATCTCGCCAAAAGCCAAAGTCAAAGCCCGGCCCGGTCTTTCGGGAAGCGCGGACGATTCTGCTGGCGTGCATACACGTGAGGGAAGCACGGCGTCCGGCGCGGGCGGCGACGGCGCACTGGAGATGGGGTTGGCCCGTTCGCAGATCCTGGCGCCGAGCGGACACAGCTCGCTGGGCGGCCTCGGGGGCCTTTACCGCGGCTTCTCGATGGGCTTTGGCGCGAACCTGCTTGTGTTTTTGCTCACTGTCGTCAGCGGCGAGCGCAATACTGGCACCGGCTGGGCCGAGATTTGAAAGCGCCCGCATCATCAGGAAGCGGCGCGCGTCCATGTGAGCAGGCAGCGTCAGGCCCAAAATTCAGGACACACCAACTCGCTGTTGTAAATTATGCAAGCACATGCAGATGGCCACCGATTTTAATGAACATTTACCCGTGAAACTGCAAAGGTGCGTGGTGTGCGGGGGGGAGGGGGGTGGATGCATATTGCTTGCGTTGGCATCGTAGACCTGCACCCACATCACCCACCGTCACGCATGGGCAGGACTCAACAGTGACAAGCGACCGCAACGGCATATCTTCCTTCCGTGCACGAGTGCGCGCAGAGTGCGTCCTCCGTCGCGAAGATACCGCTGCTGCGGCTTGTTGCAGACTCCAGACTCCGGCATGATCTCCGGGATAGCGCTCCAACGTGGCAGTGTGTATAGCCGTGCGGTGGTGGGCTTCTGCGAGTGGCACGATGCCTGGCTCATGCTTGATGTTCTATGGCCGCCTCTTCGTCTTGCCTGTGTTGGCTGGGTAGTTGAGTGGCTGCCTGAATGAATGCATGAATGAATGAATGGACGAATGCATCTGGACTCTGATGGTGATGGTGAAGGATGCTTGTCCCTCTTGGTCGGATGTGGATCGTGGCTGGGCTCGCTCCTTGGTGGTCTGTAACCTTCTGCAGGCAGGAACAAGGCAAACCTGTGGTCCGGGGAAGAGTGGTGCAGTGCCCACTTATGAACCAGAGGCCAATGGATACATCGCGAGATTCGTTCTGCTTACGTAATACATTCACGATCCCTCAATTTCCGCGGCAAAGCTGAACTCAGTCTCAGCAGCGACAGAACGCTGCGTGCTCAGCAAGCTCAGGGGCACAACTATCATCTGGACGATGAATGATGATTGCAAGGCGTTTCATATGGTCTGTGATGTAGCAACAGTTGGGTATGCTACGCTACGGTGTGCTGTGCTGTACTGTGCTGTTATGTGCTGTGCTGTGACGTGATGTGCATGTCGACGAGCGCTCGGTTCTCGCACATACCGCATCGTAGCAGGTGCATGGTGGTTGCTGTTCAAACTTGAGCTGAGCGCTGGCTCGCTACTTTGCTCGAGGCAGCGAGACGTTGTAGCTGGAGAGTCAGGAAGGCGTTACCCTCCTTGAGGCATTGGCAACATTCAACGGCGAGCGGCTCTTCGCCATCAGATCTCGAACCCTCACTCGGCATACTCTCGCTGTAACTGTGCAGGCCGTGTCGACGGCAAGGTGCAACAAGGAGCTTTCCCTACTCGCCGCCGAAGAGGACAAAGTCCTCCACCACCAAAAGCAGACATCACAAGTCCTGCGCTTGCGGACGTGGTCCCAGTCTGGAATCCAAAATGCGATTCAGTAAGGTGTCCAATGTAGCTCTAACATCGCCTGGCTCAGCTTCAGCGCCCGCACCAACATCCGGTGCAGCAGCACTACTGCTTAATGAGGATGCAGCCGCATCCGAGAACGGCAGCGGCAGCGCTGCTCCAAGACTGACGGCACGCGCGCAGGACTTGCTACTACGATTCGTGCACCTCGTCGACCCAGCACTCGCCAAAGAGGCAGAGCGAAGGGGAGGTGGTCTTGCATTCGCTTGCAATTGCGTGGCTGCCACCCAGGCTCCCGCTCAGGAGGACGAGATGAAAGCGGGAGGTAAAAAAAAGCTCAAGGAAGGGGCGATAGAGGGAGATGAATGGTTTGGCCAAAGACGGTGCAGTGCATGTCGGTTGCGTTCTCGAGCGGGAGCGGCACACGGCGCGAACCAGCCGTCGTCTAGCCCGCTATCAACAGGAGCGTCAACGCCGCAACTGCTGCCGATCGAGGATTGGACCGTGCTCTACTCGTACTCCTCTTCCTCTCTGTCCTCAAGCTCAAGCGCAAATGCCAAACCTGACGCAAGCTCAACCGAGCCGCACGCGACCGACATTGTCGTGCGTGCCAGCTCACAAGAAAGAAGCGAAGCGCCCTCAGCACAGAGTAGGGACGGTACATCAAGCACAGGCACAACGCCGACAGTGAAGAGCCTGTTCAGCGTCTCATCCACTCTCGTAGGCGTCTCGGTGCGGCAGTTCTGGGCGCTCATGGCGCACTCGGGCAACCGCGTGCTGTGGGACGGCACCTGTGAGCACGGCTGGACGGCCAGATGGCTTGGCGAAGAGCTGCTGCAAGAGCAAGCGGGAAAGGATCGCGCAAGGGAACGGGCTGCAGCCGAAGCGCTTGGCGCTAGAGTGGAGATATACAGAATGGGTGGCATGTAAGTGTCGGCCTCGTCGCCATGACGGTCTTGAAAGATTTCTGACTCGGCAATCTTTTGTACCCAATATAGATTTATGGTGGCCAAAGCGCGCGATATGACCCTGCTCTCCGTCGATGCGCGGTTGCCTTCCTCATCTGCACACCCATCGGAATCAGAGCAGCCACTCCGCCTCCTGTCCGTTTCAACTTCGATTGAAGACCCATCGTACCCGCCACAGAAAGGCTACAACCGCTTCCAGCTGAACATCGGCGGCTTCATGGTCGAGGAGCTTCCCCCGCTCCAAGTTCCCTCGTCGTCTTCAGCGCCATCTTCAGCGTCCTCGCCTTCACCCTCGCCAATGATGACGACGCTGCCGCGCATCAAAGTCACACAGGTCTCTGACCTCGGCGAGACGGCCGCATGGGTGCCCGCGAGTATTGTGCGCATGGTCGCCAGCACGCTCGTCCCGCGTAGCTTGTTCACCATCGCGCGCGCTGCAGCGGCGCTCAGTGTGCCGCGGGCGCTCGCTGAGAAGCAGGCGCAAGCGGAGACAGCCGAGGAGGCGCAAGGGGGGGGTGGCGTACTAGCAGGCGGCGTCGAGGAGCTAGCGTGCGAGCAGCAGCAACAACAGCAACATGCAGGCAAAAAGATCGCAGGCTACTGGCTCCGCAACAGGCGCTTCCCGGGCGTGCTCTTACCCGCTTGGCCACTGGAGCTTGCGTCAGAGGCACAGTGCGAAGAAGCCAAGCATACCGCAAGTGCTTCACGCGTGCTCGGCAGTGTTCAGCTTCTCGCAACCCCCGCATGCCTCGATTCGGCGGAGGAGGGGGACTCGACGCTGACAGCACCATCTGCCTTGCTCGACGATGAGCACGCTTCGACGCATATGAGCGCAACTGACGAGGACGCAGGACCCTCGGCGGGTGCTGGCGCGATGTCGAACTTCACGAATCACTCGCTCTCCACCGCTTTGCTCAGTCTCGGTCACGAATCCCACACATTCAACGACGGCGATGATGGCGAAGACGGAAATGTCTTCTCATCATCGTCGATCCCTACCAGCCCGCTTGACGGCAGCAGCAGCAGTGGTGACGGCAGCGCGAGAGGCTCACTGCATTGCACCAGCCGCGAAGTGGTCACGCGCTTTCGCAGCCGCAGCGTCGTCGAGTACAAGTCGCACCACCCGAGGGAAAATGGTCAAGATCGACAGCACCAGCAGCAGCATCAACACGAGCGGCAGCGTGTCCGCGCCAAGAGCGTCGCGTTATCCGCCGTTCTGCCCTGTCTCAACCCTGAGACAAGTGCAGAGATGGTGGCCAAATCAGTCTTTGAGTCACCCTTTATGCCGTTCCGGCAGTTTTCTTCGGCGGTAGACAACAGCCTGCGCAGCGGCGGCCCATTTTCGCATGCGCAAGCATTTGCGCCCACGTCTTCTTCGGTTACAGACGCGTCGCCCGTTGGTCTTCCCGCTTGCCCTTTGTCCCCCAGTGCAGGTGGTGGCAGTGACCACATTGCGAGTGCGAATGCATTCAACAAGCGCTCAGCCCCGTCGGCTGCAAATGAGCACGAGGATCGCGAGCGCTTCAAGCGCGCGTTACTTGAGCACCACGTCACCTTGCATAACTCTGCAGGGGTTGTGCTGAATGCTAGCAAGATGCAAGCCGAGATGCTACAGCGCGAAGCTGGCGGGGGGAACAAGCTGTTCAGTGCCGTGCCGAGCTCAGTGACGGAAGACCAAAACCCTAAGGTTGAGGAGTGGAGCGAGACCGCGAGCAGGGTGCTTGCGTCCAACCCCGAGCATGTCTTCGAGGATGATGAGGGACGGTCCGATCTTCGCAATGCAGACCGCGACGATGATGATGGCGACGACTCGCCGCCGAGCGAAGATAGCGAGGACCTAGCGCAGATGCTCGCCGAAGCACTTGATGCCGAATTACCCCAGGGCGATCTCAACGCACTGATGAATAGTGGCACCTTGCCACCATCGCGCGTGGGCAACGGCACGCGCAAGAGATACACCATGCAGCAGGCCGCACGTATGAGTATATTGCTGCTCGCCAGCGCTGATATGATGGCGCTCTCGCTTGCACCTGGTGCCAGACAGAGCATCGTATCGATCGACCAGGCTCACACGCAGGCGCATCAGGATGACATCAATGTGCTTCCGGCCCCACCCTACAATGAGCCGATAGTGTCGTTAGATCTTGAGCTTCCTCGCTCGACAAGCGCCGGCGGCTTGTCTGATCCACGGCGGTCTGTCGCCTCAGTATCCTCGAGCTACTCCTACCTCTTCAAAGGAAGGATGAAGCAGCGTTCGTTCTCCTCAAGCACCATGGCGTCCTCAATCGCGGCCCCATCGACGTCCAACACGAATGCGACTGCGTATTCTACGCCGGTGACCTCCTCGTCCGAAGGAAGCAGCCTCGTTACCGCGTCGCCTCAGCGGCAGGACAGTGCCAACTCGATGAAGACGGCGTTAGGCGCGAGCACTGGCACGAGCGTGGGTGGAGCGAAGAAGCAGATGCCACCTGGGTCTGACATTGAGATTCTGAGACGAATGCTCATTCAGCAGCAGCAGCAGCAACAGAAGGTCCAGCAGCAGCAGTCTCTAGGAGCATCGTTTGCTAGCACGCTCGCCGAGGCGCCGTACTCGCTCATGCTCTTGGGTGCTAGCATCGCTTGGTTTAGCGGGTTCAGCTCCTCCAGCAACGACGTGGTCTCCTCGACTCTCAAACCTGCTTCGCCACATTCGCCTTCGCTGCTCCAGAGCGCAGGCTTCGCGCAGCCGCAGCAACGGCGCATCAGCCGGATCCCCGACGAGCACAGCGAGGCGCGGTCGATCTCGCGCAGAAACTACGACTGCGTCAGCAACAGCAAGCTGCATCCTTTCCCAGGTTCGTACAACGTCAAACGTTTCTCGAGTGCGGCAGCAAATGCGACAGAGAAGCAGAAACCTCGTAGCATACTCCCTCGGTCGCCGCCGCAAAATCCGAGGATGATGGAGGTGGATTTCCCCAAAGCTCTTCACCAAGACCTCAGGGACCTCGATCAGGGTGCACAAAGCCTTTGAATCAGCCAACTTCGACGAGCCAGCCCTATACCCTAGCCTGGCTTTCAAGCTTCATTATTTCATCTCCCTGAATATAATGCTTCACTCCACTCCCATTCCAATCCTGCAAGGTGAACCCCCAATGTACTTTTACATTTCTCACACATTTCACATCATGCAGCACGACCATTCAGCCCAGGCAGGCTAAGGGCCGTCGAAGTAAAGCTCTCGGGCTCCTGTTTCCGATCAAACTCGGAGGAAATGGAGCAGATATGCGAAATTTCAAATCGCTAGGAGGCTCCGAGATTGTGGCAATTCATGACGAAGTTCGTCAAGACGCTGAGTTGACATGGAAACCTCTTCATCGGCCGTGCTACGTCGATGTTCTTTCTCTTGTCACTACCTTGCCATTGGATGGTCTCGATGGTAATGCAATACAAGACGAGGCAGATGTAATGCGCTTCAAATGCATGGTCGGCCCAGATGGGCCTAATATGTCGCGTCGCAAGAAGGATGCAGAGCGCCATCGCCTGTCGTCCAAACAAAGGAGCCTTGCAATCTCGGCAGCGACTTGCGAGCTCAGGCAAAACCTCCCAAAGTGATTCGACCCTCAACCCATAGCCGTGGATCCGAAGCGCCCGAGTTGGGAGGTGATTGCAGCCGAAAGTCGTTGGTTTCCTGTCTGCAGCGACTGAACGAGCAGATTGAATAGTCATTCGCAGATCACATCCACGGTTCAGTAGACTCGAGCACGATGCGATGTGTAAATTACGATGGTGTGGAGTGTGCATCGTCGTTACAGGCTACATACTTGCTTAGCAAAGCGACCGTAGCGTAGCGTCAGTCGACGCAGTGACAAAAGAGTCGACGCGGCGTACACTAGCTACACCAGGCTGAAGGGAGCACACATACATATGAATACAAGGGCGCGTATAACGGCACGCATGGTACACGGATGGCAGCGAGGGTTTCATAGCAATTGAAAAGCTGAGCACGGTCACTGGCGACGAACCTACAGCAGCATGCCGTCTATGTTGAACCTGCCCTTCCAGGCACACGTCGACACGATGACCGGAGAACACCGTGCCTCCCATCTGGGCCCGACGTTCGCTGGCCCTCGATGGGCCATCTACTCGCACAGCTGGCCTGTTACGACGCAGCAGCATCAGGCGTCCAGCTCTACGAGTCTCTCGCAGCGTTTTCGCAGGGCGGTCCTCAAGAATGACCTGCTGCTAGCCAAGCGAATTGCATCCAAGGCTATTGCCCTCTCCACTAGCACGGCCCTCGAAGCAGAGCAGCAGCAGCAGCATTGGCTCGACCGGCAATTCGACTTAGAGACACGGCGGCCGTCGACACACACCGTTCGAGCTTTACCGTCGTCCGCGTCGGGGACAATATCGCCAAGCGGGAAAGAATCACAGCCACCACGCCGATCGCCGCTAAAGCTTCCGGTGCTCACTCTGCAGGAGGCGAAACAAGCGGATGTGCCTGTGCGAGAACGAGCGCTACTGCGGCACAAGGCACTTGCGCAGCAACCGTTTGATATCAAGAACATTGACCACACGGCTGCGGCTGGGAGCTTTGACGCCAAGTGCTCGCTTGCGCTTGCGATTGAGTCCGGTGCGGATATCGAGCTGATTCAATGGCTGTTGGATATGGGCCATGAGGCAGAGGAGCTGAGTCGCGTGAGTGGAAATGCGTGCTGCAGAGTGTGCTCAAAAAGTCGCAGCATGCTCATAGTGAGCAAGTTGCACTAAATGGCTAACAGGACGCAGATAACAATTCGATCGTCACTATCGCTGCGCTTCACAATCGGCCCGATGTCATCGAGCTCTACATCAGCCATCCTACCATCAGTGGAATCGACCTGCTCGACTGGAGCAACACCAGCCTGGGCCAGACAGCCCTGCATCTCGCATCTATCAAGGGCCACGAGGAAGTGATCAGGGTGCGAATGAATGGCGCACCGCCGCCTGACAAGAGTAATGGACATGAATTGATGTTGATTCCTACTTGCCGCTAGCTTCTCCTGCATCTGGGCGCGGAGGTCGACATGCCAGATCGAGAAGGCAACGCCGCGCTGCACTTGTGAGGGCTGAAACGATTCCACGGTGTAATCGTGCGATGCTGCAACGTAAAGTGTATCGCTGACCAATATGCAAAATGCAACCCACAGCGCCTCTGCTTGGGGGCATTTGACCGTGGTGCAGCTGCTGATCGAGCGTGGCTGCGCCTTCGCCGTTAAAAACACCGCCGGCTTCACACCCGCGGACTTTGCCTACTCGCACAGCGTCAAAGCCGCGCTGGAAGCCTTTGGGCGCGTGCAGCACGAGCTGCGCCGACGCCGCTGGCGCGCGGCGTCGTCGAACCACTCGGGCGCCAGCACTGAGGACCTCGGCTTGGCGCAACTTCGGACACACACGCAGGGACAGGGCTCAAATACTTCGCCGCGCATGTTCGACGACAGCGTGCTGTACGAGGATGACCTCGAAGAGATGGGCTCCTTTTCGCACGGTGGCTCTTTAAGTCGCAAGAGCAGCAATTCTGACGCCGCAATGCCGCCCAAGGTCGAGCGGCTACTTGGTACCGCACTGCCCAATGCAGCGCATCAAACTCCTGCTAGCCAGGCCGGCAGCGGCGGCGGCGGGGGGAGCAGCTCGACGTTCAGCGGCAACTCGCCTTTCTTTCAGCCCCAATGGCAGCCATCGACTTCCTCTCCTCGCGGCTTTGCAGCGCGTTCGGGCAGCATCTCCGACACAGGCTCCGTGCCGCCCCTTCCGCTGGGGATAGCTCGACCTCAACTCAACCCGTATCCCCTGACGCCCAATACGCGTCAAGCGGACCCAAGTACGCCTATGAAGCACAGCGGCCCGCTGCCGCAGCCGGTGCGCGAAGACTCGATTGGCAGCAGTCCGGGCATGGTGCCCTCTGCATCATCGGCATCGGTAAGCTCTAACATGGGCTGCATCGCGAACAAGATGATCCTTCAGGATCAGGCCGCAATGAGCTCGTATCTCAGCAGGGCCAAAGCAAGTTCAGGCGGGTCCAGACGGAACTGAGGTGGGGTAATTACAACGGTGCAATGCAGTTTGTATATATGTGTGTGTGTGCTTGCGTGTGCGGTTCCTGGCTTTATGCGAAACATCGATTGAACAAAGAGTTCAACGTTCCCTCAAAGTGTTGGGGATATCCAGATCAGCAGCGTAGCGCGCCATGTCTGCGGCGGGCCGGTTAGGATCTTCGTCAGGCGTCCAGCCACCCTGCGGTGCTGCGCCGCGGTAGCGGCCCTCTGCCCAACCATGCTGACTGCGCATGCCGACGGCATCGGCGATCTGAGCGACTCCTTGCTCGGTCATCGCGGGTGCTACCGGCGCTGCCTTGCCCCTCACCGGACTGCGCGCGCGCGGTGTGCCCTCTGCGCTGTGAATGGGTGCCAGTTGCAGCGCTTTGGCTTGCCGCAATGCGTCCATGTACGGCTGGTCCAGCCCTTCGCGGACGATATGCCTGCGGCCATTGAGCCATCTGGCGACGCGCGCAAGATCGCGCTGGCTGAGCTCCTGCTCTGCATGCTCGCGCGTCAGCCTGGCATGGTCTTCATGCTGGGCGTTTGCTATGTTATCATCATCACCATCCGCGCCCACCGTTACAGCGTCAGCAAGCTCGGCTGCGTCATCTAATACGGTCGTATCGCCCTCTCCCTCGAGCGCGAGGACCGTCCAGCCGATTAAAATCATGCCGGGTGGCCGCTGCTCGCCTACATGCTCGATGGCTGCGACGATGCCTTCGAGCGTACTCGCGATGACACGCTGATCCGCCGAGGACGCTCTCTCGACAATTGCGATGGGGAGGTACGGCGGGAAAGGCGCGCCATCGCGATCAGGGTCCTGCTGCGCTTCGTGCGTGGATGGGGAACGACCAGCTGGCCGTGTGAGGATGTCAACGACGGCTTGCAGCCGTGCGACGCCCATGAGAATGACGAGGCTGCATCCGCGCTCGTAGCCGGGCAACTTGACCTTTTTGCCTCCCCTGCCGACGCCAGTGCAGAGGACCAAGCTGTCTGCAGCGCCGCGCTGCGTGACGGCGATGCCAAGCATGGCCGGCGCAGCGAGAGCGCTGCTGATACCCGGCACGACGGTGCTCTCGATGCCGGCCTTGCGGAACGCGAGCACCTCCTCTCCGCCGCGGCCGTACACGAACGGATCTCCTTGCTTGAGCCGAACGACCGTCTTGCCCTCGTGCACAGCGGCCTTGAGTGCGAGCGCGATCAGCTCGGACTGCGCGCCCTCAGCGTTGCCAGGGAACTTGCGTGCAATGACCAGTGGAGTCGTCGGCGGGATGAGCGAGAGGATCGCGGAGGGGACCAGCTTGTCGGAAAGCACCAGATGCGTCTCGGGCGATGTCAGGAGGCTGTGTGCGAAAAGCGTCAGCAGTGCCGGATGCCCCGGCCCCGAACCGAGAATGTAGATGTGGCCCTTCGCGGACGGCGGCTGCGGTGGCGGAGGTGGGATGATGAGCGAATGCTGTGACGGGCGCCGATGCGCCCACGAGCCGCCGGCGCTAATCCCCACTTGGCCCGCTTCGGCCTCGTCTTCATCTGCCTTTGGGACAGAGCGAGCAGACCTCCCTCGACTGGAATTTTCATCTGCTCCTGTGACGCCTTCTTCACCGTGTGACCCATTAGCCGAAAACGCAGCCTTTCTTGCAGCTTCGCCCTTGTCTCCGTATCCTGGTCCTTGCTTAGCCTTTTGCGCTCCAGGTGTGCCTTGCTCTTCGCGCTCGTGGTACTCGTCGAGCAACGCGACCATGCGCTTGCGGTTGAGGTTGCCGAGGTAGTCGATGGGCCAGTACTCGCTCATCTGCGCCACCCAGCGCATGCGCCGGCGCGTCCTCTCGTCACGCTCTGCTTCTTCGCGCTGCGCATCCCCCCGCTGCCGCGCGCGTACTAGGACAGCAGAGCAGTAGCTGCCCGACGGGTCGGCAGCGGTTGAGCAGAGCTGCGCGACGGGCAGGTTGAGTGGCACCGGGTCGAAGCTCTCGTCGTCCTCTTGCAGCGCACACAAGTCCGACCCTGAAGCTTCGGCGGCCCCCCGTCTGCTGTTACCACTTACGCCCCCACGACTGCGACTACCGCTGCCCCTGCGACCGCGCTGCTGGACCTGATCGTGGTCCTTGGCGAGAGCGCGGAGCATGCCGACGTTCTCGACGGCGTCGGCGACGTTGCGCGGGAGGAGCGTGACGACTTCGCGGCGGATGCGCCCAGCCAGACGACAGCCTTTCCCGTTGGTTGTCACGGCGATCTGCAGGCACGATGCGCGCGGGCGTGTGGGCGTGGACAGCGAATCCGTGTCATGAGCTACCGCCGGTGCTACTGCGGAGAGCGCAAAGCGGTGCGTGGCAGGGAAACTAAAATCGCACAGCTCTGGATGATCCGCGACTGTCAGCGGGATGCGGCGTGCGCGGCAGAGGCGCGTGAGCAGGTGCGCTTGCCGCAGCATAGTGCTGCTACCGTCTCCAAGGATGCTTTCGGCGCTGGCGTTGGGATGCCACGTAGGGGGAGGGGTGGAGGAAGTGTGCAAGGTGTTCGTGATGCACGCTGCGAAGATCTGCGGGGGAAGGGCTGAGTCCGGTGACGAGGATGGCTGCCGGCACGAGGCCTCATCGGAGGAGCAAAGCTCTGCATGGATGCTAGCCGTATAGTCATCTGCCAGCTGCTTCTGATCGAGCCCATCCGCATTCGTGGGTGCAGGAATGCGGTCGAGGGCATCGAGTAGCTTTGTCCATAGCGCTTCCTCTCCTCCTCCTCTTCCGTCTTCATCAGTGTCGAAAATGCTCTGCTGCTCTTGCCCTTGCTCTTGCTGCTGCTGCTGCAGTAAGCTCGAGCGCGAAAAACGCCGACGCGCTCGAGTGGCACCGAGAGAGAGGAAGCTGCATTCGCCAGCGTGCACGCGGTGCTTGATCTCCTCTGCAACATCTGCTGTGTCCATATCCTCGTCGGACCGCCCGGCTGCAGCTGCTCCGAGCTTGGCTTCTGGCGCTGGCGGAGCGACGACGACGGGCCACGCCCCGGCCTCGGCGCAGGCATAGAGGCGCGAAGCGGCCAGGCGCGACGTGCCGATGATGAGCACTGTGCGTCGTGAATAGCCTGCCTCTGGTGGCAACCTTGGCGAGTCTACTGCTAGAGGACCCGACTGATGCATACGGTGCGCGAGGAGGAGCGATGCCCCTGGCTGGGGTGCTGGGAAGGCCATCGTTGCGCGGGTGCGACACGTCAAGCTGGGATGGAATGAGATGGGATCAGATGAGCTACCAGTTCCGGGTTGGCTTGCACAGGTGGCAAGCCTTTGGTGTTCAATTATGTTCGCCCGTTCCTTCGCCCCGCCCCCTTAGACGTCTCTTCCGCGTACCGTTCGCAGCGTCTTTAGCCAGATGGACGGGGGAAGTCGCAATGGTCACGCCAAGCGTTTTTCTCCACTGACAAGCCCAAAAGAAAACCAAACGGTGACGGTGATAAGATGGTGGCGTTCTTTCTTTTTAGTTTGGTGGCAGAATATCTCTTGGAACAAAAGAAAGAGTCCCCAGATTCGGTGCAACCGCCCAAAGCCGGCCGATCGAGCCGTTGTCCTTTTCTAGGGTTGCGAACCCCCCCCCACAAGGACGGGACGTGGACAAGGACACTTCCATCCATACATGCGACCGTGGGTGGATAGGATGACGCTACAGCTGCAGCTAGGGAGGTCAGACGGAGGTCGAAACTGAAGCATGCAATATGGGACGCAGCGAGCAGGCGTTGCCCTCGCTGCTCGAGCGGCAGACTAAATGGTTTTCCTGAATAAGCAATGCCATCCTTGCACGCGGGGCATTTGGAAGCGCTGCTTGTTGCGATGCATGTCCTACATATGCACTGTTGTCCTGGCCAGCTGGCTGGCTGCTTGCTGGGTGTGGGCGCGCGTGTGGGACATGGAGGTGAATATGGGCACTGCGCCTGTGTGAGCCTGGGGGCGGGCGACAGCTGGGAGCGAAGCGCATGTTCGTTTGGCGGCCAGCTACACCAATCCACCCATCAACCATCACCACCACCACCTTTCGCACCCTCCCTCCATCCCGGTGTGGTCTCATCGCATCGCAACTTTCCAGACCAACCCGCTCTGTTTACCTGCATCGACAGCGTACACCCGCTGTGTTTGAGAGCGAGAGAGCGAGCGCAGAGAAACCTTTGACCGGGACGGAGGAGACTCGCCGCGACGACGACACGCAACACTACACCCTCATCCCCATCATCGTCTTGATCGTGCGCACCGGTCCCTACGGAACGAAGGTCCCGTTCGCGTTTTCTGCCATACATACATACTTACATCATCACACGCCCGCATAGGCCATATCAGATCGAGCCAGGAAAGGTGCATCCTGCAGCTCGGACACCTGCCGGACTCCCTCCCCTCTCGCTCGATTCCCCGACGCCGTTCTCACACCCGGCCTCCCCCCCCCCCTCCCCAACTCGATTCCCGCAAGGTCTCATCTTCTCAGCTGCCAAAGCGTTCTCCTGCTATTGGTGAGTAGGAGCGCTAGAGGCTGCTTTCCTACCCCGGGCAAAGGCGTGTGGAACGCAACGATGTGCACGCACCGTTGCAGGATCTTGCGCTCAGGTTTCGGTCCTCCAAGACGAGAGGCTGCTGTTGCTGCATTGCTTGTCGGGCAACGAAAGCAGGGAGCTGAGGAACAGAGGAATGCAAGAGCGGAGGAAGAATGAAAACTCTGATGCGATGCACATTCTGGGATGCCCGTCCTTCAGCACACACAGGGCTGAACTGTAACGAAGCATCAAGCTAACTCTTTTGTTCTCCCCGACGTTATTCCCTCCACTTGCTTTTGCGACACGTCGAATTTCTTCTGCTCGCAGAAGACGCACACGGGATCTTTGCCATTCCATCGCCAAACAAAGCTAGTGGTAGCACAACAAATAGCTGCTGCGTGCCGCGGCGCCAGGTCTTGCACCGATCCGTGCAAGGCAGAGGTCCAAACGCTGGCATCGCTTCGGCGCCGAAGCTAGCTGCGCAAAAAGGTGATACTCATCACTCTCCTCTCCCTCGAGACCTGGTAGCTTGTATGAACTGAGACGTGCTGGAACTCGGCCTTTGCAAAGCGTTCTTCGCAGCGAGAAAGACGCGATGACGAGCTCATCTACCGGCCCATCCCTCTTCTCCACCATCGCTTCCCTCTTCGGCGGTGTTTCTGCTTCCTCCTCCGGCACGCGCAGCGCGAGCAAGTCCAAGCAGCTGCCTAGGCGGACCGCCTTTGGCTCTGCATTTGGCAGCGGAAGCGGCGGCGGTATTGGCGAGGACTGGTCCCTTCCGTATACACACTACGGCGGCGGCCCGTCCTCGTCGATGTTCATGAACGGCGGCTCAGGCGCAGCAGCGGCTTACCCGCCTTCGCTGCCGGGCCACACAGCCGGCGGGCCGTACATGCCGGCGATCGCAGGGACCGCCAACGCGAGTCTCGCCGAGTTCACCAATGTGCACAACCCCAACGCATCTAGCTCCAACCTCGTCCAGCATGGCCCGTACTCCGCATCCGTCGCCGTGACCTCCAGCAGCAGCTTCGCGCGCTTGCGCTCCAGTTTCGGTGTCGCGCTTCCTGGCGCAGGCTTCAGCATCGCAGCCGCCGGCGCAGGCGGTGCTGCCGGCTTAGGCGCTGGATCGGCCGTGTCGTCCAACATGCCCTCTTCGGCCTACCCGCCGCTGCGGCACACGTGGCGACGCATTCGGTCGTGGTGCCGCAAGCAGTACCCGGAGTTGTGGGACACGGTCAACTATCCCGCGCTCGAGGCGGAGATCGACGAGTTTGAGGAGCAAATCGGCTTCGCACTGCCGCCCTCGGTGCGCGAGAGCTTCCTCCTGCATAACGGCCAGGAGCTGGAGAGCTACGCAAACAGCAGCGGCGGCGGCAGCTGCACCGAAGGCCTCTTCTTCGGCATGACGATGCTCTCCCTTGAGCAGAGCCTCCAGGAGTGGGGTTTCTGGCGCAGCGTAGACGATGACCCTGAGACGGGCGCCAGTGTCGATGTGCGCGGCAACATGACCAGCTGCCCCGACGGCTGGGTCCGCAACGAGTACAGCGACCGTGGATGGATCCCCCTCATCTCGGATCGGGTAGGTAACTACATCGGCGTGGACCTCAACCCCCCGAATCCTTACGAGATCGGCGATGAAAACGTCGGCGGCATAGATCGCACTGCCGTCGATGGCCTCGCGACGCGCATTGCCAACGGCTGCCTCGATGCCAATGTCAACGGCGACAGAGACACGACGGCAACAGCCACGGCGACTCCGACGCCTAAACAACAGCAGCAAAGTCCTCGCAGTGGCGGCCTCCCGGGTCAAGTGATTGTCTTTGGCCGCGACTTTGACACCAAGGTCGTTCTGTGGCGCGGCGAAGGCGAGGGCGGTTGGGGCCGCTTCCTACAGCACTTTGCCGAAGAGCTGGAGGCGGGTGAGCTGTGGACGCTCGACGATACGTCTACCGGCAGCGAGGACGACGAGGACGCCATCGGCTACGAGAACTACTTTGGCGGCGGCGGCGGCGGCGGCAAAGGCGGCGGCGACCGCGGCGGCGACGGACACGCCGGCTTCAAGCTGCATGGCGACTATAAGGGCTGGCCTGTCCTCGAGGCGTGGGCGGACCGCAGTATCAGGGCGTGGGAGGACGCTGGGTTCCAGGTCGGCCTACCTGCCAACCAAGACCCTGGGTTTTACGCTCAGTACGCTGTTGGCGGCGGCGGCGGCGCTGCTGGTGCGGAGGAAGCAGGGCCATCAGCAGTCGGCGTCGGCATGGGCGTAGAGCTAGGGTCAGATTTAGATCAGAATCCGTGCTTTGCCGGCGCGCCTGCAACAACGCCGCTGCCTGCGCTGCAGGTGCATCTCAGCGAGGACGAGGCGCATCAGACCGCTTCAGATCAGCAGCAAGAGCCGGTGCTTCTCGACCCACTCACCGAAGCTGCTAGCAGCAATGCCGAGGAGGGCAGCTCGGCAGCGGGCGCTGCGGCAAGTTCTGCGCCATCAGCAGCAGCAGTGACACCTAGCCATCACCCATTACAACAAGAAACAATCCGCACCGGCCTCCTCGTGTCCGATTCCGTTCCCAGCACACCGACTCTCGGCATCGCGCCGCGCTCGACAGATACGCTTTCACCCCCGCCGGCCAGCTTCAAGTCGACCGGGAAGCGGCGCCAGGAGTTTGGTGCGCCGTCGCGGGACAAGGACTGGGAGAGGAATGCGGGGATATTGGGACCCGGCGCGGGCGCGGTGAGGCGGCGAGCGCCGCCCCCTGCAACGGCAGCGTCGCTGGACCTGCCAACCCTCGCGGACGTGCATGCAGCACACGCAGCTGCGCTCGCTGAAGCGGGGCGCGGCGCATCGCACCAATTTGAGTTCCACCTTAAGTCAGCTGACCAGTCGATCGACTTGGAGGATAGGCACAGCGCAGATGGGAGGTACAGCACCGGCAGTGCCAGCGCCAGCGGCAGTAGCTTCTTTGGCAAAACGAGGCGCGAAGGAACTTCTGGCCTCGCGTCCAGCGGCTCGGTCTCTGCCCTCCGCGACGTCGTTGTCGACCCCGCGTCCATCAGCCCTCGACCCTCGGCCAGCGCTGAAGGCCCGCGCTTCCCTGGCTCGACGTTCATGTGCGGTGGCAGCAGCGGGACTGGCCCTGGACGCGATGGCTTGGGTTCTTTGCCCGGAACGCCGCGGCTCATGTCCAACGGCTCCGAGTCCTTTGCGGCGCTCATCGATGCTGGCTCGCAGCCGTCGTCGCCGGCGCCCGTCGGACAGGCCAGGTCGCTGAAGCTCAGCTACGTCCCTAGCACCTCGCAAGTCAGCGACTTGCCACAGACCTCGCCTTCGCTCATCCAGTCCCTCCCTGGCGGAGGCGCGCAAGGCGGCGCCGGCGCTAGCGTGGGCAGCAACGGCTTCGGTAGCGAGCACGACACGGCACGCGGCAGTCCAAAGCCACTGCTGCGAGCACTACACGGAAGCCATTCGCGGACGAACTTGATCAAAGGCGCCATGCCTTCCGTTGCATAGAATATCATTTTACAGTACTTCACAAGGCTCGTGGTAGCACTTGCGGCTCGGAAGTCCAGACAAGACTATCAGGCTCGCCATGCTCCTCACCCTTTACATCTCTTCTTTTCCCAACACAGTTCAATCCCGAGCAATAATGCTGAACAATTTCTTTTACCACATTGCGAACGAGTTGTATTGTAGCGCAATATCAACAAAGTCGTATCACTTCAGCCGTTGATATCATCTTTGTGCTTTGCCCTTGCTGGTGCTCATTCCTTTCTGACTGTTGTCTGCGCTGAATGTCTGCTTTCCATTCAGTCTCCAGATGTCGCTTCAGACTTGGCATATCCTTGTACAAATTCGCGTCCCATATTGAGACAAGATCCGCTTTGAGCAGCTTGTGCAACTCGGCTGTGCTCTTTGGCTGCGCCTTTCTGCCTTCTCGAATCCACTGCTCAATATCGCGGGTATGCAAGAAGAAGCCGTGATCGTGTTTGAAGCTCAAGTAGTGATGCTTTCTCTTGAGTCGCTCAGAGACGAGGTCGCAAGATATACAGTGCAAATGCACCGTCGACATGCTCGGAATCGCATGAAAGCCCAAGTGCACCGGCCAGGTCACCAGGCATTGTTCTACACTTGCAGTAGCATGGGTGTGTCCCTTGAACGGGATCGCATCGAGAGTTGCCCGCGGCATCTCGGAGAGGATGATGCTTTTGACGCGCTCTGCCATTGCTTTCAACCTGCCAAAGACTTGGGAGGCGTACGGCGAGGCTAGGAGCGTGTTGATGTCCTGCAAGTGGCGGGTCGGCACAGTTTTACAACCCGTGGTCCCAAAAGCCAGCTTGTCTCCAGCAAGGGCGAGCTTGGGCTTCTTGCTTGCGCGATCATCGCTTAAGGCGCTGCCCGCGCCACAGCCATCAGTTGCAGGTGAACCTAGTCCTTTCACCGTGGCATAATCCGTGCCACCTGGTTGCGAATTTTGCTGTTTGTGTTCTGATTGGACAGAGTCGGAGAGAGGAAATGGGATGCGTGGCAAGACAAGGAAGTGGAACTTGGCCTTCTCGTAAGCGTCAAAGATGACGATTGTCCAATCATCGTAGGTGAGGCAGACGTCTCGCGGGAGCTTGCTGGGATCTTTAGTTTGTGCGTAGCGTGTCAGGGCAGATTTGGGATCATTGCTTTGAAATGACATGAAGGCGCCAGGCCGTCGAAAGAACGACGGGCGTAGCAGTGGATGGGGGATATGCTCGGCGCGAAGAATTCTGGAGATTGGCAACAATCGCCTTCGTCGATATGTATTCAGTACGATTCAATTTGAAGCGGAGGTGTAGACGGAGGCTGGAGCGATAAAACGAGAGCGCACGGTGATAGGGATCGGAGAATGGCAAGCAGGCACGACGACATGCTTTTTGGAGCGCACGCGATAAAATACAACATGAAAAGAGCGACGCACGATCACCGTAATAACCTCAGTCCCTTTGCTTTTGAAAGGCGTGACTGTGAGTCTCTTGAATCCGTTTGTTGATGTAAGAGCCCTATTTCTCGATGTCTGACTCGCTGCTGCTTCCCGCACTGCCCGTCCTGTTTCTAGCAGCGGCAGTGGCACCGATTGCATCGCTGGGTCGTGCCCGCTCGCTGAGCTGCTGGCGGAGGACTGGCCCCGCGCGGCGTGCTGGCTCGGGCGAGCTGAACAGCTCGTCCATGTGCTCGAGAGGGATCTGCTTCGTCTCGGGGAGCAGGAAGTAGACGAAGGGGATGGACGCAGTCGTGACAGCGGCAAAGACAAAGTAAAAGTTTGAACCGATGGCGGCAAATGCGAGCGGCGTCGTGCGAGCGACGAGCAAGTTCCACGCCCAGTTGGCAAAGGCCGCACAGCATTGACCTGCCGAGCGCGAGCCCATCGGGAAAGCTTCTGAGCCAAAGACCCAAGGCTGTGAACGCCGGAAGGGATTGTCAGCATTTATCTCTGAAGACCAGTCGGGGCAAACTTATGCTCACTGTTCCGTTCCAAGTGGAGCCATAAAAGACGGTCCAGATGTAGAAAGCGGCAAGCATGCTCCTGCTTCCAGGTGTGAGCTCTCCGGTCGCGAAGCTGTTCTTTGGCGCCGCCGCCAGGTAGATGGCCATCCACCAGAGCATGAGGCCGCAGCCGATGGAACCAGTAATAAAAATGCGTCGGCGTCCGAATTGGTCGATGAGGAGCAGAAGCCAGACAAAGGCAGCAGCCGTCTTGATGACGCCGAAGATGCCAGTAGATATCAATGATGAATTGAGACCAGTGATGCCAAAGCTCTTGATGATGGTGGGCGAGTAGTAGCTATTTTCGCAGCAATTGGGTTAGACATATGCCATGCAAATATCACACCCTGATGCACTCACTTGATAGCATTGATAGCTGTTCCATTCTGGAAGAAGAAGAGCATGACGGAGATGAAAAGTCGGAACCTGACACCGGCCTGCAGAAGCTGCTTGAAAGGCCCAATGATGCCCCTGCCGGCCTGTGCCCTCTCCGCCTCGATACCGCCCTGCATCATCGTGAGCTCATCAATGAGGTAAGGATGATCGCTGGGGAGATGGCGAATGGTGCAGAGGTTCTTCACTGCATGTTCATGCCTGTCCTTGCTCAGGAGCCAGCGCGGAGATTCAATGAGGAAAGGAGAGCAGAGGAGGAAGAGACCACCAGGGATAAGCTGCACGGCGAACGGGATGCGCCATTGGGTGGTGGATTCGGGGAGGGTGGTTTGGACGGCATAGTTGATCCAGAACCCCAAAAGACCCTGTAAATTGCACGGTAGAGCTGTGAGCACCGTTGCATAAATCGTTCGAAGCGTCCCCGCTTGCGATACTCACGCCAACCTGCCAGCCTGCTTCGTAGAGGCCAACCAGCTGACCACGAATGGCAGTAGGAGCAATCTCGGAGATGTAAAGCGGCGTCAAGTTACTCGCTGCACCGATGGCGATGCCGGCAACGGCTCTACCACCGTAAATGGGGCCGAGACCGGTGGAAGGGGACGCAATGACCATGACGACGGATCCGATGGCAAAGAGGGCCGCGCATGTGACGAGACCCCAGCGTCTGCCGTAGTAGAAGGCGAGCGGGTAACCGATGACGGCGCCAAAGAGCGCACCGATCTGGTACGTCGTCACGAGGTTGGCGGACGTGTTGGGTGCCAGGGTGCCAAAGTCCTTTATGAAGGACGGCAGGACGAGGACTGTGCCGAGGAAGGCCGAGTCGTAGCCGATCATCATCGACGCAAAGGAGGCTGCGGCGGCGAGAGCATATACGCGGATGTTGTAGATCTGCTTTGGCGCCGGCCGATGCGGATCTTCTTGGGGCCGGAGACTGACCATGTTGGGCAACGTGTGATGGAACCGTAGCAATGTGTCGATGGGTGGTGGACAAGTAGCGGTAGATGCAGAGATGAGATGGACAGGCCCCCTTGTCGATGGGTAAGCAGGGGATGGAGGGGATGGGCGGGATGGGCGGGAGCTGTCGGTCGGCAGCTTTCCCGAGATCTATATATGCGTCAAGACGGCTTGCATGCGCCCACAACAAAGGTCACATACGGCTGTCTAGGTAAGCTGTTGTCAATACTAAGGACGAAGGGATTAGAGTCTCACCAGAAGGTGTGCAATGGACTCCGATTGAAGTGGCTGGCATTCTTCTCATGTATGACCGACTGTTTGTCCTTTTTTGCCTGGAAGCAGAGAAAAAAAATGTGGGGAGACATTGGGGGTCAGCGTGTGCCAGTGCCTCGGCGCAATCGACCGCACTGGGGCAGTCTGCGCTTCCCCCGCACTGAGGGCCGAGAGGTGCCCGATAGCAAAACAAAACGCAGCCCTGCTGGCATCGAGATAAGCGCCTGGCAGCCACCGCTGGCTCTGCGCCAGTTTTCTTCACACAGAGCCAAAAGAAGCACAGCCACTTCGGAGGCATTTCAGCCTCTCCGAATCCACTCTCCAAATCCGAAACAGCGTTCTCCGATTCGGTCAGGAGGACGGCTCAGTGTGTCGCATCCTCAAATCACCTCGGAGCTGTACATCGTTTAGCAAATGATGCAGAGAAAGAACATGGGATCAGTAGACAGCAGTGCGCCGGAAGTGTCCAAGACCCGCCCTGTCCTCTGGTCCTCGCCCCAAACCGATGTCTCCTTAATGGCGATGTCTCGGTAAACATGCTTTCTGCGTGCTATGTACATGTCACTTTCTTTGACATGAGCGTTTGGCATGGTGTCGTCGCCTTCGAATGCAAACGTCGTACCGACCTTATCTATGCGAGCAATAAGTTGGTAAACTCTTTAAATACCATCGGGCACCTCTTCGATCCACCGCATCGAGTTGTCTCTTCAAGCCTTTCCCCAGAGTGTCGAGATCGCATCACAAAGCTTTAACGATACCATGCCAGCAATCATCGCCCCAAGTGCAACGCCAGACTTTGGCCCCCAGGTGTCTGGCAAATGGGCACTCTCAGACACATCGGCGTACACCTCTTCTCTGCACTCATCCCTTGCGGCTTCGGCCTCGGTGTCGAGCCTTGACGCGACCCACGCCCGCCATCCTCTCGATGGCTTTGACGCAGACGCGCCGGCCGCTCAGCTGCCGCGCGGCATCATGTCGCTCAGCCTGGGTGCTGCCGACAAGCATGCAATCGAGGCGAAGATCACGGCATGTGTCGCGCAAGGGTGGCAGGGCATCGAGATCCATATCGACGACATCAAAGCCAAAGCTCGCTCGCTCGCTGGGCAGAATTCAAGGAATACCATGGCCGAACCTGCGCGGGAGCACATGCTCTTGGCCGCAAGCGCCATCTCGGCCATGTGCAAAGCCTCAGGTCTGAAGGTTATCTGTCTGGAGCCAATTCTGCACTACCCCGGCATCCTCCCTATCTCCAGGCGCGATGAGCGCTTGCACGAGTTGCCGCTCTGGTTTGAAATCAGCGACATTCTCGACACTGACCTAATCCAAGTCGCCTCGGCCATGTTCGGCTCTTCGAGCTCGGGCGTATACCAGCACACCGGCGACGAGGAGCGCGTCATCCAGGACCTGCGCTTGCTCGCACACGCAGGACAGCGTTGGCATACACGCTGCAAATTCTTCGCGTACGAAGCCATGTGCTTCGGCAGCTTCGTCACCACATGGCAACAAGCTTGGCGGCAGGTTCAACTCGTCGATGCACACAACTTTGGAATGGTTCTGGATACGATGCAGATCCTCGGCGGGGCGATCGCTGATCCGAGCCGGCCAGACGGTCTTGTGGATGGATGGAGTGAAAAGCTGGACGCTGATTTGAAGGAGCTCAAAGAGACTTTTGCCGACGCTCGCTCTAGGCGCAAGCTCTTCCTCCTCCAGCTTGGCGATGCTGCCTTACCCCCCGAGCCCATGCACCTAAAGCACCCTCTCTTCGACCCAACTCAACACGGTGAGCTGTGCCTGCGCTTGCAAGCGTTTTCAGACGGACATAGTGCTGATGCAGCGGTTTCTGCTTCTCTCCTTCAATGGAACAGCTAACACAACAATGGCATGGGCACGCGCGCACCGTGCATTTGCTGGCGAGGGTTATCTCCCCGTGGAGGAGCTCTCGCGCGTCATCTTCAACGACATTCGCTACCGCGGCTGGGTCTCCGCCGAGTACTTCAACCTCGATTTGCAGTCACCCTCAACGTCTTTTCCGTTCGAGGCTGCGAAACGGTGTAATAATAGCCACGAACTGGTGCTGAAGAGGTTGGAGCATAGTCAGACGACACCGAAGCACAGCGCGTAGTGGTGACCGCTCACACAAGCATTGCCCATATTCAAGCTAAAACAACAACAAGAATGCCACTTTGCAACCATTGGGATCAAACCTCCATTACTCAGCATCGCATTATGTACTTGTACGGGCCACTTCACATGCACTTCCTCCAATGTTTCAAGTCCTTGTATAGCCAAATGATGCAGACTGCGCGGAAAGAGTTCAGATGCAACGCCATTGTTCTGTGAATATCTCACATCAAATGCTTAATACAATAATCGATCGCCACCGTATAGCCATACGTCCCTAAGCCCATAATTATCCCTTTAGCTTTGTCAGCAAGGTACGAGTGATGTCGAAAAGGCTCGCGGGCGTGTGTGTTGGAGATCTGAGCGGTACCACGACAAGGGCGAAGAGACCATCAGCATCTTTGACGGAATCTTTCACCGTCAAAACGCACATGTAGCTCAATGAATGGCTTCTCGGAAGCCAGCAGTGCATCTCTGAGCGCGACGCTCGTATGTGTCCACGCCCCTGCATTGATCACGATCGCTTGGGTGCCATCGGACCGTGCTTGATGGATACGATCGAGCATCGTTCCTTCATGGTTTGTCTGCAAATGGTCAAAGGCGACGCCAGCGTCCAAGCAGTGGGCACCCGCGAGGTTGACGATGTCCCCCAGTGTCGCTGTCCCATACCTAACGAAGGGCAGGGCACACTCGATCCCTTCAGTGCTCGAACCGAGATCCAAGCAGCAACGGTGCTCTACCTTCTCACTTATCAGGCTCTCGTAAACCCAGCATGTTCAGATTTGGGCCATTGAGAAGGAGAATCGACTTCGCCATTTTCCCGTCTCTCCACCGCGTTGGTATTGTTCGCTGTCCTCGAAGCGGGCTTGCACGTTGTATCAAGGAGTTAGATGCGTAGATCGGCAATGGCCGCACTAACGGCGACAGTGATGGCAATGCTTGACCGAGCTTTCGTCGATGGATACGGCTTATTAGCGTGAGTGGTAAGAACAGGACCGAGGGTAGTGCGGAGCAAATATAGAATAAAGACATACATTTCTGTCTAGCTATAAACGCGGAATCCGAGCTCGAGCTGTCCACCCCACGCGGGAGCCGGCGCTTTACACCCACTAGCCACACGGAGAGGCATCGGTGAAAGGTGGACCATATCCATGACCCAATTGTTGTGCCTGTTCAACGGCGGCTGATCAACGCTGTTTAATTGCGTGTCGGCAACCCGACCGAACCATGTATGTTTTTCTCAAAATCATCTCACCCCGCAGCACTTGGCAGAGGTGTTACCTGGTTCAGGTCTCCATGGCACAGCATCGCGCCAACTTGAAATATTGAGTACATACAGAAACTCGCCACAAGCAACAGGGGTGAGTCTAGTGTGGTAACTGGAGAGAATGCCGACAGTCAGGACATCCTCATCCGAAAAGCCACATCCGAAGTTCAATTCGGAGTTGGATGAGTCTCGACGCACACCGCTTTCTTCTGCTGATCCCCGGGTTTCCCAGTTGTTCCCTGCCACACTCCATTTGCAGGAGATGCGAGACACTGATAACAATATCTCTGTCTACCCGGCACAAGTCTTCGCGAGGGGGAGCATTGAGTCTTGAGCCCTGAGCGCGGCTACGCTCGCATCGTCTGTGCTCTTGGTTTCGCTCTCGACCGGCTCAAGATTCAAGGCTGATAGATATATACGCCACAATCCACCATCTGGCACCCTTGCTGCAAATTGTTGAACCAATACAGCCCTATAAAGTACCATCACTTCCACTGCATCCACAAGAATCTATCTGAATGATGCATGTTCGCGTAGAAGCCCCCGCTACTCACTTCCAGACAACCGGAACGACGAAAGCGCCTGCGCCTGCCACGGTATCCCCTTTGGCGGCAAGCATGTCGACCAGTTCTCGTACGAACCCGAGCGCGTCGGACCTGGCTGGCCGGCAAGCACGCTCTCAGAAGCCAGGAAAGACTGCGCTGTTCGGCTACCCCATTTCTCTCTCATTAGCGCCAACATTTCACAATGCATGCTACCGTCAGCGTCATGTGCCTTGGACGTGCGAGCTGCTGGAATCCCAAGACTTCAACGATTTCCTGCGATTCATACGCGAAGACGACTTTATTGGCAGCGCAGTCACAATGCCTTACAAGAGTGAGGTGCTGAAGCATGTCGACGAAATAGATCAAGAAGCAGAATTGATTGGCGCAGCAAATACGGTCTATTGGAGGGATCACGAAGACGGAAAGCGAAGTCTGGTAGCCACAAACGTAAGTCGGGTTTTCACGGAGTGCTATACGAACTTCTTTTGACATCTCATGAACTCTCGACAACCTCTCAGACTGACGTAGCAGGTATTGCAGACGCCATCATATCAGCACTGCCAGACTCTTCCAGAGTTGAAGCAACCACCGACAGGCGAATCGGTCTGATCGTCGGTGGAGGAGGCACCACTCGCACAGCCGTTTACACCCTTCGGTTCAGGCTGAAATGCGACGAGATCTATATCATCAACAGGATGGATGAAGAGGTGGGAGCAGTCGTGCAGGACTTCCAAGCCAAAGGCGTGGAAGGAGTAATGCAGCTCAAAACACCTAAAGACGCCGCGGCACTGGGCCGAACACCCGATGTGATCGTCAACGCCATCCCATCACACGACCCGCAGACAGAGGGCGAGAAGCTTGCTCGGCAGACCCTGGAGGCAGTTCTGAGTCTGCCCGCGCACTCTTCGCTTTCGTCAGCACCTGTGTTCCTCGAAATGTGCTACCACCCACACCCGTGGACTAAAATCTCCAGCATCGCAGAGGAGCAAGGGTGGCACGTCATCCAAGGGATGGAGTGCATGTATCATCAAGCGGTCGCGCAGCAAATGCTATGGCTGCCACCGACGACCACCGCATCGGAAAGTAAGGAGTTGCTCAAGGCGGGAAAGGAGGCGGTGCTCCAGGTGCTCGAAAGCAGAGGGGCGCTCACCAAGCCGAAATGCGCCTGATTCGCATCTCACATACGGACATCCTTGTCTCAGCAAATTTGAACAACAGGGTTTTCATTGCAACCAAGACTATAGCATTCCGCTCTTTTTGATCACCGGCGCGCCATCCCTCCAACTCCTAGAAGCGAGAGCCAGAATTGACTGTCGCTCTCGAATGTCTCCTCTCCTAGAAGACCGGCCATAAGTGCATTTTGCTGGACAATATCGGCAGATGCAAAGTCCTGAGGGGCATCCATGCTGAAGCCGCTGTCCGAATCATACATGGGGTACGGGGGAAACGGGTCATTTGCGACAGTAGGCTGTGGCCCGACTGGTCCGGGAGGCACGAAGTGCCCGCTATTCGAAGCCACACAGGGTGTAGGCGCCCGGCTGGGCCGGGCAAGAGATTCTGTTCGAGTCGGTGGTCGGTCCTGTACGCCCTCGTCGTGCGAGGAGCTTGTTGGAAACGCTGAACCTCTCAAAGGAAAGTGAATGCTGGCATTGTTCGACCGCGACGTCCGTGGTGCAATTCTAGACGTACCCCCTACAAAGGTGCCAAGTTCTTCCACAGATGTGTCTTCGCTTGTTGATGCGGAAGCATGTACAGAAGCACCACCAGTCTGCAATCCGCGATAAGTCAACTCAGCCTTGATGCGCAACTTCTCAAGCATGTCCAGCCGCCTTCCCCAAGTAACCTCGTCAAGGTCCGTCTTGACTTGCGAAAGGAGCTGCAGAGCATCCTCGAGATCTTCGAAAGCGCTCGTGGCGGAGACACTGCGCGGCGCAAAGCACACGTGCAACGCCTGACAGATGGCCGAGTTGAAGACGTGCTGAAAAAAGAAAACCCAACGACGCACAATGCGGGGAACGCGCTGCAAGATTGAACGACAGAGCCTGATGAGAGCATGCGAGGACTGCATCACAGCTGCGACTGACTGCGAGTACGGCGAAGAGAGTGGATCAGTTCGACTGTGTAAAGCGCGAATGAACCAGGGGCGATGGAGGTGAAGGAGTGCTTGCTCGATATTCGCAGCTAGTGTGTGTGATTGCAGTTCCTGTCGCATCGCATTCAGGGCTTTGGCGTCGCTGTGACGCAATGACTCGGATGCTGCATCCAAATCTGACGTTCGGGTCGACTGAAATAGCACAGTACGCGCTCGCATGGATGACGGAACCGAACGCTGAAGTTCACGTAGCTCGGCATCGTAGTGCAAGACCGTGTCGTATGAGACGGAACGGTGGAAGCAAGCATTCAGAATCTGGTTGAGACAGTGCACCACACGAAACTTGAGCGTGTGAAAATCGTCCTCCGCAGCTTGATGTGGTGCTGAGGGCCGAGAAAGCTGTTGTTGAGGGAAATTCGTGCTGGCATGCAGCACGTTGAGATTGGTCGGTCGTCCATATGCCAGGCTTCTGAACGCGTCGGTGGCCATCAATTCCCAAAAGATCTTCCTGCGTTCCTGCGCGACTTCCTCGGCCTCTTGCCACTCGCTCGTGTCACGATGCAAGCCCATTGATACTGCCAAGCCACAGGCAGAGACAAGAATTGGGTAGAAGGAATCGGCATTCTTGCCGGACTTGCGATTGCACAGATATTGCCCGATCAGGTGAAGCGCCTGCACGCTCTCGACAGTATGAGAATCCTGGTAATTCGAGAGCGACAGAGCACGCCAGGCGCAGCGATAGTAGAGTTCCGCTTTGCCTTCGGAGTCAGGCGAGTTGCGAACGTCAAAAAGCGTACCAAGCGATAATACCATAAAAATGACGGAAAGAACGTGCGGGTGCTGCGTTTCAGCACCTTTGGTGATTTGAGGTGCTCTGTCGGTATCTGGGCTTCGCGATAAATGGTCATGTTGCTGGTAGAAAGCTTGAAAATGATCTTGCTCGAATGAGTCGCAATCGTAGATGACGCTCCACATCCATGTGACATTGGCTCTGTACACCCTCAGCGCTCGCGCAGCTTCTCGGTATGGTGGGAGACGGGTGGACAGCTCTTCGACGAGGTCCGAATGCATCCAACGCAGGCGAACGCTTGGCACGGGCTCAAGATGGATTGCTTGTCTTACCCGTTGCAATCTTCGAGCGCGATCTGCATCTGCCGTCGCGTTCGTTCCTGGATATGTTGCCTGCTCACCGGAACCCTTGGTGCCCAAATACGCAGAGCTGGCGCCTTCGCAGGACAAGGGAGAGATGCCAGCGACGTCTGCAGGCAAGGATAACGGAAGCGGCTCCGGACTTGCATGCCTTGAGAAATGTTCCATGACATCGTTTCCATTCTGTTGATGTGCCAGAAAATAGCTATGTCCACTCGGACCAAGATAACGCGGTGCTCGACTGTGGTGCGCTGAACACAAGGTGCCGGCGTCTAGCTGAGGAGAAGGAGACCCATAATGCGCCCGCTCTCGTGTTCTCTTCTTCGCTTGGTGGCGTTCGGCTCGTTTTGCGCGACTTTCTGGTACGATTCGAGCATCCTCGTCGCGTTGATCGCCCGTGAGAATGTTATGAACTTGTGTTGGGGGGTGGTCGACTGCATGAGGGGAGTGCAGCTGACGGCTGGGCCCCGCTTGAACACTTTGACCTTCAGATGCTGACAAAAACATTCCCGCATGTACTGGCCCACTATGGTCCACATTATGGCGTCTGATAGTCTCACGCCCATGATCGATGCTTTCCCCAGTGCTCGATGACATACTTTCGGCTCGTTGTCGGTCCGCACCATTCAGCGACTGGCTGGAAACTTCGGATACCCTTCAATACATGCGCGCGACAAATATGGGCAGCGTCAGCAGATGCCACATTTCATAAATCAATGAAGTTTAACTATTGGCGTTGCTCACTTTCGCTTCCTGTGCTTGGTGGACAGGCTACCAAGCGGGCACAGGTCAGCCACTCCACGTTTGACGCATTGGCTGCATGGCCACGGTCCCTTGTCGCAGCGAGACTTGTTTCGAATGCACTCTTTACATGCTTTGGTCTTCCCAGGGAGACCATCAGCAGGGCTTTGCTCTGAAGTAGCTGACACACGAGGCGCCTGTTGCGCTCTGCTTGTTTCAGGCGCCGCGGACGACATGGCGATCAGAGTACTCCAGCCAAAATTGTGCTAAAATTGTGTTAACTTTTTGGCACACCTTGATCCTCTCAGGATTCCTTTTGAGTATCACTCGGGGAAACGGGCCCACAGCCGACGATTATGCGCTCTTACTGCAGTCCTCAGTATTGAGTTGAGGTGAGATGACATCAGACACTTCCTGTTATGTCGTCTTGCTCTTCGGCCAGGGTCATGGTGTGGTTTGATAGGCTCTGGAAGTTGAGGGAGCGGAATTGGCGGGATACCGATTCACTGACCTTCTACAGCTATTCGTTGGTCCTCCGACGTCGTTCCAGTGGTACTCAATTGGTAGAACTTCGAATCCTTGTCGATTGTTGATACCGCGTGATGGATGATTGTTTCCAGCCAGTGTTCCGTCCCATCAAAATACACAATTGAAGTCCAATAAAGGCTCTGCATACCATGGCAGGGCAAGAGCTTTTGCGAGGTTTGGACCTCGAAGCAGCGCACGACTTTGCGACGCAGCTCGCAGTTCGAGCCGGGGCCATGCTTCGGGAGAACGCATGGAAACGCGCCTGCGCGCCTCATCTCTCTTCGTCTGCAAGCTCAGCGGATCCAATCTCTCACGATCAGAGTTATGCTGCGGAAAAATTACATGAAAATGGGGCGCTAAATACCCGGGAGAAGGACTCGAGCGTAGACGTTGTCACCGACATTGATTTGAGCGTAGAACGCTTTGTGGTCGAGGAGATCCGCAAGGTTTATCCCGGCTTTGATGTCCTTGCGGAAGAAGCCTATGCTGCGGGAGGCAGCAAGCGATATGCTTGCTCTGAAGTACGTTCTAGCGCTTGTTCAACGCAAACAATCCAACCTGGCTGACATATGAACCTTTGTTTCTTGCGTCCGCCAGTTACCAACGTGGATCGTCGACCCGCTGGATGGCACGGTGAACTTCACACATCTGTTTCCCACTGTCTGTGTTTCCATCGGCCTTGCCATCGGTAATGAACCCGTCTGCGGAGCAATCTATGCGCCATTGATGGGCGCAGGCGCAAACCTTGATCCAGTGTCACATCTGGGCGGCATGCTCTGGAGTGCATGCAAAGGCCATGGGGCATTTCAGAGCACACCGGACCGACGGCACCCTCAGACTTCGACCCTTCAATGGCTAAAAGCGAACATTGTCGGATCAACTATGCCGTCTACTGCAGATTCAAAACGGACAGCGGGGTTGGACGGTCACCCACGGCCTTTGCGTCTGCCCATAAATTCTGCGCCTCTACTGCGCACTAGCTCCCCGCAAATAGCGTCTTCGACCTTGAAAGGACTCTTGCTAATCTCAGAATGGGGAAAGGACCGAAGGCCGCCATCTGATCCGCAGTCCAATCTGACCCGGAAAGCGAATACATTCTGGAACCTGACCAAACGCTCAACGGCTGATGAAGCAGGGCAGCAAGGTGGTGAAGTACACGGTATTCGAAGCCTGGGTAGTGCTGCGCTGGACCTGGTCTACTGCGCCAGCGGCAGCGTCGACATAATGTGGGAAGGCGGCTGTTGGGAATGGGTGAGCTTGGGCAAGTCGCAATGGGTTTGATCCGGACCTTACTCTCATGCACCCACTTCATGTTTCCCAATTGCAGGACGTATGCGCTGGCCTCGCCATCCTTGCTGAAGCCGGTGGGCTGTGGACGGACGGTAATGCACCCTCCCCCGCTTCAGCGTTATGGCGAGAAGACACACCGCTCCCACGAGGGTCGTTAGGTGGGCGCCGCTTCCTGTGCATTCGGCCGGAAGCAACCCCCAACGAAAGCACACGGCTCGCGCAGGAGAGGATCGCAAGAGCTGTCTGGAGGAATCTGCACCACGGCGGGCTGCAATACGAGCGCGAAGGTGTGGTTTATCCGTCTTGACCCATTTGCACTCGACTCGTACTCATTACATGTCTTGCAAATCGTAATCCAAATCTATAGATGGCGACGAAGAGGAATGATGGACCCCGGCTGTTCGGGTGGCATGCTGATGAGTTAGGCGCGTGGCAATTCGTCGGGCAGCCTGAGAGGCTGAGGGAGACGCGGAATTCGTTCGTCTTACCGACCCTCGGGGGCCCCCCTCCGCTTGGGGACTCGAAGAGAAGCGCGGTGCCGCCCGCCTGTTCGCTCCTAGATGAGTACTACATAGTCGATCGGTAGAAGCACCACAATACCGCGCAGCGGCACGCAAGGTGTGTCTCTGGCGTGCGGTGTACTTCCATGTCGCCAACGCCTGCGAGAGTAGCTGCTGTCGATCTAAACTGGCAGCAGCCCGCCAAGCTCCCGCTTGTGGATACGCAACGCGCCACTGTTCGAAGGCATGTCGTTTGAGAATCGTATTGCGGTATCGAATGGCCGGCAGCGCAGGGGTATTCGTGATCCACTTTGATATGATGCTCTCGATAGCAATCTCTCGACGGCGCACGAGTGTCGCGAACTCCAAGGCGCCCAAGCGACGGTCTTGAGTCTTGTCATTCCAGTGGTCCCACGCGCGTTGGATCAAACGCTGGTTCGCGTTTTGCGAATATTGTTGTAACGTTTGTCGGCGCTTTCGGGAGGCATGAGCCCCGGCATGCCATATCTGCATCACTCGATGTTGCATATCTGCGATTGAGCGGCAACAATGTCAGACTCAATCGCAAGATGGCAACCTGTATTCTCTGGTCCAACTTACCTCGCTCCCGAAGCGCTAACAACTCCAACAAAACCTGCTTCCGTCGTCGTGCACGTTGCATCGCCTCTTTCCATCGATTGAACGCCTGAAGCAAGAGTGTAGCATCGCAAGCATCAGCCATCTCCAGCAACACGCTCTTGACCTCCACCACGCGACTGGTCCACTTTGCAAGGGCCTGGCGCTGTATCCTGTCTTCGATACGACATTGCACCGCTGCCACGCCTAAGCGCTCGTGTTGGCGTGTGCGAAATCGCGATGTCCATGCTTTACATGCGGAAGAGCAGGATCAACGCGCATCAGTCATAAACCGCATGAGGACATCATTCCCAGCGCACTTACCCTTTAGTACCCTCGCAGCGTGGCGATCCGCAAATTGTTCTTGCAGCTTGAATGCCCTCCTCTCTAATAGCCCCTCACGCCATACATCCAGGACGCGTCTCTTAAGCATGTACCGATCCGCTAGTGTCGCTTTGCGCGCATTCGACTGTTGCTCGACGAAGCGTACACGCCATGCTGCCAGCGCCCCCGTGAGCGATTTGATCTCGAATGCCTGTTGCACTTCCCTTTCTTCTTCCTTGTTCCCTTGCGCGTGTAGCTTCCAAAGCTGCCATGCGTGTTTCTGCTTCCTTGCATCCCACAGCCGAACAAGTTTATCTCCCTTCACCGCCGCTTCATCGCGCAAGCGCGTAGTGTGGTGTCGCCATTGCGCGAGAGCTCGATTTTGAATTTGGAGTTCCCGTCTGCGCTGCACGATCAGTTCACGCACCGCGAGTCTCCAGACGCGCAGGATATGTTCTTTTCGCTTGCGCTGCAGCTGAACAAGCATTCCATCCCCTCGGATGTACAGGTTGCTGAGCTGCGCAGCTCGAGCGCGCCACACAGCAAACGCCAGCCGCTTTACGCGTCGGTCTCGTCGTCTTGCGGCGACTTTTTCCAGCCTTCGATAGGTCTGATGAGCGTTCAGCATCGAGCACCAGCGCTGTATGGCGACACGCTGTAAGCGATGACGCTCAAAAGCTCTCTGGAGGGCTTTGAGCGTTCTGTGAATGCGAGCCCGATGTGAGCATACTTCGGCGTGGGAGCTCATTGCGCAAAGAGACTCACGCATGTCGGCGCCATGCATCGAACGCGTACTCGATAACAGCGCTTTCCTTGCGTCGCTTATGTTCACTTTCAAGCCACTGTAGCTGTGCTACCGCCCTCCAGGCTTGGAACGCCTCGCAGACTAACGCCCTCCCCCTCTTGGCAGCCATCGCCTTCTCCCTTGCGCCCATCACGTTCTTCTGCGCCGCGCGGATCTTCCACAGCGTAAATGCGTTAGAGTGTAAATTCTGTTTGCGAAAATCGTCCGCCATCGCGTGCCTGATGCGCTGCTTCCACGCATGAAAGGCCTGTCTGACGGCACGCGCTACATGACGCCTGACGACCTCCTTGTACACGTTCTTGAGCTCCGCACACCTCTCCTCCATCTTCTTGTCCGTGTGCAGCGCGGCTAAGCGCTTCCATCTGCGCCAGACGAGAAGCTTGACACGCACGTTGTCGGCCTTGGCCGCAAGCTTTGCTTTCTTCCTTTTTGCCGCTGCGCAGTCCTTCCAGCGCTCCATCGCATGGCTCAGGAAGACAATGTCCTGCGCGCGAGCGGTGGACGCGCGCTGGACACCCTTCTGTTTACAGCACGCGCTCCACCAGCTGAGACTGCGTCGCAGGAGGCTGTAGTCGTACCTGGCGGACGCCAACCTCAGACTCCTGTCCTCTCCTGCTCGAGCACGCTCCAGAGCTTCGTAAGCAGTGGCATCACGCTGGTGAATGCTTGCAGCGACAAATTCCCTAAACTGCCGACTAGCGGCTCCACGTGGCGTTCGGACGGGCATTTGTTCCTCTGTACTGCTCCGGTCGCTCAGCAGGGGCCTGCGAGTCGGTAAGACGCGAACTTGTCGCTCGATGAGAGGTACTGCAGCCGACTTTTCGTGCAGCAAGCTTCCTCTTGCACGCAGGAGAACGCGATCGTTGCTCTGCGTCGCATCCTCATAAGCGGGCGGAGTCGGAGATGCCGATGGACGGTAACGCCCTGTAGCAGCAAGTTGCTGCTCATCGCCAGCGCTTTCAAGCGAGGAGTCCCGTGATACATTCTCGTGGTACCTTAGCCGATGAGCCTTTTCTTCAGATATGACTGGAAAATGTTGCTTGTATCGGCCATGGAATGTCCCGGCGCGTGGAGTAAGGCGTGGCGAGCCAAGGTAGCGCAAGTGTTCCGCAGGACTGACCGTTGCCTCGGAAAGGTCGTTGTCAGATGGAGTTGCTGAGAAAGTGCTGGTCTCTGTTCGCTCATCTTCGTCCGCGAAAGACTCTTCTTCCGACATTCGAGGCTCGAGGCCAATGCCGATGCGTACTGCATCCCACCTCTCCCTCCAGTCGCTGCCCTTGACCTGCATCAAGCGCAACAGCGCGTCCCATAGCCGCGCATCCCTTTGCCTGCGGTTCTCGCGCAGCATTTCTTGAGCTTCCCCTTCTGCCTCCTTCCTATTACCGGTCATAGTAAGTGATTCTGCCAAGTCGGCGGCCAGGATGTCGTTGTGCGCCTGCTTGAGCTGTGCGAAAGTCGCCGAACCTGGCGCCAGCAGGCTCACTACTTGGTCGAAGAAGCGCACATCTTCATCTGCCAGGTGCCCGAAAGCGGTCGATATGTCGATTCTACTGCCACTGCTTCCTGCAGAGCCTTTGCTTGGCGCTGAAGAAGCACGTGAGATGGTGGAGCGGGCAGACGACGTCGACGCCGCGAGCAAGGCACTACCTGGCTGCGAGAGCGGCGAGGGGACGACGGGCTGGAATGCTCCATGTCCGCGCCGAGCAGCCATCGTAATCAGTGGCAGAGTCGAGTTTCAGGGAGGGCAATAGCCTCCAGGCAGTGTAGCGTGTGCTGCCACTCATTCCAAGCATGTACAGGGCAGTCATACCTGGAATTGAATTTGAAGGACTGAGGAACAGGAAATCAACGAAAGCAACACGATCCATGCACGCGACGCGTGCCGCCCGCCGGCAGAACCAATCTCGCTGCTGCACAGTCCAAGTAGGGTTGTAGACGTCGGTTCGCCAGCGGAAGCTGATACTTGGAAGTGAAGATCCTCCCAACATAGGCTGACGAAAGCGACGCCCTGGCAATACAAACCTCTTTGGTTTTTGAACCACAAATCGAAACTGACAAGACATTCGAGGATCCGTTGCCCCCATTCGTGCGTCCATTCGCTTGAACGGCGCTTCTAAACTGAAGTTAAAAGGAGCAGGTTTATATTTTAATCCTGGCATCGTATGGCCTGATTATTTAGAGCGTCTTCGTTAGAACGATGCTAGCTTTGTTCCCGGCCAAAAAGCGAATGCGGATTCACGGCGAATCCTGGAAGCAGAAATGGGCCAACGAAAGGTTTATCCCCAGGTTGGCTCTGAGTTGAATTCGCGGAAAATTGAATCCACAGCTTGAATGAATCAGTATCCGGTCGCGCTGGCCAAGAATGCACCTTCGAGGTTGGGGTGCGAATCTTTGCGGTTGGCAGGAAATCAAAAGTGAACAACGCGGAGCTCGGGATACAATGAGCAGACCACATCGCGTCCATCTCCTTGCTCCTTTTCTCATCTTGGCCGATGCAACAAACAAGCATCCTAGATTTTCGGAAACGAATCTGGATCCAAATACAGGGAAAATGAATTCACCATCTCTGTTCGGTAGCACGTTTCTTTTTGCCGAACAGCGATTCGCATCCACTTTTCACCTGAATGAAAAATACGAAATCTGACGCTCATTCCTAGCAAACATTCTCATATGTGGTCAAGCTGTCGCAGGCGCCGCGACTTGCACAAGTCGCTGTGGACTGAAAACAGCTGCGCCCAACCTCAAAGAAAACTCTTGACTTATGATCGTAGTGTGGCCTCACGCTGACTGCTCACTCGTGTGCTGTGTGCGCACCTATCTCTCCGAGTCGATGGATTGCTTGCCGTATGCACCGATATGCATTCTTTGCCTCTCTCGTCATTCGCTCGTGTCGCGATGGAACATGGAAGTCCGTACATACCGCCAGGCTGGAGGCGGCGACGAGGAGAGGGTAGAATCCGAATCCCGGTGAAGTGGGCCGTAGCAGACCAGTCGACTGCCTCACGACAAGGTCTGAGTGCGAGCTATGTCACGTTTCGCTTTAATCGAGACGGATGTTGACCAATTGAGAGCGTGTGCATGGATTGCTCCACCTAGTCGGTCAACAGGGTACCTGTGCTACTGCAACTCGACCAGAAAGCACAATCCCCACTCTTATCAGCACCCTCTTTTAGGCACCAACCTGCCGCATTGTGGTATTGATCGGCTTTGCACCGTCGCACCAGCAAGTGAGCGAGCGAGTGCATGCCGTCTACAAATATCGAGCTGGCGCTTTTCACTTTCATCTTCCTTGGTTCATGTGCACTTTGCACAAACGGAACGGTCCGCCTTCTCCGACATGCTCAGGATGCGTCGCAGTCATGGTACATAATTCCGACTTTCAGGCTCCACATGATGCTTGTGTCCTCCTACATTTGTACAACAGATTTTCGGGAGATGTCGAACCGGATCGGCCGAGTGCATTCTACAATTCTTTCCTTCCTTGCTTCCCTCCTTCACCAATGCATCAAAGCGATGATGCGGACGCGAATGTACATCCCTCCGTCGTCTCCTTGCTCTTTCATTTGCGACAGTTTGTTAGTACCTCAGTTAGTATCGATTCTTTAGAGCTTGCTTTGGCGCCCCATCTTGGCGACCTCCTTCATAAGGACCGTCTGCATCCTTAAGCCGAGCATGACGTTTCCCTTGACCTTAATGCGACCCTAAAACGTCGTTCCGCGAGCAGAGCGGCGGAAAGATTGTGGGAAAGAGGGAACGCGCGCACATCTCAGCGTCCGTCCACGCGTGGCCACGCGAAGCGGCACGACGCCCGCACTAACCTTCATGAACGCCATCTGCGGGTTCATCTTGCCCGTGGCGAGAGCGACCATGTCTTTGTCCGCGACGCGCAGCGTGACGTCCGGCTTGGGTTTGAGGCCCTTGACGTCCGTTCCATCGGGGACGCGCTTAATGGTCCCGTTGTGTCGCATGTCGACAATGTAGCGCACCGGCTTGGACTTGTTGCCCGATGAGATCACTTCGAAGAGGAAGGTGCCGTTCTGCGGAACGCAGCACAGAGCATGAGCTTCTATGGCAGTACTTCAATGCTGCCATGTAGAAGAGCAACTCACAACGGCCTTGACGGCCTGTTCCCTGTTCATCATGTCCAGTCCCTCAAGCAGACCTTCTTTATCATTGGCATTTTGGAATGCATACTCAATGACGGCAAACAGCTTGGAGATCTCGAATCCGTCGACGATCAGATCCTTGGGGTCCGTGCCTCCATTGGTGCTGACCAACTCAAGGTCCGCCGCCTGGTCCATCAGCATCTGCAGGAGGTTGCCGGACTCCTCGGAGTCGCTGTTCTTTTGTCCTGCCATTGTTTGCTTCGTTTTCCTGGGATGGTGCACGGGATCCACTTGCAGAGCACTCCAAGCCGGGTGTCTCACACTGTGTAGATAGCCTTCCAGCTGCTCTTGGGGTGCTCGATGAAGAGGCCAACGGATGGCTGCATGTGTAAATGGAGGGTCAGCGGAGGTGTTGGGTCGAACACCTCACCGAGTGCGGGGCTCCGCACCAAGAGAATCACAGACTGTGGAGCGCATTTACGGGGTAACGGTCTGAATGCTGTGCGCGTGTGAAAATAGCACAGTGCTCGGCGACTTCCAACTTTTAATACTGACCATAAGCCAATCTCGGCTTTCAGTGCCGTTGAATACACACCGGGTTTCTATCGAAATCTCCAATACCGGCCGTTCCATAGAGAACTCAGAACTTTTGGTTTCCTCGATGGGCGATTGGATTCTGGCCAGGTCCATGCAAACCACCACATCGAGACGATGCAAAGCTCCCATGCTCTCAGCCCTCATGAAGACGTGCGCTGCGATCCGGCACATCCTCTTCGCGAGGACTCATCAGCTCGAATATCGAATCTTCAGCAACGAAGAGGATCTCACAACACGCCGTTGCGTAGATCTCGTGCGCGAGGCCGAGGCCGTATGAACGCGATCGCCGCGTACTCTGCCAACTGGGCCATGATCGAGTCTGCCCGGTAACAGCGTGCGCAGCCAAACTCCCCAGGCAGCCGACGATGCAAGCCACTGGATTCAGATTGCGTCATCCACTGAATGCTGCGGGGACACTCCACTGGGAGAAGACCGAAACGTTTTGCTCTGTTCGCGGTAGTGCCCGAACGACTGCATCCGCTGCGGTGAGCATGTGCCTTGAGGCCGGTCCGATAACTCTAGCGAGCTAGAGCCTAGGTAACGACGGACAGCTTCTTTCAGAGCCGGATTCAAGTTTGGAGCAATAAGCCGCAAATTGCCGAGCGCGATGTGAAGGTTCGACAACACAGGCTCGCTTTAGACACGTGGAAGAGGAAGGCGCGATGGTGAGCGTCGAGGAGTTGCTGGACGCAATAAACAAAGAGTTAGACTTTTATAACACAGTAAACCGCCCTTATATATCCGAATTTGCAAAAAGTAAAGGCCGAAGCTCGGAGAAGTCGCTGTAACTCATGCCTCTTCCGTATCGTGCAGCATCCATTGACGCCTAAGGGCGACTAGAACCCACATGCACAGTGCTGCACCTGACCCACAATCGAGAGCTTGCGCTAATATCTGGGCCTCAATGAATTGGGCAGAACGCCCGTCGTTGAGTATTCCCCGTCCGGCACCGGCGTGGAGGTGAAATGCTCAACATGCTTGCGGGCGATACAAGTGTGCCGCGTCGAGCGAGGCAACGTTTCGAGCCATTGAAGAAGCCCCACACGGTACACTTGAGCGGCGCCGTCTACGGCGTCGGAGAGGTGCACACGATCAACCCTGCGATGATCCGCTAGGATTGTACGATCAGCAGCACTACGGACCCTTGCCAGGCCGAGCAAGTATATCACAATCGCTATCCGACTGAGATCTGCTTCCAATGCAGCGCAAGATAGTGGAACAGGAGATGTCCGCCCGAAATCTGTTTGCTATTGTCATCCAAAATGCAGCACAACAGGCAAGAAAGATGTTCGCAGACGATCAGCAGCAGAACAAAATATGCCCAAAAGGCGACGCAGGCGGCGCAATGCGCGGAGGAAGCAAAAGAGCAAGCTGCAGCAGCTGCAGCGCGCGAACTGGCTCGAGCAGACGGTACGGAGATATGGGCAAGGGAGAAGGAGCAGGCGAGCGCAGCCAAGGCAGCGCACAGAGCTGTGGGTGCAAGAAAGCGATGCGAAACTGCTGAATAAGGCCCAGCAGACAAGCAAACACCTTTGCTTGCGAAAGCGCATGTGGCAGCACAGAAGCAACAACAGCTACAGCTCGAAAAGCAGGCTCAACTGCGACCGAAGCAAAGAAAAGATGCGGCCGAAGCACACTTGCTCCAGAAGGTGACCAAAGTTGTTGCTTGCCACGCCAGGAGCGAATCAAGCTCAACAGGGCTGTTGTGCATAGTATTTTTCCGAGTCGCTATAGGCTGTGCTTGGACCGACCACATTTCAAACCGCTGACGGCCGCCATCGTTTCCATCTCCCCTGGTTTCAGCGCTCAGCTCTAGAACAAGATGCGTCTCAAGAGTGGAAGGCGACGAGCAACTTCTAGGACGAGCGTTTCATGGCGCTAGCTAAAGTTTTAGCTCAAGATCAGAGACACACCAAGTGAACCGCAATTGCCACAGGAGACCCTTAAAATCAGATACAGATTCATTCTGTTATGCAGAATCTTTGCCGTAGCCGTGCAGAAAGACTTTCACCGTTGGAAGGACTAAGAAGAGTGCCCAATGATCACAGATCTCCTCAAGTTGCATACGAGGGGAACGTTCATCGGTGAACGCATCGCCTCCGCACTATTGGCCACGAGGTAACGAACGAAAAGATAGTGCATATATAACATGTATCACCAGGTACAGTTGGAGCAGTGGCTGCGCAAAGCGAAACAAATTACATCACAGCAGCACAGTCATCTGAGATGCTTTGCGGGCAGAAGCATTTGAGATCTCTCGAGATACATCCTCGATATTTTGAGATCGTGAAGCGCCAAGCCTCGAGACTGCATCTGATATCGTTGCGAGTTGGGCCATCTGGAAATGCTTATTATGATGTAATATTTTCCACATCAAATGATTCGTATTTGGCTGACACGTCAAATGCAAAAAGGGGACGAGTACCTAATGGCGATGTGCCGCTGCTAGTATATGTGCACTGTACCGGGTGAGAGTTGGAGTTAGGGTTGCTACCCGCCTTCCGAGTCGAATTGACTGCCGCTGTGAGCGTTCCGCAGCCCGCAGTTCTGGAACTTTATTTCACTGGAAGCCAGGATAGGGGGGCTTTGAGCACGGGAGGGCTGTATGCGGGTGGCGAGCAGCCGCAATGCTGCCCAGTGCCTGGATACCCACTACGTGGCATCACGGCACTCTATGAGAGCGCCCGTCACATTTGGTGTGTCCATTTGGTGCATCACACATGGTTATACTACTTTTACAATATTCCCAACCCATCCCCATCCTCATCCCCTCCACCCTCGCTCAACAATTTCCAGCGTCGACAGACCCCCTCTCATGCCTTCTCCTTCCCACTCCGCATACGCTCTTTTCCTTCTCCCAGCCCCCGGCTGCGTACGCCGCAGGACGGCGGGCTCCTCCATTTGCTCTGCCTCTCCCACGCCCACCTACCCCAGGCGAGCATGATGATGACCTCTACCCCACCACCAACGGCAGCGGCAGCCCGCCTCTGCGATCGGCCGCAACGGAGCATCAGGAGGCGGGCATCCTTGTCAAGCAAGCGTCGCCTCTCCCTCTTCCCCACTTCGTCTTCCTCCACAGCAGCAGCTACAGCCGCAGCCCTCTTCCTGCTAGCCTCTCTGCCGACGCTCGCAGACGCTAGACAGAAACTGCTGATCTACACGCGCACAGAGGGCTACCGCCACCTTTCGATCCCCACAGCGATCGCCAACGTCAAGGAGCTGTGCAATCAGAATGGCGTCGACGTCTACGCGACCGAGGACGAGAGCAAGATGGAGGACAAGAGTTGGCTCTACGGCTTTGATGCGCTTGTGTTCATCTCCACCAGCGGCGATGCGCTCACCGGAAAGGGCATTAGTAATATGAGGAATTACATCCAGGACGGCGGGGGCTTCTTCAGCGCTCATGAGGCGTGCGATGCCCTCCTCACCACCCCTTGGTATCGTGAGTGACACTGTCTAGACGGACGCATTCGTTGCACTGACCCCTTTCTTTTTCTTGCACCCAGTTCGCCTGGTCGGTGCGCAGTTCGACTATCACCCGGAGATCTGTCATGCCACCCTCAATGTGCACAATGAGGACCATCCGTCCGTCGCGCACCTCAACTCGACGTGGAAGGTGTTCGACGAGATGTACAACTTCCTCTCCGACCCGCGCAAGCTCGGCTACCAGCTCGTACTCTCCGCTGACGATCACTCGTATCACGACCCGGTGAACCCGATCCCGGAGCGCATCCGTTTGCAGGGTAACCCGCACCCAATCGCCTGGTTCAAGGAAGGCAACCTCCTCACGCATCCCGCACACAAGAAGATCGGCGGCGGCGTCGACAACAATAAGAACGCCATCCGCAAAGGCACACAGGGCGTCGGTGGCGCCGGCAGGAGCTTCTACACTGCCCTTGGCCACACCGACGAGCAGTGGGAAGACGAGACGTGAGCCACGCCGACAGACTGGTTTCTGCGCTACTTGCTTGATGCCTGTTCTGACATTATTCATCCTTACCGCTTCGCACATAGTTTTCACAAACATGTATGGGGCGCCATCTCCTGGGTACTCGACTCACCCTCGATCCAATCAAACAGCGGCAACACTTCGGCGCCAGGGACGGCGTACACCGGCACGCCGCACTCCAGCAGTAAGGGCTCCAGCAGCAGTAACGGTGGAGCCGGCAGCGGTGATGCCAACTCCGGCGGCGCGCCCACTGAGGTCGCCGGCGCTGCGTCGCCGCGCGCAGCCGCAGGTACGCTTGCTCTACTCATCGCTGCTGCATCTGCCGCGGTGCTTGCTATTGCGTTCTAGGCAGTCGCATCTTGCACCGTCGCTGCAGCTCTAAGCCCACCCCACTTTAACCCCGCTCCCTTTCATGCTGCGATGCGCTCAGTGCCATAGCATTTTGATTTTGCAGCCCACGCGTGCGTCCAACACACTCGTCGGCCGCTGCGACTATTAGGCCATTCCATACGCTTTCAGGTCCCACCGCCCGTCTCACACGCGCAATTCCCCCCTTTTCCGGAACCGCCGCTGCATCATTCTCCTTTTTTCACCGGATCAGCTAAACTTATTGTTTCGATTTTGGGGTTGCGCGAACTCCGTCGCCATTGGCAGGCGGATGCGAGGCTGCAGCCTATGCACTCGACCTGGTCTTGGCCCTGCATGGTCGCTAGTTCCGGTCACGTCGCTGTTTCGTTTCGTTTGTCCCACCTTGAATCCAGCATGATTCTCAGCGGCCGGACCCGCTGCTGCTGTTGAAAAAGATACGCTTTACGTGTACATCTGTCTCACTCTCCCTCGCATTGTTCCTACTACAGTCCCCTGCGGACAGATTGGGAAATGGAATTACATGCTATGGACCTCACTCAGAGTATTGCGAAGTACGTGGGTGATCGCATGCCCGGATAGCGCCGCTGCAAATCGCGTCTGCGCTACATAGGTTGCTTCCGTTCCTTCCAGGTGGCATGCATGGCATCCCGTCACTTGTAGGCCCCCTAAGCATCAGCACCAGCGAGCATCCGCGCGAAATCCTCGTTCGCATGGTCCGTTTGCGTCTCGGTGACCTCGAACATCGCCCTCTGCGTAACCGTCGCCGCGTCCACAGCGGCCGCCGCCGGGATGCGCTCCTGCTTACTGCTTCTGCTGCTGCTTTCGCTTGTCCGTGCACCCCTACTGTCCTTGGCACCGGCCATGCGCGAGTCCCAGCCGAGCTGCCGCGCATAGGCACTCTCGCTGCGGTCCAATAGCACTTCTAGGTCGTGATCGCTGATGATCTCGTCGTCCTTGCCTGCGAGGACGACCTTCTCGCCCTCGAGCCGCAGCAGATCTGCAGCCAGCTCTTCCTCCTCGCTGCGCTGCCTCCTCCCACCCCCCGCACCACCGTTGCCGCCAACGAGAGACTGCGCAGCCGCCTCGTAGCCGGCAGGCAGGCGGAACTTGCCCTGCTGGATGACGAGCGCCTCGAGCTTGCGTTTGTTGCTGGCGCGCTTGAGGACCCGCTGCTCGACCGTATTCGCGCTGACAAGGCGGAATATGAGGACGGGCTTGGTCTGGCCGATGCGGTGGACGCGGTCTTGCGCTTGCAAGTCCATTTGTGGGTTCTATAGAGGCAAGGGCAGAGCTCAGCAAGGTTATCCAGAGAGCATGGCGCGGAAAGATATGCTCACCCAGTCACTGTCATAAAAAATGACAGTATCTGCCGCGACAAGATTGATGCCGAGTCCACCGGCACGGGTGCTCAGCAAGAAGAGGTTGCATGCGTCCGGCCCTGTCTCGGTATTGAACGACTTCATCTGCGACCGTCTATCTTCCCGATGCGTGTTTCCGTCAATCCTGCACGTGCGCAGCCCTTTGTACACATCCGCCCAGTCCTCTATGACGTCCAGCATCGTTGTGAATTGCGAGAACACCAGCACCTTGTGGCCCTTGGCGAAGAGAGCGTCGAGCAGGCGGTTCAGCAAGAGCATCTTGCCGCTCGCATGAATAAGGTCCTCGTCCGTAACGGGCAAGCCGGAGTCAGGATCGCGGGGCCAGTCGAAGAGATACGGGTGACAGCAGATTTTTCGCAGCTGCATGACCATGTTCTCCAGATGCATGTTGTTAATCTCCTTGCGCGCCTGCTTGATCGTGTACAGCTTGCCCTGCTGCGAGCACTCTGCCGGCGATAACGCCAATGGGCTCCGCGCTGCTTGAGCGTACGCATCACCCTCGCTGGGATCGGTGTACTGCTTGTTATGCTTGGCTCGGCGTCCAGCAGTGCCGCTACGAGGCGTCATCGCACGCGAAGCCGGCGCGGATGACGACAAGTCAAAAGCGCTCACCTCGGTAGCCGGAGTTGTACCTTCAGCTGGCGTGGACCCTGCTGGCGTCCGGGCCAAGGAGGGTGTGTTCAAAGCGCTTGTGCCGCCTTCGAACGGGGCTGCGTCTTCGAGAACCTTCTCAATCTCGTACATGCTGAGACCGGTCTTCCTTTCCATCAGCCATCTGCGGATATCTTTGTTGAGGACCGCATCGTACAGCTCTTTCTGCATCTCTGTGAGCGGAGCGTAGAGAAGATACTCCTTCTTCGGCGGCAGGTTGCCCTCTACGTCAGACTTGAGGCGTCGCAGCAGGAAGGGCTTGAGAATCTCGTGCAGCTGCGTTATGATGGTCGTAGCGGCAGATTGCGAGACGCCAGTGCGCTTGCGGAAGATCTTTTGCGAACCTTGATCGTCGTGCATGTCGCTGAAATCGAACCATTTCTCAAATGTCTCAAGATCGTCAAAGATGTCGGGTAAGATGAAGTTCAACAAAGACCAAAGCTCTGCAAGGTTGTTCTGCAAACCGTTAGGGAGTATGCCTTCAGCTATTGAGAGATGATGAGTAGATGCGTAGCACACAAATACTCACATGCAACGGGGTGCCAGTTAGGATCAGCCTGTTGGCGCTCCTATATTGCTTGAGCTCCCGGATGAGCCTGCAGTTCATGTTCTTCAACCGATGGCCCTCGTCGACGACAATGTACTTCCAAGGGATGTTAGCCAAGAGTGAGCGGTCACGAATGACAATCTCGTACGTCGTGACGACGACAGGGAACGCGTCTTCCTCCTCCTGACGCTTTTGGTCATGGATAGCGCTGGAGCTTGTAGGCATCCTAAGCCGCGACTGACGAATATCCTTTCGCTCATCTGTGGTGCCGTAGTACAAGCCGACGGGAATGTCCGGTGCAAAACGTTCGAATTCGAGGACCCAGTTGTCGATCGTGCTGAGCGGTGCTACGATGAGGAAAGGCCCCCAGACGCGTTTGGAACGCAGATGTGCCAGGAACGAGATCGTCTGCAGCGTCTTGCCCAGGCCCATTTCATCTGCCAAAATCCCATTGAGCCCGTTTTCGTACAGAGATATGAGCCACTGCAGGCCGTCGATTTGGTAGTCGCGCATGCGTGCACCGGTGATGAGAGCTGGCTGCAAGCGGGATCGATCATTCATATTCTCAGTCATTGCTGCGGTGTTTTTCGTGTTTCTTTTGTTACTGCCCTGGCATTGAGGTTTTGACTTCTTGCTGGGACCTGCTTCGCTTTCATCGGCTATGCCTTCAACGGATCGCTTTGAACATCTTCTGGGAGATAGCCTCACCATGCCCTCTTGGGACTGTTCATCTTGCGCCTCAGCAGCCGCGGCTGCAGCCGCCAGGTCTTCTTCGTCAAGGTATTCGCTAACACGCAATTTAGAGCTTACACCTTGGCGCTTGCGCCTCGACTCAGTAGCGTGTTGACGATTTTTTTCTCTTTTCTCCCTGTCCGCCTCTGTCGTCTCGCGCCTCGCAACCGCCCCGGCTGTGCGTGTGCTCGTTCGGACTGGCACATCGGCAGCCGCTCGCTCCTTGCCTTGCGTCTCACCAGACTGGTGCTCCCGCTCGGCAGCTGCCGCTCGTGCTGCTCGCTCCTTGGCCATCTTTTCGCCCATGATACGGCTGTAGATGCTGGACCGCTGCAGCAAAAATTTGAGTTTGTTCAAACGCTTCGCATGCTCTTCCGGGTCTTCGTCAGACTCTTCTTCTTTGTCCTCCTCGCTCTCCCTTTTCTGAGCAGCCATGTCTTCTGATTCGCCATTAGCTTTCTTTATGGCGTCCACTTTTGTTTCGAGCCGATCAGGTGATTCGCCTGGGTCGTTCATCTCTCCCTTTTTCACGGCTTCGATGGCGGCATCGCGCGGGTTCTCTTCATTGCCAGCTGCTTCAGACTTTTTAGAAAATCGTCCGGAAGTCGCGCTGCGACCTTGCTGGTTGCTATGGTGCCTGCTGTTTGTGGGCGGTCGCGGGGGCGGTCGTTCTTGTGCAGCCGAGCTCGGATGCTCCACAACGACAATCGCATCACCACTCCCCGGTTCTGTGTCTGTCTGACGCGCTTCATTTGTCTCCGCAATCATGTAGGCGTCCAAGCTGCTGTGGCCTCCTCTACTCTTCCCGTTAGGGGTGGACACAGATTTCAAGGTAGCATTGGTGGTGCCCGAAGCCGCCGCAAAGTCCTTCTGACGGAAGTCCGCCTTTCTCTTGGTGGCAGTCATGACGACGGGGGTCAGGGCACAGCTGTGCAAGCGACCCGGATCCAGGCCCTGTGCGCCCCTGCTCTTTGTCTTTCCCGAGAAGGAAAAAAGAGAAGGTGAGTGCTGGAAAGGGTTCTCCCAGCGCGTTGAACAGCTTGACCACCTGGCGACGCTCGACGGTCATATTACTGTCGGATTCGCTGTTCTTACGATGTCGAGCATCATGAGAATATCGCAAGGGGGGCATTCAACGCATATTCCATTATTTCTTTTTGTTCTATCGAAAAAGGAAGAAAAGAAAGAAAGGTCAAAGTAGTCTATACGTTTAATGATTCACGGCAGCGATGGCAGTTGATTGGGGCAGCCCGGCGGGTTTGCTTCAACAGCCACGCCACGTGCTGCGGACTAGCTGGCGCGTTGATTCGCGTGGTGTCCGCTTGATGTATATGTGACGCGCCCGAAACGCGTCGCGTGATGAGCTCGGAACTCGGAACGCCTGGCTGCTGTGGAGCTCCAACTATTGATTGGAGTGCAAAACAGGGAGCCCCGGCCGAGGAAGCGCTCGGCGTGGCTGTGATATATGCAGGACCTGGTGAGTACGGCTTGTGGGTAGACTGGTCCCAGCTTGAACGTTGCCCTCTCGATCAAGCTGTCCCATTATAGTCTGCATCGTTGTGTTGCCCAGGGACGAATACGAGTTCCCAAGTGTAAGGATACTCAAACGCAGAATGAAACACTTTAAGACGCTTCATGCAGCCCCACGCTTTCGTCGATCAAGGGGAACGAGCGCTTCCACTTCGAGCTCAAAGAGCCTATCGGTCCAATCATACTCGAAGTATTTATATGTCCAGATTAATATCCGCACCCAGAGTGTGAACTTTGGCTACCAAGTCGATGCATCGAATCCAGCCTGTAGCAGCGGGAGACTTCAGGAGTTTCATGGAATTAGTGTGGTAGTACTGCGGGAGACTTGGGTCAGCGCAACGGGTCAAGCCTTCCCAGACCATTCCATTAAGCCGCCTCGGGGCGTGCATTGGGCGAGGCTGTTCCAATCTGTATTTTGGGAGACTGAGAACAGCTGTTGTACCAAATGCAACGACCCACCAGCCCCTCGCATCTGCACAATCAGCCTTGGCATATTCGATTGCCTCTCTCAAGCACTCGGCTCTTTTTCGCTGCGACGTAATGCTCACCTGAGAAGAATTAGGTTGGCCGAGACCCGGCGCTTGGGCTCCATGCTAGCTTCCCTGCGGTTGTGGCAAAGGTGCCGTGGGCACTTGCTAGTCGTGAAATACATGCCACATCCGCCAATTGACGCTTTCGTTATTGCATTCTGCCTGGAAAGCCCGAATGGCACGTCAAGCACTACGTACGTAGGTATCTTTCCTTACAGCATTGCAGCGCTAAGAAAGGGGTGTACGAAGACAAAATACTCTGGACATGGCGGCGCAAGTGATGAGTGGGCAACCGATGAAGGGCAGAGTCAAACGAAGGATGTGATCTCCAATATAATCGAGACCTTACGGAACACTGCTCATGATCGCCTACTGAATGAGTCAGGACCATGCCTGTACGACACGTCGGACGCTGAAGCATCTGAGGATGAGGACCTAGGGGTGCAGACAGACTTTTGAAGAGTTGAAATGAGCGAGGCTTCAGTGCAAGTGCCCACAGAGTTGGCTGTGGCGGTTACGTAAGCTTTCCAACCCCACAGACCCTCACTCGTAGGTCCAATGACGCTCCTGTAATTCTCTTGATCGTCGTCCGACATGATGCCTCTTTGCACCCATGACTCTATGCTTTGCGTCAAGGTCTGACCGTAGTCGACTGTTGATATTGATTCCCGATCTGTCTCATCTTTCGTACTGTGCATTTATCACTGGTTGCAACAGACTGCAAGGATCAGCATGACTCATGAACCCAAGCCCACCACGCTCCCGTCTTCCGTCACTGCACCTGTCGCTGCCTTAAGCAGCAGCAATGATTACGATGGCACGCTCACTCCAGCTCAAGTCGAGCGGTTCCATCGTGAAGGCTACCTTGTGCTGCCAAACTTCTTCGATGCCGCACCGATCTTGGAGCATGCCAAGCAGGTAATCAATGGGTTTGACCCCCAGCGGCATCCCATGACGCAATTTTCCACTGGCGAAGAGGACGACCAGCAAATGCACGACCGTACACAAAGCAAAAAGCACGTCGGCGACGCCTACTTCCTCGAAAGTGGCGATGCTATGCGCTATTTTCTAGAAGAAGGAGCGGTCGGGAAGGATGGGAAGCTGACGTGCGAACCGAGCAGGGCTGTCAACAAGTGCGGCCACGCGCTACATGCTCTTGATCCGACATTCGCCAAGTTCAGCTTCGATAGAAAGATCCAGAACGTCGCTAGATCTCTCAACGTGCACAAAGATCCAAGAGTTCTGCAGAGCATGATTGTTAGCATACAACTTACGAGATATGTCATTGAAATGTGGCTAACTCTCCCGGACTTTATCTCGCAGATCTGCAAGCAACCCTCGATTGGCGGCGCAGTTCCATCTCATAATGACTCTACCTTCCTTTATACAGATCCGCCTTCTGCAGTGGGTTTTTGGTTTGCGCTTGAAGACTGTACATCTGCGAACGGTTGTCTGTCCTTTATGCCCGGCTCGCACCGCTGGCCCTCGTCCACTTCGCCTGCTGCATCTGGCGCCCCTCGACCGCGAGATGACCCTGCATATCTCAGTAAGCTGGATCTCGGCCCGGCCCGCGGCATCAACAAGCGCTTTGTCCGTAACGATCCGAGTGATACGACGCAAGGCACCAGCTTCACCGCGCTGGGCGACGGCGAGAGCGAGGAGGCAAAGTGGGACGACGAGGCGGCAAGAATGGAAGAATGCAAAGCCGGCGCACTCGTCCTCATCCACGGCAGCGTGCTACATAAGAGCGAAAAGAACCTCTCTCCAAAATGTGGGTCGCAAAACTGATTAACTGACTTCAAGAGTAGAAACGGAGAAGAGTTTATGCTGATATCGCAAGCTGAATCGCCAGCGCGTTACATCTACACCTTCCACATGATCGAGGGTCAAGACAAGTACGACGATAAGAATTGGCTGCAGCCAACGCCCAAGCTGCCTTTCACCCCCCTGCTGAATCCTCCAGAAGCGATAAAGCAGCTGATCGAAGCATAGTTGCAACCTGTATCGGTAGCTCATTCTAACGTTAAGTGAAGAAATCTGCATCATTTGGGCACTTTCCATTCCGTTTGCTAACATGGCAAGCACGCCAGCAAACACCGGATGATTTCTGAGCTACATGAGCGACTCCCTTGCTCCGATCTTTTGACTCGCCTCACCATCCGGGAACTTCCCATCTCGCTCTCCTGCAAAAGCAGAGTAGATCCTCTGAAGCCTCCTCTGCTCATCGGCCGGCACACTAGGTCTCGTGGCCTTCAGAGAGCGTTGCAGGTGCTCACTCGTGACGAGTCTCTTCCCCTCTATAGGCACGGACTCGCGCACCACTTCATCTTGAGCAACGGAGAGGCCATTGGCACGAGCTACGCCGTTGGAGAGTGATTCCTTTTTCGGCAGGGAGTTGTCAAGCATGAGCGCCAGCCTTCGAGAGAGTGCCTGGTGCTGGGCGCCGCTGAGGCGCGAATGAGCGTCGTTATCGCCACCGCCAACACAGACGAACCGCACGTCGTTCTGCTCGCCATCCTTCTTGCTTGCTATGTTGCCATTGCTCGAAACTAGCTTCGTGTTGTTGATCGACTCGTGAATCGTCTCAAGGTGTGCATTGTAGAGCAGCGCCTGCAGATCTGCGCCAGAGAAGCCTTCCGTCCTCTTTGCCCACTCTTTCAGGTCGACGTCTGGATGCAGCTTAACTTTCTGCGACACAGCACGCATGATGTCCAATCGATCTTCCTCGCTCGGCATATCGCACAGCAGCGACTTGTCCAGGCGCCCCGGTCGCAAGAGAGCAGAGTCGATCAGGTCCGGTCGTGAAGTGGCAGCCAGGACATAAACTCCATTCAAGCCTTCTGCTCCGTCCATCTGCGTCAAAAGCTGGTTGACAACGCGATCGGTCACGCCTGTGCTGTCGTGGCCTCTCTTCGGTGCAATCGAATCGAATTCGTCGAAGAAGAGCACGCATGGTTTGGCAGCTTGCGCTCGGTCGAACAAGTCGCGCACCGACTTTTCGCTTGCGCCAATATACTTGTTTAGAATTTCCGGTCCTTTGACGCTGATGAAATTGAGGCCGCACTCTTTAGCGACAGCGCTGGCTAGCAGCGTCTTGCCGCATCCGGGATAGCCATAAAGCAGCAGCCCCGAGCGCAGTCGAAGCGGGCAGTTAGCGAAGATCGCAGCATACTTAGTGGGCCACTCGAGTGTTTCGCGCAGTATCCGGCGCGTTTCGACTAAGCCTCCAATATCAGACCACGAAGTCTCAGACTTTTCCAGCTTGACGTCGCGCAAGGAGAGTGGCGTGAACCCCTCCTGGGCCTTTGCAAAGTCTTGCATGGTGAGTGAGAGCACCATCGGCGAGGAAGCGTATTGCTGCGCTGCAGTAGAGGTGGAAGCATGTATGGCCGCCTCGTGTACAGCACGCTCGATCAAGTCCTGCAGGTCTGCGGGCAAATATCCTTCTGTCTGAGTGCTGAGTGTCACAAAGTTGAGACCTTCCTGTTCGAGCGCTCCGAGGGTTAATTTCTTCTGCACCAAAAATTCGAGAATCTCGCGTCTAGTTTCCTTAGGTGGCGCTTTCAGCTGCACCGTTTCAGCAAAGATGTGGGAACCGTTCAGAAGCGCGTGCACTGCCGTCGTACTCTGAGCAGTCAGGATGACAAAGACATCAGACTCGGCAACAGTCTGTTTGATCCGACTGATGAGGTTCTCCGCCAGCTGGCGATTGCGACTTCCATCGGAATGTTCCTGCTCCGCTGGCACAAGCCGGTCGACGTTGTCGAGCACAAGCACGGAGGGCGCATTCCATGTAGCTGCATTCAGCCAAGATTGGAAAAGGGCGCGGAGCGCGGGGACACGTTCTTCACTGTATGCTGCGCAGTCGACGAAGTGCGGAGCGACAAGGGGAGTCAGGCCCGATGGATCAGCTGGCAAGGACAGCTGACGCAGAACCCCTTTCGCTACAGATGTCTTGCCAGCGCCGGCACCACCTGTGATGAGCATGCCAGAGGGTATGGGGCCGAATACTCTTGACTTTCCACTTTTACCGGAACGCTTGCTGGTCTCGATGCATTGGAACAGCGAGCGAGATAGAAACGTGTTCCTGACAACGCTAGCACATTGGGCCAGAACCGTGTCGACGCCTGCGAGCCTTCGTTTTTCTCGCTGACCCAGAGGCCCTGCTCCATTGACGTTGACCAGCGCTGAATGGATTGGCACCTCGAGCTTGCTGATTTGCGCAGAAGTCGCTGGACTGGGTGCCGAAAAAAATACGAGGTCGTAGTCTTGGACGCCGAGGCTCTTCCTCACCTCGCTGCCCAGCCAGACATGCCTTCGAGGCCATTGGGCGCCATCGGCTCCGAACATATATGCTTCTCCGTCGATGAAGGCAGCGCCGACCGTCGGTCTTTCCGGCAGCTGACTGCCGTCTTGCGATTGACCAGAGTCATCCCCTTCCGATACGGACACAGAAGATGTTGATTCGTCCCACTCCATATCTGAGCTGTCTCCCTCTTCTTCAACTCTGTCATCTCCCTCGCTCTCTTTACTCTTTCCATTCGCCTTTGCATCACTCCGCAAAGCATTCTCGATGCTAGAGGTATTGCTGCCGTTTGGGCACGGGACTTTTGTGACTGAGCACCGGAAGGTCGAAAAGGTTTTGGCCAAGAGCTCATAGCTTTGCGAATCCAGCAGCACCAGTTTATCTGCCCAGGCTGCTGAAGATGAGCGAGAAGGGTGAGATCCATCCGCAGCCCCATTCGCTATGGTTCGAGGGACTGCTTTTGGCCCGTAGAGCGACGGCATGACTCTGTACAACATCCGGCGTAGCACAAGCCTTGCCTCCGGAACAGAGACCGAGCGGTCCGCTAATTCCTCAATGGACTTTTGAGAGATAGCCTGCAATCTTGCACTCTGGTTCGATGTCAGGTCTAAGTCTTCCGGAGGTTGCTCAGTTGGCTGGTGTGACGCGCGTGGCTTTGGTGCAATGATTAGTTCGGTATCTGTGGACAATCGCACTGCCCTGCTCGAAGTAGAAGCTCCATCTTCGTTCTGCGAAGAATCCGGGGCGATGCTCCGAGTAGGTGGATCCGTGGAGTCTGTCATTCGGCATTAGCATTTGCAAAGGAGAGCCGAACAGGAAGGCCCACAGTCCTACTTACCGACTCTGAACCTACAAGTTGTCCTGCCACCTTTCCCGGCGAAGACCACGAGGATCATGCCCTTACATGCAGCTCGGCATTGTTCGAGCAAATTGAGCTCAATAGCTTCAGCGTAAGTTCCAAGGATCTCCCAGTCGTCCGCGTCAAGTGGAGAAACATCAACTCTTGAGGCTACCGGCAGCGGAGGTGAACGCAAAAGAGTGATGCGAACGAGCTCTGAGCCATCCTTGGTACGCAAAACAGGCTGGAAGGAGTTTGCCAGAGCAGGCGAGATGCAGATCACGCTTGCGCTGGGCACGGCGCTGGCAGCCGAGTTGGAAGACTGAGCGATAGCCTCGCTTGCCGGAAGCGGTGCCGCGGACCGGCCGCTCCAACCGCAGTAGTACTTGGCGCCCTCCTTGCCGTCTTTGCCCTGGACTGTGAGTTCTACAACAATATTCTGAGGAGCAACATTGCGCTCGATGAGAGGAGCATGCAAAGATATGGGCAGGTGGACGAGGGAAGAGTGAAGCAAAGGGTCCAGCTGCACACGGGCAAGCATGCCCTTGCCGGTGCTGCGCGACATGGTCTCGTGCAGATCGACGATCCGTTATGGAACCGGCTGCCCGTGGCTCTGACTCGGCCGGCCTTGGCTTTGCAGAGAGCGAATCCGAGCCAAGACAGAAGAAGAAGACGCTCGACCGCGCCAGCTGGACTGTGTACCGTCCCAACTCCCAAGTTGAGAGAAGAATCAAGAACCATTCGGCAACGCAGCTGACAGCTCTCGCAGGCTCAACCGGTTATCAGCCGTACCTGACAGCCCGAGCTCCGAAGTCTCATGCAGTCACACGTTTTTGAGTCCCGGCACACGTGACACGCCCGCTCGGCCGCTCGCATTTCCTTTCACCCTGCTCCATGTAGACCTCCTTATGTGATGTTATCCGCTACTGCCACTTTGGTGGTTGAGTAGAGGGAAGACGAAATCTTCACGGGGCCTTCTGATGACCGTAGCCGTCACATGGCTTTGTTGTTATGTTCAAACGTGATGCTCGCGGTAAGCCTTGCGTTTTGATGGTGCGGGAGATGTAGGTCAGCGCCACTGACGAATTGTCGGAAGGAACACACGGGTTACGTCGACGTGCAAGTCGAATATTTGGGTCATGTCTTCATGTGAAGGAGAGGTGTGCAGCATAGCGAAGACGAATTCAGCCCATGTCCCTTGCACATGATCTGACAGTATCGAGGCATTGGTGTAACGATTCCGAACCCACTGACGGCAAGTCCATGTCGCTGGTTCGCTCCGGGCGCTCACAATACGACCGGTCTCAACATACGCTGTATCGGCGAGAACAAGAACAGCAGCTTCCAGTTTATTTGATACCAGGCGCATCAAATACATGGAGAACTCAAGCAGTCCCCAACGTGATCGCCCAACCTAATTGGCGCCCGCAAGGTCTTTCGTTCTTCGGACAATACCAATATGAACCGGTCAAGGGCGCAATAGGAGGGCCAAGACGGAGATGTGCTCGCCCATACTGAACCCGAAGCATGGAGAGGGGAAATAAAACAGCTAAGGGATGTGTCCACAACGTCAAGTCGCTTCCTTGAGCTGCCAGTTGAAATTCACTTGCGCATCATGGAATTCCTCGCGCCCTCGACAAGCGTCTACACTCTCGTCACAAGCTGCCGGACCATGCGATTGGCGGCGTACAATCACCCTACCCTTGCCCGAAAGCAGGTGTTCAATGGCGATCTCTATAGCGATTCTTCCTTTGCGAAGCATTTTCTCGCATCTTTTGAACGCAGCAAGGAGGGCTTCACTGATGAAATTCTCGAAGAAAGCAATTGTAGAGGCGTTGGCCCGGACAGCGCACTTAAATTTGCTTCCCTCGCGATCCGGTTTCATCACGACGTTGTGTGGGAGCTGAACACGGGTGAAGCCGACCGCATGCGTACTTGCAACCAAATTTCTCGCCATGCGCAGCAAGTACACCTATACGATCTGCGGCTGCGGCGGGAAATCTCGCACAGCTCCTTCCCTGCATTGCTGCCTCAGGTCCGGACATCACTTCGCCAATCCTCGAGACTCTCGAACGATCGCATTCATCTGCGATGGCAAGTTGTTTGCAATCCACATTCAGGCCTCTTTGCATTTATGGGAAGGGCTCCCCATTGCATCTATCCCCCTCTCTCTCTACCTCAAATCACTCGGGAGAATGCCTATCACCTTGCTGTTCCAACAAATGATAGGCGCGTCGTCATGTTTGACAGAAATCGCGCTCTCATCTCGGTCTGGGAAATCGTCCAGGCGGATCGAGACCCAGTTGCCTGCATCGAGCTCCGGATCCGCCGCCAAGATGCGCTCGTCTTGGACGCTGGTGGGCAACCCTGTATAACGAGCGATCGCATCCGCTTCTTTACGGATGACACCTTAATCGCCTCTCTTGATGGTACTCGCATCGACACGTTGCACTCACTCACAGAGCACATCTACCACGTGTCCAATCACACCTTCATCTCCCTTCCGCTACGTCCGCGGGAGATGCGCGGCTTGCGCTGTGTGCAGAGCAGGATTGCACACTTGGAGCGCCTGGATAAGGCGGATAACGGGTTAAGTCCTTAGCAATTGTGGCACCTGCCAACAGTGAAGGAGCATCTAATTGCGACACAGCCGGACTTGACCGCAAAGTTCCTTGCGAGCGGGCGCTACCTCGCTTTCTACCATGACGGTGCTTGGTTGCGGAAGGTGGTGCCTGTGGCGATGTATAGAACCGAGGATGCTTCCGTTGTGCAGGTGCCCAGCGAATGGGGCGAAAATGTAAGGAATGTGCACACTGACTTTCCGGGCAGCGCTCCTTCCAAATGGCTTCTTTACCGCTCGGCACGCACTGAGCCCACCTGGGGTAAACTTGGGTCTACCGGGCTTTCAACCCTGACATGGAAGGACGATGCAGATGTGCAACGTTGCTCAAGCCAGCCTTTCTGCCCCGGGTCCTGCAATCTGGAGCGCAGAGCGCCACGTTTCTCGCATGCTTGATCGGGCGGCCGCACATTGTGTCTTCCGATGGTAAAGCGATGCTGCTGCGGTTGGAGCGTGCAACCGTTCCCCACGCCTGGCGCTGGCTGCTGTGCGTCTTGGCTGATAACCACATCCTCAAGGTCGACCTTGGCAAGCCGCCCATTCTTGATGGATAGCAAGCGCGCACATTCGTCAACATCGATCACATCAGGTCCGACATGACAGCCCCGGTCGGTCTTGTGGTCCTGACCTTGACATGGGAGTCATCTGGCTTCGCCCGGGGCCCTCATTGGGACGGGCGCCATCCCGACGGCGTGATGGATCTGCGTCCCCAAGAGCTGTATCCGTCCGGGCGTCGACCCTCCATCCACAGGCAGCAAGGGTGTTCAACTCCTCATCTCACTAGGATCCTGTTCCCCCGAACTCGGGAGCTCAAACTCTGTAGCAGACATGGCTCTGCCTCTGGACCAGGCCAGCGCGGGAGGCGCTCGTCTCTGCCACAGAATTGGCTCCGCCTCTGGCTGGGGCGACGTGGTACAAGTTCTTGTCGCGAGATGACAAGAGGAGGCAAGTCACAGTCTCTAATGACGGTCGATATGTCCATTTTGGCGGTATGGTGATCGATGTCTTCCAAACTTGCTCGGGAGCTTGGACAGCGCTCAGCCTTCCCTTCGATGACATGGCTCCACAGCAGCACATGCTGCAGCCAAGTATTCTTGAACGACATTTGCTTCGTCGAGACCTTCCTAGTACCATATATCCAGCTGTGCCGTGAGTTGTGGCAGCGATTCGTACGAGGATGAGACTCGCCTCGGAAGTCAAAAGCTTGCTAATTGCTGAGAGTCAGTGTGCAGTCGGCGAGAGATGGGCAGCCGAGACGTTCCTGTCTGTAGTCTGACTCTTCGGAGTTCAAATTTCGAGAAATATGCAGGCCATTTTGCAAAAGATCACGGGGATGTACTTGTGGCAGTGCAGCAAACGGAAAATGCACCGATTTTTGGAAAAGCCCCTTTCACCAGGATCCGGGTGATCAGCTTCTACGCCAGGGGGATTCTAGGGTGGTCAACGCAATTTCAAATTGAATCCTTGCATAATGGAATCATCTTACAGCTTCTGTCTTGGACTTTAAGACGAAGTCGGGGCCATATATATATATATATTCAGGGGTTGCAGCGTCATACGCTTTCTGCGTCGCAGGCCAGCTCTTGATCAAGGTATTTCTGAGAAGGTGAAAGCTTCAAACGATCTCCACATTGCATCGGATTCACCTGCTACTCGGGGAGCCCCCTGTCTTCGCTCACCTTCGATTGTAACGAGTGTGTTACTACCGTTACTCGGGTGACGGTCGAAGGCCATTCGACAGTAGAGGCGCGGCGCTGCCACTTGCGAGACGACATGACCTTGTTTTCGGATGCGGCCCAGCGAGGCTGGCTGCCTGGTGGCCAAGGCAGCGATTTGCAGTGGAGCCGAAATCAACCTCGAATGAGTCGGGAGCGTCGGGCAAAGGTGAGCTAAGACCATCGTCGATGCGCGCCAACGAACAGTCTACATGTACTGATCTCGATACACTACCCCCTCTCATTTCACCAAAGGTCATCATTGCCTATCTCCCGGACTGGGTCCTCACGATCCTACTCGCCGGTGTGCTCGCAATCATCAACAAAGCGCACGGCTTCCGCCGAGAATTCAGCTTGACGGACACTTCCCTTCAGCACACTTACGCCGTGACCGAGCGTGTGCCTGTATGGCTACTGGTCGTCACGACAGTGATCATCCCGATCGTTCTCATCGCATTCATCGGACTGGTGACCTGCCGCTCATTTTGGGACTGTCATGCTGGTTTACTCGGTCTCATTCTCGCGCACGCGCTTACAGTTACGGTATGTTTGTAAGCGACCTGCATCAGTACTTCAGGATAAGCTGACTATATCATGCGTGCTTGTAGGCCACAACAATCATCAAAGTCACAGTTGGCCGTCCCAGACCAGACGTGATCGACCGCTGCCAACCGCCCGGCGAAGCAAGTAACGCATCTCCGTATGGTCTCGTGACGGATGCGATCTGCACCCGTCCCGTGGACAGCAGCATCATCACTGATGGCTTCCGCTCCTTCCCATCGGGGCACTCGAGCACCGCCTTTGCGGGCATGGCCTTCCTGTCGCTCTACTTGGCCGGGAAAGTACGACTATTCGATCACCGCGGCCACGCCGCGTCAGCATGGCTGGTCTTCTTCCCAATGATCGGCGCCACTTTGATCGCCATCTCCAGGTTAGAAGACTACAGGCACCATCCAACTGATGTGATCGCCGGGGGTATTCTCGGCACTATCATCTCCACCACCATCTACCACCTCTACTACCCACCACTGTGGGACAGGCGCTGTCAGAAGCCGTGGGCGCCGCGTATTCCGAGGCAGACACTGCCATCCAACGAGCTTGAAGCGGAGGGGCTCGCGGCTGAGCCCTATCATGAGCACGCGAGTGACTCCGCTGGTGGCGCCCAGTGTGTCACTTCCACCGATGGCTTGCCCACCATATCCCCCCATGGCGCACCGGTGCAGCCGTACAGTCATCCTATTACACCATAGTAGGTCCGATCGATGGACTAGTGTATGAAGACCAAATATATATTGACGATTGATGTTGTAATCACGGACAACGCATTTTCGTCTGGCTTTGGCAGATAATCACAAGTTTCCTACCCTGCAACCCGGAAGCAGAGCCTGCAGCCTTTCGATAACGTATTGCGCGGTGTTGTTCAGTCGATGTCCACAGTATCCCGACGGCAAAGCGATGGGCGAAAGAGCTGGTTCGGGCTGACGTAGACTTCCCTGCGATCCCGCTACTACTGCTACTGCTTCCATAGCCACTACGGCCGCACTATCACCTGTTTGCTTTTGTGTCTCTATCTCCGCCTTTGTTCCTCCATGAAGCATCATAGCCAGCTCCAAGCTAGGAAAGGGAGGAAAGGGGGTCAAATGAATTGCTCGCTTTTGTCCTTGGGAGGGGCGCTTCAGTGAGAGCTGCGAGAACTGACCGTTCGTCATCAGGCATGTCCTGGCGTTGAAGCAGGCTAATCGCCTTGAGCTTGTCCACCTGCGTCATTGCGATCATGCGACCTTCTCCATCTGACAGAGCCGCGATCTCTCTGCGACGCAGTCCCAGCCATCTGATTTTAGACTCCACGCCCTTTCGAACAGACAAGTCAACCATTTTGGCCTGGTCCTCAAGTGAATTGGAGGTATCGTTGTCTGGCTCCATGCCACGTTTCCCGGCAAAGCTCCCACCGTTCTCGTCTCCGTCTCTGTCTCCATCTGTGATATCGACGGTGACATCGTTTGAACGTGAAAGGGCATTGTGCTTGAGAGCGGATCTATAGTTGCGCAAGATGTCGATACCATGCGGGTCCGCGTCGACAAGTGCGAAAATGGGGCATCTGTGAATTACAAAATTTCCGGTCAGACAGCTTTGGCGAGACCGAAAAATGGATATGACTTACCGGGGCAAGTATTCTGTCAATAGGGCTAAGAAATCTGTTGTGGCTTGATCGGGATAGCCTCGACCCTGGTAAGCGAGAACTCAGAACCCAGTCAGTCATGCAGTGAGATTGACGTTGCCTCACAAACTCTTCCTTTCCCTTAACCCTACCAGGGGATACCCACCGTCAGCAGGACACCCTGACCGATTCCTAAACCCAAGCCGGCGGTGATCTTGGATTCGCAGAGGCTCTTGAAGGCTGCTTCCTTTTCCACGGCCAGAATCCACTTGATCTCGCCCAACGCTCGGACGCTCTCGATCATGCTGCTGTCATGGACGATACTTGCTATTCCGTCGTGGCCATCCTCGAACCTTCGCGTCATTCTTATGGGCAGGTTGTGAGCCCTACCTTCCCGATTGTAATGATCCTCAGTGTTGTTCTCGACGTCTGCGACACCAGACAAACTTGGGCTTGGCTCGTCAAATTCAAGCCGGATCCGACCGCTGAAAAGTCCGCGCGGAGAAGCGACGACGCCCAGTGCATTTCTTCGAACACCAAGCAAGCCGCTCAGATTCGTGATGACTCGATTCGCAATGCTCTGCGATCCGAAGAGGGTGACATCGGTGTAAAAGATGTCGCTGTGCGCAGCCGATTGGGCATTGAGAAATGAATCAGCAACGTGACGCCTAGTCATTTAGGATGCAGCTTCTTGCCAAGGACCGCATGTGTTTCTGCATGGGTTTTCAACGGTGATACTTACCGCTGTGTGGTGACCTGGCTACACGAAAGTGCTTCCAAAGCTGCTTTGATGACCGCAAGCCAACGGGCTGAAGCGTTCGTAAGGCATCCGGTCTGTCAGCATTCTATCTCTTGAATCTGGCAATATTCAACTGTACCCAGCGTCGTATATGCAGCTGGAGCTCTTGCAGGAATGGAAATTTCGCGCGCGACTAGTCTCTTGCTACTCTCGCGACTGAAAACCGAGGGAAGCAGGTCGTCAGCTTGCCGCGCCGCGAAATTCTCACCAATGAGTGATCTGACAGCCTCAACGACAGCCTCAACAAGCGCTTCTGTTGGGTGCGGGAATTTTCTCTCAGTTCCACGATCTGCGCGTCGATCGCCTCCGCATCTTCGTCGCTCTGCAAAGTTGCAGATGAGATTAGCCTCTACCTCACGTTGCATCGACGAAGCCCGTCGCGTTCGGTTGAGACCAACATCGAGATTCAGGAGCACATCTTCATCGTCTGTTATGACCGGTGCCTTTTCCGGCCATAAACAGCTGACGTATGGATTGGGATTGTCGTGCTAGGTCCAAAAGAATGAGTAGCATATAGTCAGGTTAGTGATGGAAGCGACAAGGAGAGGGGACGCCACGCAGGGATCGCTAAGATTGAGAACATTCATCTGTCGAGGAAAGTAGCACAAAGGTCCACAATTGCTTACGCACGCCTTCAACCCCTGTGCCGCATATTTTTCGTGAAAATTCGTCTTCATCCGAGTCCATAGGCTCCAGTTGTGAGTCTTCATCGCTGCTTTCTGGGGACGGGTCTAGCTCAGCAGCCAGGTCCGTCACGGCACAATTTTCGCCAACAGTGATCGAGCGTTGTCGCGACAGATGAGGACACAGAGAAGCGCTTTTGGACGTCGCAGAAGACGTCTCGTTTGCTTGTTTCTGACCATCAATCACGAGCAACTGGGCAACAATGTCCTGAAGCGCTTCCTGCAGACCAGCTCGCACTAGCGCACGTGTCTGCTTCAACGTTTCATTGCGAGTGCGAATAGCAGATGAGCCGCTTCGTGCTGGATCTGTTGCTTGCTTGGGCGTGGCTTCTGGAGAAATACTTGCATGTGCCGTAAGCGGACCATGAGACGGGGGTATAGTTGCAAGAGGTGCACCTGGCTCACTGGGAGAGAGGAGGAAATGTCAGTCGCGGACCTCACAGGCTGGTTTGAAAGGGCTGATCGCTACTTGAGGTTGTTTGCAACGGCAGTCGTCAAAGCTAGTGCAGACGGTTCGGAGGTCTGAGAGTATGAATGAATGCCAGCCTCCTTTGCGGCATTCGCATCGAGCGCTGCGCGACCAGAGAGCGAGGATGACCCTTCGCAAGGATGCGGCGACACACGGACCGCACGGGAGACGTGGCAGCTCAGGAAGCTACGAGCCTTGGAATGGATCTTAGCAGGGATGCGGGTGTACGGAGACGTTCTGAGCGACCGGGCTCTGCGGAGATGGCGCAATCTGAGGGGCGCTGATATTTGCGCCTCGTTTGGCCTTTCTCTCAGCATTTTGCAAAGCTCATCAGTTCCTGCTTGAGCGAGTTCCTGCTGAATGCAGATGCCCAAGAGAGAGAGAGAGAGAGAGAGAGAGGTGAGTTGCAGACCATTGAACAGAGGTTCACATAACAGCATACTTGAGCTAGTTCTTTTGGAGCGGCTCCAGTGGGAGATGCACTGACTGACATGAGAGTTTGAGACGTGGCTGGCTGGGGATGACACTGGTGCAGTGTCTCTCTTCTCAGTCTCTTTTGCCCAGCCGCCTCCCCCGCACTTTTCAACCTGAGTGGGGGGGGAGGGGGGTGGCATCCAGCTCGACCAACACTTTTTGCCCGGATGGAGATGGACGAACGCTCCAACCAGCTGAACCCCAGGATGGTATAGAATGCCCATCGTCGACGTATAGATGGCGTACGAGCCACCGCAAGCTGGAGAAGTGACGTACATGACCGGTTGATCCAGCACAAGGCTACTCGCGGCGACAGAGAGGAACACAGCGCACACGTCGCGACCACGTCGAGCCCATCAAACCACGGTTGCGTAGGTCGCACGAGCGCTCGGATCACTCTGTCCATCCATGCACGATCAGTATTGCCAGATCCCACCACGATGGAGGCTAGTCGTGCAGACCTCGTCTCACCCGGTACAGATCCCTCATCGTCGCCGAGGGAGCCCGATCTTCCGTCGATGACGGCCGCTTCAGCATCGTCAGCAGCGCTGACACCACAACAGCCCACAGCGACTGCGCCGCCTGTGACCTGGAACGGCCCAAGTCCGACAGCGTTCAGCGAATTCATCCACTCGCCACGATCTTTCATCCATCCGTCGTTGTCGTCACCAAGAACTGATGCTGCTTCACGAAGCTCGCGGCAAAACAGCCCTGCCCTAGGATCGAACGTCGCGTATCGCCAGCAGGGAACGAAAGGACGTGCATTACTTCGTCATCAGCACAGCTCCATGGGGCATACGCGCAGCGAGTTGGATGTAAGCCCTAATGCGCAACAGCACTCAGGAGGGATGGATCAAGATGCAGGTGTGGGGAATACAGACCAGAGCATGCAGCATGATGTGGCGATGCGATCGTCAGATTCGCAAGAAGGATATCGAAATGGCGGGCCGGCCAATGATGACAGTAGCAGTATGGAAGGCGATGAAGGCGCCAATTCCATTCTTTTCTCGCCAGCAGAGGCCAACTTCATGGCCGAGTCACTGAGCTCGGCGGATAGGATGGACCCTTTCGGGCAGAATGGCTTCGTCGTGCCCGCCAGGCTGCCCCCCCGTCTCGGATTTGGGAGTGGGACACTCGATTGCCAAGGGATGCCCAAAGAGCAACAGCAACGACCGTATTCACACCAGTCGCAGATGCAAGTGCCTCCCCATTCCTCCTCGCACCAACAGTATTCCCCTCCTCACCATCACAGTTTGCAGCAAATAGAGACCAAGTTCGGGGAAGCCTCTACGTCGAAACACCAGCTGACAGGCCGCGATGCCAGCACCTCTTACCCGGGGAACCGATTTTCACCAGCACAAGGACAGCGCTCCCTCGAGTCTTTGCGCGCGCAGTGGGCAGCGACGGCACTGCTTGGCGGTCGATCATCGTGGGACGTGCAGATGCAGTCGCGCGCAGCTGTGTACCAGCCTTCGTGGCCAGCCGGACTACCGGGGAGCAGCTCAGCCGCCAGCATGTCCGGAGACCGAACGCAGCAAAATGGCATGGCCTTCGTTGATCACTTTGGGCCCTCTAGCAGTCTGCGTGATGTGGCAGAAACCCTGCGGAAACAGAAGGGCGGTATAGGTGCGCCGCCAGGCAGCACCATGATTGCGGAAGGGCCCGAGGCCTCTGGGCTTGCAAAATCTGGGAATTCGGATGCTGGCGGTCTCGTGCCGGACGGATTCAATGACATGCCGTTCCAAGCCAATCCGCTAGGTCCTCCGGCAGGCATGACGAACCTGTACAATCCCAATGTCGTCCCATTGAGCGCCGCAGCGCTCGAAGCGCATCAACAAGTCTTCGGCCCGCTCAAAGTACGCAGGCCACAGTCAGGCAGAGGCACCACATCAAGCAAGACACTGGCGACTGGGTATGGCAATAACCCACAATGGCAGATGCAGCAGCTGCATTTCTTGCAGGAGCAGAGGGAACGCGCGTTGCTACGCAAAGAAAGGGCGGAGCAGGAGGCCAGGGACCAGGCGCGCATGGCATCCCTGCAGGGGAATGTCCCTTCCCTCTCGCAGATTAGCCAGGCATTCCCGAGCAATCATCAGTTCCCTGGTGGGCAATCTGGATCAAAGCACGAGGTTCTGCCGACTGTTCCTCGCCTAGTGTCACCAGGCCAGCATTACGATGCCCAGAGGGGTGCAGGACGCAATGGGCAAACTGGCAGCAAGAGCAAGTCTCCGCCCGCTGGTCAAGGGTCGGCGATTGTCTTCAATGCTTCCGGCTGGAAGCCGACAATCTTCAATATCGAGATCGATGCGAGTAGAGCAAAAGACAAGATGCCCGCGCACCTTATGGATCTTTTGCTTACGGATGCGGAGCACAAGAGGCAGCCGCATCTCCAGCGTCTGCGGGAGCAAATCGCCTCGGGCGAGATCGAGGATCCGCAGATCAAAGTGAGAGAAATGGAGGCAGAGAGAGAGTGTGAACGAAAGCGGAAAGAGCCGCATCAGCTGTTAACGGACGCGGAGAAGAAAGCGAACCACATTGCGAGCGAGCAGAAACGCAGGGCAAACATCAAGAAGGGCTATGAGGGTCTCAACGAGCTTGTGCCTGCGTTGCGCGACGCGCTGGATAAAGGTGGTGGGATGGAATCTGGAAACGCGGGCGGGGACGATGGGTCCGACGAATATGATAGCGACGAGGCGGACGTCTCGTGCAAGAAGAAGCCAACCAAAAAACAAGGCGCGGATGAGAAAGCTGAGCCAGGCCGGACAGGCCCGAGGAGCGAGGCGATTGTACTTCATCGGAGTGAGTCCCTTTCCTCGTTCGGGGCATAGCCCCTCTTCTCGTCATCACCGTGCTGACATGAGCTGTCTACCTTGACCCTAGCTCTTGATTATATCCGCGACCAGCTCGAGGCGCATGCACGCCTTTTGGCAAGGCGCAAGCATGCGAGAGCATCGTTGGCCGCCCACTACGGCGTCGACATCCGCGTACCCGCGAAACCTTCCTCCGACTAGCACGCTTCCATCCGTTTTCCGCCATCGCACGTAGCGCTTCCCACGAGACTTCTCTAATCTAACATCATTACGTTGTCTTGGGCTAGTCGCAATAGGTCAATACTTTGGGCTTGAACTGCGCGTTCCTTGTCTCTGCACGATTGCTTCTCAGCCTGCCGAGCCACCTGCATGATATCTCCTCACCACCAGTCAGAATGGTTGACTGTAGAATGCCCTACTCTTGCACTGTCAGCAATAACACACACATACACAAAACCATGAATGCCGCCGACTAGACTTTTGAAGGAGATGGGAAAGGATCGGGGTTAGATAATTATCATTACAGGAAGATCTTGCAGTTTGCGATTGAGTAGAAGGGGAGTTTCCGCATTGTAGGTGCGATCCAGAAGCTGTCTATTCGGTGAAGGTTGGGAAGCATTCTTTCAGCGTCTGGAGTTGGGTGAGGGCGTAGGGCTGAAATGAGCAAGCTGCTTTTGAAGTCGAGCCTATCGCAAGCGACTTACCTTTGAGTGCCGGTCTTGCGCATGCTGGATTAGCTAATAGGTCGCGCGCATTTTCGATCAATCAGCTGCTGGTTGATGTCTTCCTCAAAGAGAGCCTCTAAACTGGAATGCTTACAGCTGGTGACCGGGTCGTCGCTAGAAATGTCTGTCTGCAGGTCATACACTGAATATTCTTGGCCGCCTCGTTCACTTTGAGCTGCGACGTAGGACCTTTCTTGGAATCCTTTGCGTTGCGCTCACGCTTCTGCTGTGCTCTGTTGACCAATTAAACCAGGACGCAGGGGAGGCGGGATATTTACAATGAGCGTTAGTCCAAGAATGGTGAAGCGATGGCTGATTGTTCTGCTTAACGCCGCGTTCGTGAAACTGTTCGACTCACTTTGCTCCGTTACCCATCTTGCTTTCGCTCCGCTCTTGGAACTTCTATGATGTCCAAATATTATGGGTGCCTCTGCCTTCTGGTACTTCGTCCAGTTCCTTTAAGGGAGTATGATACAAAGCGTAGGGGAGGGGGAGGAGATACTCAACCGCTTTAGAAAACTTGCTGTAGGACGACATCTGAAAAGTGTGAGAGGCAGTAAATAATTCTCGGCCGATTCACATCGAGTGAAGGACCGAACATTTCTTTCTCCCAAAAAGAAAGAATTCAAACCCCCAGAAGGCCAGAACCCAGAGATGACATCAATACTTCCGCTTTCTTCAAATTCACGTTTCAGTGACGTTGTTTAATGAGTTCTAAAGTCCTTGTCATCACTCATCTGCCAGGACGTTCCAATCTGGATTTGCCAACATCTAACATTGGTAACTCAACCTTGAATGGCTCGTTCGCAGCTCGTACGGCGAATGGAGAGAGATCGAACCGACCTACGATTGTGACCGCGAGCAGCGCTGCTCACACCTTGGTAAACAGGAATCGCAACATCGATGAGGCAGATCCACCAGAGCAATGCTGAAAACTCACAAGTCTGTGAAGATGATATATACTACAAATGCAAGGGTTTCATGCTGAGACCCTTAGAGATAGACGAAATGATAGCCAATACTTTATTCCATCTCGTTGACATGAGGAGGGCTGTTGTTGAGCACTGTCCGGAGAGTGACCGGTCCGCGCTCGGGGTGCTTGCCTTTGTTCTTTTTTCCCGCCGTGGCAAACCTGCTCGGCTCAAAGATTCGGGTCTCTCTAGAAGAAAGCACAGGCGTATCACCGGACGTAGCCTGACGATAGTGATGATGGCTCTGTTTGGAGCTGCCTCCCACAGCAGCGTGCTCGCTGCGGCGAGATGCCATGGTTGGCAGCGCTGGACCCCCTGGCAGTAGGCTGTGCAGCAGATTGATGCGCTCAGCCTTGTATTCGAGCGCGTCGACAGCCTCGAGCACGTGCGTGCTTGTGATCTTATACCGGTACTCGTGTGGCTCAAGGAGCTTGAGCTCATCCGCCAGACTGCAGTAAATCTCGCGTTGGTGCCAAAAGTCGTCGAGCAATTCTTCGATCACTCGCTGCAGAACATCGAGCTTGCCTCCATCCAATATGAGAGCCGCCTTGGCATTCTTCGGGCCTCCATCAGCAACAGAAGCGTCGATGAAGGCTAACAAGGCCTCCTCTTCTTGCACCATGGCTGTTCTCTTGCGCTCAATCTCTTCCAGTTTCTCTCTCTTTGCGTGCCTGCGTCGCTCGCTCTTTCGGGCCCTGCTACACACTGTGCACTTACGGGGGTCGTGCGAATGATCATCGGCGCCGAAGACACAGCCTGACTGCGTCGCTACGGATCGGAACGTCGCTTCCGCCCGCTCTTGCGCCACCATCGAGATGTCCTCCTCGTCAACGAGTCGAGTTTGAGTTGGTCGAACGGTCTCGTCTGCATCATGCTGAGAGCCCGCGTGAAAGAAGCCTTGTGCACTACCTGCATTGTTCGTCGATTCGCGCTGACCGCTGTGTTCGTCGCGGGAGCGATGCTGCATCTGGCTCTGCTGTGGAAGAAAAGGACTGCGCGATTTGCGCATCGATGCAGACTTCTTGATGGGCGAGCTGGCGACAAGAGGGTTCTCGAACCGGGCTCTGTGCTCTGACGCAATGCGCCCTCCACCATCATCCTCCCGCTCGTCGCCTTCGCTCCCGTATCCTCTGAGCACGGTGCTACGCCTTCCATTTCGCTTGCTGTTTAAATTTTCCACAACATGACCTTCGACGACTCCCCGCAGCTGGCCGAGCTCCGAGGCGATCCTTGCCACGTCGCTGCGGAGCTCCAAGATCTGCTGCTGCAATTCGCTGTCGTCTGCTCGAGAGTGGTTGGACTTTGCTGCAGAAGCAAATGCAAAAGTGGCTGACTTGCGATGCTGTTGCTCTTCCCGGAGCCTTTGGATTTCAGCTTGAGAATGCTGCAGCTGAAAGGTGAGCTCTTGGATCTGGTCGGACAGACCATCGCCCTCGACCATAGATGTCGACGGCTCAGCCATGCGGCTGTCGTGATGAGAATTATCAGATTGGCGATACCGCTGTTGTTGCGAGGACTGAGAAGTGCGCAAAGGCTCGCGCCTGGTCTGCTTCTCAGCCCTCTCGTAGTCCTTGCTCGCGTATCTGATCTCCTCTTGAAAGCCGCTCATTTGCTCATTGATACGGATGACGTTCGCTACCAAGCTCTCCTGTGACACTTCGAGCCCCCTGATTTTGTCGTGCGTTGCGACTAGTTCAGCCTTCATTCCTTCGACATACGTCTCAAGCCGCTGCAGCTGCTCTTCTCTATGGCCGTTCGTGCCCACGTTCTCTCCTACTGGCACGTGCCGCACGCCCACGCGCTCCTTGTCCGGCGAGTTCAGCGCTGATGTCAGTCCGGTCACATCGGGCAGATAGAGACCAGTAGCGGGCGCGCCAGGACCCATGTCCTGCCCACTCGGGAGATAGAAGTGGTTCAAGCGCTTGCCTTGGAGAAGAGGGCTGCCTGCCCACTCCTTTGTCTTGAGTGGATGCTGGTGGTCAACCTTGGTAGCAGCGCTGGACTCTTGACTGCCAGCTACAAAGCCACTGCCCGAGGATGAAGACCGTTCAGCATTTTCGTCTTCAATGCCGCGCAAATCTTTCTTCAGCCCAGCAGCCAGGACTCCGAAGGCGGACCCTGCAGGCGATATTGCGGCTCCGATACTGTGCATAACCTTCCTCCTAGGCGCTGCTCCCGCATCTGATCCACTTCCAGCGTGTGCCTCTGGCCTCACGTCTGCAGCCGCTCTGTGCTGCACAGACTGACGGCTCAAACTGGCACTCGCCGGGCTGGGACTCTCGGGACTCCTGATGATCCGCGAATGGGCAGCGATAGGTACACGCGGAGACGGCCCAGGGCGCAAGAGAGCCTGGATTTGCGCTTTCGCTGGAGCGGAAGTGCCCACAAAGGGGGAGTTGGGATCGTGGTACATTGAGATCTTTGTGTGGTTGCACTCGGAAATTCGCGTCGCCTTTGTTCTCGAGGAGAGAGGATCCTGTACAAGAGATTCAGAATCAGCGCAGCTTCGAATAAAATATGCAAAATGATCTAGCACTGACCTCAGAGCCCTTGGCATCCCTAACGTCCTGCATCATCTCCAATCTCTCGATGATCTCCTCCGTGATCTTCGCTCGCCTGTCGTATGCGACGTACGAGTCGACACTCTCATCGATCGGCGTAGCTCTAAGTGCTTCATGATTGCCTGTAGAGTCAGCCCTGTCTCCAATGAAGCGGGGCGGGTGATGCGAAGAGCAATCTGAGTCTAAATCCGAGTCGTCCGAACCGTCCGAGGCGCGTGGATGCTGTTGCTGCCGCTGATGCGCTCCGCTGGAGAATACATCGCCATTGCGACGCGTGGCGACCTTGCGGGATGCAGGATCTTGCAAATCTTTTGAGGGCGAGGCGAAGTGGGACATGCTGGGTCGTTGTAAGCCGCTTGACGCTAGTTGCATTGTTTGCCTTGAGACTGCAACTGGCGAGATTTGGGGGTATGAGGTACGCTCGGTGGAGTGCTGTGTCATGGCATTGGAACGGGTCAGATGCTGAACATTGCTTCCGAGCGCTGCTGCTCGCCGAGCAGGCGAAGAGTTTGGTCGGTACGTCCCACGTCCGACGCCAGGTATTTCGGTACCGTCTCCCACGTCATCCGAGAAATACTTCTCGCGGTGATGGGTATGCTGGGCACGATGAGAGGCAGCATCGGAAGGCTGTGACGTGCCACTCTGACGCGTATGTGCCAAGTTGAAGTCGCTGCTGAAACGAGCAGCTTGGTTGTAACCCATTCTCTCCTCGAACTTGCGGCGTTCTACCTCCTGCGCTGAGATGGGAATATAGAAAGTCATTCTGGGCGCCAACGACTCGGGCGGCTCTCACGCAGGTTGGTGAGAGAAGCTGCTCGAATACCGCATGCGATCTGAGTGAGCTGTGATGCTGCGGATGCCGATTTCGTCAGCACCGATATGCCCAGGTAAAGGAGGAGGGAAGGCAGAATCGAGAATGCGCACTCGTCGAGATGCGCACCGCGCATCTCTCCTTTGCCTGACGTTCGCGGCCACTCTCTGCGTTGTTTTGGTGGCGCGCCGCCCATCAATACGCGACGCGACCATCACGTGATAACAACTTGGTGAATGCAGCGTTTGGGGCATTTACGAGTATGTACCACATCAACAGCATCGCAGCGGCTTCACATTTTTTTTTTCATTGGTGTAACGGTGCAACTTTTCGCCCGCCTGTGCCGGTGACTTCTGTGGAGAGCATGTGGGTTCGAGCTTGATGAGATCTTCTTTTTCTATCTCTCCGCGTTTCAGTCCTCCAGCCTCATCAAGGCCAAGCGACATTACATAGCTACTACGCCTTTTGCGTCAACAACAGAAGCAGGAAGCGGGCGTCTCCAGCGGCCCCTCTGCACCGCAAACATGAGCACCTCGTACAGAGCATTGCGAGTGCTGTTCCCTCGGCGCGGCCTCGCGCCATTCTGCGCGAGTGTGGCATCAGTATGCCCACTTACGCAAAGGCCGGCTCTTGTTGGTGGCCACTCGCGAATTTTCTCTTCACATGCGACATCTTCTTCCGCTGATGCGGAAACGGCATTGAATCCCTTAACAGCGGCAGGGACAACTGAAGGACGACACGCAGACATCGCCGCAATGACGAAGCTAGCGTTAGGGAAGAGTGCCTTGGAGCATTCTGACGTGCGCATTCGACGCTGTGTAATGTTGATGCGCCTGCCGCACAGCGTAACTCCGGATGATGTGCGAGGAATTGCGCGCTCTGACGTCAATATACTTAACAGAATTAATAAAGGTGCGTCATGTGTGTCGTAAACTGCTGCATCAAACTTATGTTCGTTGAGTATAGCTAATTCGTATTTCCACAGTCCGACTCCTTTACAACCGCCATTTCAAACCTAACGGTAGAGCGATCGTCACACTTGGAACCTATAAAGCTGCGGAATCATTCGCAGAACTAGCTCGCCAGTCCACGGTCGGCGGGGAACCCTTACATGCCAAAGTTGTAAGTCGCATTTCAAGATGGCACGTTAACTTTTCAGGGGGGTGCCGACGTGTGTTTCTCACGCCTTTTTCATGTAGATCACGACACGCGAAGCTGCAGAAATCCTCCTTCCAATGATTGGAGGATCCGACAGACCCGTCGGATTCTTTAATGCAATGCACCTCCGATCGTCGCTTGCATCTGTTCTGTTGAATGAAGGCACTTTTTCAGGTCGCTTAGTTCACATGCGCGGTTTGCCGCAGCGTTGTAATGCGGGGCGCATCGCTCGCTTGCTGGAAAAAGGCGCGTACGCGCTGGATCGGCCTGGCGGTCTAGCCGCTTGGAATCGGTATTTGGATGCGTCGCAGAGAGCTAAGAGAGAAGCATCCAACAAGCAGCGGTGCGTAGACGTTGATGGAACAGAAGGAGATAGGCACTTGGCAACCAGTGGTAAGACAGGGCTGGTCCGACCGGTCATGGAAGTACCGCGCTCGTGAGTGGCTCTTTGGCATTTGCTACCTATAGGTCGATCTGAAACTGACATTCCACTCGACCTCCCCTTCACCCTCTTTCTGTGGTATGTCTATACCCTTTACTGAAGACACCAAGACTCGGCGACGAGATCGTTCTTGATCCGATTTAAGACGGAAAGTGAAGCGCACCGATTCGTGCGACGCTGGCATCGCATCCCGTTCGACCCAGAGCGCTTTGGAGCGACTTACACTGTTGATACTTGCATCTTGCATTGATTATTGATCCTTCATCATGGGGGAAGAAGGCATTTGAGGAGCAGCGTAATCGATACACGGATTTTGATGATCACGGATCATAGGTCTGCCATATACACATTGATCTTCTCTACTCTGAATGATCTCGAAGGAACGTTGGATTTGTGTCAAGTTACGTTTGCTCGGAGGCCAGAATCTGCCCCGTTCTCCTGGTGGTTGTAGGGTTGAACTGGCACCTGACCTTGCTCTACTAGGCTTACGAGTCGCCCTAATGGTTTACCTTATCAACGACACGGAGCTCAGGCCCACGAGCGCGCAGAAGCTGCAGAACGAGGATGCCGGATCAGCGGTCAGTTATATGATACACAGGCCACTTCAGGGCGCTGGCGAGTCGAAGGCCGATCAGCCACATCAGCATTAATAATCAGCGTATCATCAGGAATCAATCACCATGGAATCATGGCTGCGACGGTCGCCGAAACGTAGATCCAGTGGTCCCGAGTTTCAAGGGGCGAAGCTTAAGTGACAAGAGCGCCCATCAAGCGAGCGGTGAGGTGCATTCGAATTTGGATGTCATTTAAAGAAAGGCTGTGATGACTCGAGCCTCGATGACTCGACATTTGCTGGTACAGTATGTATGTATATAAGAGTATACAAAATAAGGCACCACACATGGAAATCAAATTCATCAAATACAGGCGTAATAGGAGCTGTGTCTCATACATTGCACGAACACGATGCCAGAATCACGGGTAACCGCATGGTCATCGGGGTTGCGTCGAGTCCGCAGAGAGTTGAGGCGTGGGAACTTGGAGACTGGAGTCCTCGAAGGGAATGCATACATGCAAAAAGCGCTAGAGGTTGACACAGTTGCCAAACCCTGACCATTGGCCATCCCTGTTTGAAGGCATACCCAGAGTACAGACTGAGCAGCTGTGACCAGCACCCTTAAGCAAAAAAAATTGCCGTCGTATTGTGATTCAAGCTAAAGGCTTCCAAGAGATGCAGACAGCATAACAGCCATTGTCCGCGGGCTGCGAGCTGCGATTTGCGACCATCGTGGACCATCGTATATCGGGCGTAGGTTGTGTAAGATCATCGTGTTCGCTACACTTCGCTGTGACGGTGTGATCTGGTGTGGCATATTGGGCTGTTGTGGAGAGTCAGTACGTGTATGTATGTATTTGCAAATTGAATCTCGTCAGGCACGGATCTCTCAGTTGATGCAGCCCTGCTGGTAGCCCGTCGTTGCACTGACCATCAACACAGAGGCACAGAGCTGTTGTCAGTCTGGCATTTGGCATTGACTTTCGGTAGCTTTATTCATGCTGCGCAACTGCGCCGACGTGGCACTGGGCAGCATGTCACAGAGTCAGGCTTTCAAAGATGCCCCTCAAGTATGCTAACAGACCACGCGGCGCGCAGCTGCTGCTGCGCCGGCTTCGCCACGGCGTCACAAAATGTGACTCGGACTAACTGTACTTCTGCTTGCCTTCGACTTGGGGCTTCAGTTTCCACCACAACTTTATAACCACCACTTTCAGAACTACTGGCATATCGATCGCTTTTCGTCTGCACTTAGATTCACCAATACGCTCTGATTCTGCTTATCCGCCTGCCAAAGGAAACGCCTGCCGAACGTGTGCATACGCAAAACAGGAGTTGTAAAGGAAGGCGCATTTCTTCCAAGATTCAAGTTGAAGGGCGACCCGAAGAACCAGACTCGTACACACCCAAGCTGCGCAAGGGATACAAAAGTAGAGCCAGGATCCCATGACGAAATGCATAGGCCCATTCGAGAAAGACCAAAACTCATGATGACTGCAGCATCTTTAGGCGTACAGACGGTGCCTCATGGGCTAGCACCCAGGATCGATGGACAGCATACGGCGCGGCATCATGACAAAGGCGAACAGTACTCAAGCCATACCTCTGCGGCGGAGCCAATAGCCCTAGTTCTCCTCTCAGTCGGCGTTTTTTTCCTGCTACGAGCTCTACTTCGCTCCGTGCTCCCTGGGCGAATTTTCCTGTCTTCCTCCTATGATCAGCAACGCAGCTCGACGCTCCCGATATCGAGCGACCAACATACAACCTCCTCAGTCCCAGAGAAGTACGAGAATGAAGAAGAGCGTAAGCTGGGCGAGGCAGCGCTTGGCGTTGAAGTCAACCATGATGACTACCGACGCAGGGGTCGCAGCCGTGTCGCTGGCCTTGCGCTTGTTGCCGTGTTCCTGCTTACTTTGAGCGCTGCGCAGACCGCTTGGGTCACTGCAGCGCATCCCAAGTGGAAATATCTGCTAGCTGACTATGCGTTACGAACAGGAATATGGGTATGTAGATGCGCACAGGAAATGAAAAAGTCGCACCAGTGATGCTTGCTAATGCCTTCCTTGACGGGTGCAGCTTCTCATTCCTATTCTAATCCTTCGACGCAATGCACTGTCAGCATTCATGTTCGCCTCTACGCTGTCACTCGCCGCGTTTCTCGCTTTTGCTGCACAGGCTCTCACGCTCCTCATTGCAGAGGACTTTTCTGTCTTTCCTTCGCTGGAAGACGCTGGCCACACAGACACCTTGTACGCCAGCAGGGCTCCAACGCGGTATCAATTTACCGGCACGAGTGCACGCGCCGTTGGTGCTGTGCTGCAGAGCTTTGGATTGCATCTACTAACACCCGATAGAGACGTAACTTCATTCGTTCAGATGACGATGCACCAGTCCATGGAGCGTGTCGACTGGGCTGTGCGAAGCTCGCTCTTCGCGCAACTCCTCACGCTCCTCCTCTCCTCCATCGCGTTGGTGTTGGCCGGAACGATCCCCGTCGGCCCGGCACGCATCTACCAGCCTTCTCCAACCACTGAACCTGCACAGATGATCGGAATGGGCTGGCTAGGCGGCGAAGCAGTCATTCCGCGTCTGCTACACACATACATGACTCCTATAATCCTTTTTGCCAACCGCAGTGGCGGCTTGGAGGCGAAGGACTTGCCATATCTGCACGCAGAGCTACGCGCTATCACGCTCTTCGGCGACATGCGCGCTTCCTGGCGACACATGCGGAGCAAAGTGCATAAGCCTACACCGGCGACGCTGCTCCGGGCTGTGCTGAACACGATGCGAAGCGAAATCACAATTTTGCTCTCGATCTCGTGGCTCAGTGCGATGCTTTTCTACGCTCCTGCATTTTGCATCAACCGCTTCGTCAGCGTTTTTGAGCAGGGGGAGGCCAACGGCGTGCGCGACGTACGCACAGGTGTCGTCTGGGCCCTCGCCATGTTCGCAACTAGCTTAACTCAGAACGTCCTCATGGGCATCCTCATGATGGTCTGCAATAGTGGGCTCAGGTCGAAGATCAAGCAACAAATGACATCGCTGCTGTTCGAGAAGGCACTCAGGAGGCAAGAGATATCTGGTGGCGCGCCGGAAACGAAGACGAAGGACGAGAAAAAGAAGATTGGTGAAGGAGATAGCAGCGCAAATGGCTCCTCGCCCAGCGCCACTGTGGCTGAGGTCGAAAACGGTGGCAACGACAACAACAATAAGAAAGATGGAAAGAAAGAGAAGAAGGGTGAGGAGGATGAAGAAGAAGAGGAGGGCGCCAAAAGGTTTGCATCCAAAGCTGCCGTCATGACGCTTGCATCCAACGACACGGATCGGATCGCCAACTTGTCCTTTTACCTCTTCACCATGTGCGTCGCGCCCATCGAGATCATCGTGGGCTTCAGCTTTGTCTTTTTCCTGCTCGGATGGGGTGCTGCTGTTGGTCTGGTCTCATGTCTACTGCTTGTTCCTGTCATCCATCTCCTCGCCAAGTGAGTACGAAGATGCTGCTTGCACGGAGGCGGGGACCCGGAAAGGCTAATGCGAATTTGAACACTTGCGCCCGGAGACTCGATTCTAAGTTCCAGGATCGACTGATGAAAACGCGTGATCAGCGCGTCACTTTCCTCAACGAGGCGATTGAAGCTGTAAGTCAGACTTTTGGTTGGCTGTCGAGACGACACTGCACTGACTCTTATTAACGTGGTCCCATGCTGCTAGATTCGCATGATCAAATTCTCCGCCTGGGAGACGAAAGTGATGGACCGCATTATGATCTCCCGTCGGAAGGAGCTGAAGGAGTTGCACAAAGTATTCCTGTGCGAAGTAGGCAACGAGACCGTCATGTCCTTCTCACCTATTCTCGTCATCATCATCGCATTCTTCTGGTCTATCCTTGTCGACGGACGCAAGCTCACGCCTTCCAAAGCTTTCACCGCCGTTGCAGCATTGAACGAGCTGAGGTTCGCGTTGATCGAATTGCCGTCGTTGATCGAGTCGTGAGTTCCCGCTGCACTGTCGTTGAAGGGTATCTTTCCGGGCCCAAGCTGACTTAGCTCTTCGAACTATGGACTAGTCTCGTTGAGCTCTGGGTTTCACTACGTCGTATCGTGGCATTCTTGGAGCTTCCTGAGGTCGAGCTTCCACACGGGGAGGCAGCTGAACCGATCAAAGAAATCAGGTTCGAGAATGCGACCGTCACTTGGCCGGTGCACCCGCCAGAGAGTGGCACACAGCCAGCTGCAGCTCCTGTCACTGACCCTTTTAAGCTGAAAGGGGTCACTACCACCTTCGAATACGGGAAGATAAATCTCATTTGCGGAAAAGTGGGCTCCGGAAAGAGCATGATGCTGCTCGGTCTACTCGGCGAATTGACACTCGATGAAGGCATCATTGTTGGTCCACGATCGCATCCCAATGCCCTTGGCGGCCCTCTGACTGCACCTGACTTCATCAAGCCGGATGAGTGGATCCGCTCGGACTTGGTGGCATATATTCCGCAAACCGCTTGGCTTGTCAATGCTAGCTTGCGAGGTGGGTCCACCTGGCCACAACATCTATTCCTGATCTGAAGATACTGACTTCAATGGCACCGCAGACAACATTACGTGGGGCTTGCCCATGGATGAAAACCGGTACCGCGAAACGCTGCGCGTATGTGCTCTCCTGCCTGATCTTGCGATCCTCGAAGACGGCGACTTGACTGACATTGGTGAACAGGGCATGTGAGTAAAGCTTGGCGCATCGCGAGTTGCTGCTTCGCTCACCTTGTGCTTGCGCTTGCCCCAGTGGTCTGTCGGGAGGACAAAAAACGAGGGTCTGCTTGGCTCGATGCGTTTACTCTCGAGCCAGCGTACTACTCCTTGACTCTCCTTTGTCAAACGTTAGTATTCCCTGTGGACAGAGTCGAACGTGTGTCTCATCACAAACTCCATTGTTTTGGCAGGTCGATGCGCATACAGCCAGCCATATCCACGAAGAACTCTTGAAAGGTCCGCTCTTGGCCAACAGAACGACTATCTTGGTCTCGCACCAGGTTGCTATGCTCGCGCCCAGCGCTGCAAAGGTGCTGCTGCTGGAGAATGGTGAAGTTCGATACGATGGCGATGCAAAAGCCTTTCTTGGTTCAGGTCATTACGCGGGCCTATTGGAAGACTTGGAAGAGGAGGCTGAAACGACCGAGCTGCCTGCTCCAGCACAAGCCAATGAAACCATCTCTTTGCCTTCCTCCGGAGCCGCGACTCCCACAACTGGTGCTACATCGGCTGCTACGACCCCCACGACAAGCAAGGCTCCCAGCATCAACAAAGTCGATCGCGACGATCCCAAAGAAGCTGGAGTTCTCAAGCAGACGCGCAAAGTTATGAGTGAGGAGAGCAAGCAGCGGGGCGCGGTATCGTGGAAGACGTACAGGTCTTGGATCGAAGCAGCAGGCGGGTGGCGATACTTTACTCCAGTACTCGTCCTCTTTTTCATCTTTGCGGGCTGGGATGTCGTTGCCAGTCTCTGGCTGAAGGATCTCAGCGCCGATGCAAATCGAGCTTCGCCAACGCGCACGCCCCTCTACTGGTTGACGGGATACGCGATACTCCTGTCTATGACCAGCGTCATCAAAGCATTCACGTACTTGACGCTCTACATGGTCTCACTTGGCGCCTCGAAGCGCTTGTTCCAAACAATGCTTGTTTCGTGCTTCCGGGCCAAATTGCGCATTCATGACACTATCCCTAAAGGGCGCTTCCTGAATCGCTTTTCATCCGACATGGAAAATGTGAGAGCTCATCGCTGGCCGACTACTGCATTATTAGCAAAATGACTAAACGCGCCTATTCTTCATCAGAACGACCAATCGCTGCCGACATTCTTTGCTGCTTTAGTCAGCTGCTTCCTTAGCTTTGTATTTGGCATCGTAGCCGTCGTGATTTCCGGCGGTGCCAACTTGATTGTGATTCTATTTTTCTTGGGACCTTTCATCTACTATACTGGCTCTTTGTACCGGACAACTACAAGAGATGTGCGGCGTCTCGAGGTGAGTGATCTGCTTTTGCTAGCTAGACAAGCTGCTGACAGCCACGCAATACTGCGGAGATCACAGGCAATCTCAAGATCTCCCATCACGACTTGCTTCTCTGACCTGCTGTCCGGCGCGGTTGTTGTGCGTGCGTTTGGCTCGTCAGGTCGCATGATGGCGGACCTTCTTTCGAAATCCGACAACAGCACCCGATTCACATGGCTGCTTTCACAAACAACCCGCTGGATGATTTGCTTGTACCAACTGAGCTCTGCGCTCCTTGTGCTTGCCGGCAGTCTGGCACTGCTTTTCAACCCAAACACGAACAGCGCTGGCGCTGGCTTTGCAACCTCATTTCTCGTTACGACGGACTTCTTACTAGCCATGGCACTGCTTTGTAAGTTTCGCGACCAGCAGCGCCATCAACTCTTGTGTACGAGGACTGACCTGCTTTGATGTCCTCTGACAGGCACCTCCAATTTCGAGCAGAAAGCTGTTTCGACAGAGCGCATTATTGAGTATCAAGAACTGCCTCAAGAGCCTCCTACTCACCTACCGCCTGGGCCTCCTCCATCGTGGCCGAGCGAAGGATCGGTTGAGATTGAAGACTTGGAGATCAAGTATGCACCGGAGCTGCCTACCATTTTGGAAGGAATCTCGCTTGCGATTCCAGGACGAGCAAAAGTCGGCATCGTCGGCAAGACTGGGTGTGGTAAATCGACACTGGCGTCGTGCTTCTTTAGATTCGTCGAGCCCGTTTCTGGTCGCATCAAGATCGACGGGGTAGACATTTCCACACTAGGACTCGAAGAGCTGCGATCACGTATCACGATTGTCCCGCAAGATCCTGTCATTCTCAGCGGGAAGCTACGAGAAGCGGTGGACCCATTCTATGACTACTCTGATGATGATGTGAAGGCTGCGCTACAAAAAGTGCATCTCGTGCCAACGGATGAGATCGCAGCAGCTTCCAGTCCATTCTCAGATCTCTCCTATGCTATTTCGGAAGGTGGATCCAACCTCAGCGGTGGCGAACGACAGTTGATTTGTTTGGCGCGCGCACTGCTGGGATCGTGCAAGCTAGTTTTCTTGTGAGTACGCGACCACAGGGTTCTCGTCATGACTCTCGTTGACAAAACACGCTGGTTGCTACCTCACAGCGACGAGGCGTCTTCGGCCTTGGATGCAGAGACTGACGCTGCGATTGCCGAAACCATCCGAAAAGCTTTCATCAATTCGACGGTTCTGACTATTGTGAGTGAAGCTGAAGCGAATGTGATCGAGATTCAGCCGCAGTGCTCATGGCCTCGCTCTCGTTCATCCTCCAGGCACATCGCTTGCGGACGATAGCAGACTTTGACTACATCCTTGTCATGGACAAAGGTCAGGTTCTGGAGTTTGACAAACCCATCCGGCTGATTGATGATCACAATAGCCGCTATCATAAGCTCTGCAAGGCAGCAGGCAAGGCAGAGTTCCGAGAACTTCGCGAGATGGCTCTCCGGGCTTCGTCACGATTATAGAAGCATGGGCGCTAAGTCGGCGCACTGCCGAAAATCGCCACATTTGAATTACACTATTTACGCTGTAGTGACCTCGCGGAATCCCATCCTTGCGCGATACATGTCATCCTTGAGTTTGATAGCTTCTTGCCAGAGCCTCTCCTCCCAGTTGAGATCGTCGCCACCTTCCACCGGGATGACGCTGCGAGCAATGAGCAGCGAGGCCGGAGGCGGGGTAGGCGTGACGCGAGGGACCGGTTCAATATTGGCTATTTTGCTGTCTACGGCGCCACCTGGTGGTGGAGGAACCGGCCGCCTGCGAGCTGGTATGGGGGGAGGCTGCGTTGCAGGCGTTGTCGCCGTTTCTGCTGGCGCTACTGGGGGCTCTAATGGAGATGTATCCGACTTTTCTTTGATGGTTTCCGAGTTATTCACTTCCTCACTGACAGCATCGACTGTTTGCCCGCCTTGTACCTCTCCATATGCGTTCCGCTTCTCCGCATCGCCTTCTTCAGCGCTCTTCTTACCTTCTTCTTCGTCTTTCGCAACTCGTTCCTCCAGGACAGACACAGCTATCGATTCGGTCAGGGTATCGGCATTGGGAGCCAGGTCCTTGTCCTCGAAAGAGATGTGGTCGAAATTGGATGATGCTTGACGCGTCGGAGGTTCCGCGGTGCCTGTGATCGGATACTCGTCCCATGGCGTCCGACCCTCTAAGATGATGGAACGTTCCAAGGCGCGCAGCCAGCCCCAGAAGGCACAGACTGCGCGCAAGCGGTCGAGGCAGTGATGCGGGCAAAGAAGGTAGCGCGCATTTGCATTGTCCGAGAGGCGGAAGATATGCGTAGGGATCGGAGGGATGAAGGTCGCTTTGGGCGTGAGCGACGGGTTCTGTAGCATGAGGGGAAGCATGATAAGTAAGGAATGTCCAGGTGAAGGAGCCGAGCGGCATCTGGCACACGCACAACATCATCGGTCTCGGATGAGCTGCCAAGTCCGAGGCCGGGCAGACCAGGCAACCTTTGGGCGATGCTCGCACCCGCTCGCTCTGGCTTGGGGCTGGCGGAAGCCAGCCTAAGGCCAGAGAAGAGACCCGTGCGACTTCTCGTCGTAGCGCTGCCTTCTCCAGCAGTTGTCGCTGCGCCGGTGTCACCGTGACTGGTGCTTGCCGCTCCGCTTCCACCACCAGCCCCGCTCTTTTCTGCACCATGCTTCCTATCGCGGTCTCGGACACCAGCGGCTTCCAGCATCGAGCTTGCCGCTGAGCCCGTGACAGCGGAAATGGAGTTCGCCCAGCTCGCCGTGGAGCTGGAAATGGAACTGTGTTTGTGCTGCTGGTCGCTATTGACGCCGCCCGATGACGTTGCGTCAGAAGAGCCGTTGCTACCAACGGGTACGTTAACTACTTGCGTCCCGCACAACGCGCAGGCGGCGGGCGGCATGTGAGCATTGCGTGCGCGCACCTCATCGGCATCCGGAACAATGCCACCTGGGAAGATGGGCTCGACGACGAGATTTCCCTCCAGAATCGCCGTGTTCGCCTGGCGCCGCGAGAGCCAGTTGAGACCAGGTGCGACGTCCAGTCGCAGGCAGGGCTCTGTGTCTTCTTCCTGGGAGCGCTTGATGAAGGGCAGGGAAAGCTGGTTGGATAGACGCACGAAGTCCTCGGCACTGGAAGGTAGCGTCGGGTAATCGCGATGTCGCCCAATGCCAGCGATAGCAAAAGGCGAAAGGCTGGATTGGGAGGGAGACGGCGAGACGTGCACGCCGCCCGAGGAAGGATCTGACACGCTGGATGCTGGCGTCGTCGAGCGAGATAGTCCTGGCAATGGATATGAGTAAAATGGCTTAAGTTGCAGCCGCAATTTTCGGATGTGATGAAGGAACGAGGCAAATTCTCGATAAGGTTGAACATTGATGAGCACTTGCATGGTAGGCGTCATGCCTCGTTTCGTCCCACTCGCTCGGCTCGGATACTGTGTCCTCTGCGACGGAGAGCGTGCGAGAGACTCGATCTTGAGCCCACTATCTGCTCCGCTCTTGGTTGAAGCGTTGTCAGAGATGGCCGCATGTTGTTGCTGCTCTTCAATCTGTCGCTGGAGACTGGCGAGGACCTTTTGCTGCTCGAGCATGACGCCCTCGGTATCCTTGAGGCTCTTTTGCATGGCCTCTGCTTTCTCCTCTGCCCTTGCGCGTGCGAGCTTTTCGACTGCCACCATGCGGTTGGCTTCGTCAAAAAGGCTCGCACTAAGCTCGTCCAGCTCCTCCTCGATGCGCTTCTTGTCGCTCTCTGCCTTGCCACGCTGCGCGGTCTCCTCGATGACACGATCCATCATACGCTGCATCTCTGTGCTCACGTGGGACTTTTCAACCAGTAGCCCGGTGTTGAGCGCGGCCAGATGCTCTTCGCGCTCCTTTTCGAGACTGCTGATCTTGGACGTCTGCGAATCGAGGCGGCGCTGCGCTTCGGAAAAGTCATCCTCCAAATCCGCCACGCGTTCAAAGGAGCCAACCAGCTTGCCGTTGAGCCCGGTGACCTGGGCGGTGAGATCTTTGATTTGCGCCTGCAAAGCCTCGATCACCTCCTTGGGGTCCTCTTGCGGCTCGCTCGTCGCATCGCCAGAGCCCGCTGTGAATACTGCGCTAGCGCGATTGGGCTTGGGAGTTGCATACTGTGTACTTGCCATTGGTTCGCTGGTGAGTTCCAGGGCATCTGAGAGTCGCTTCCGTGCTGTTGCTTCAGCATCGTCCGTCTCGGCATCCGATTCAGCGCCGAGCAGATGTTCTGGGTTGCCCTCGTCGTTGAGCACCACATCGGGGTCAGGGCGTTTAAAAGACGACGGCACGAGCTCCTCCTGCTCCCTGTCACCGTTGTCACCGCCATTCTGGGTTGACTTGGGCTCTTCCGACGACATGGCTGGAGGTTAGCCCGGACAAGGTGGCGTCTGAGCAGACAGTTCGAGTCCTCGCTCTATCTTCGGTGCTGAGGTCGGGCCTGCAGGAGGATTCTTCTACCCCTTGCGCTTCGATGAAGCACCTGTGGAAGTGTGGACATGTGTACAAGACGAGGTGGTTTTGGGGGGGGAGTGCTTCGTGCTGGGGACGCGCAGGGAAATGACGAAACATACACTGGGAATGGTGGACTGAAGAGACTGGCGCCACGCCCAGAAGTCCATTAGCCCAATACTGCATGCTGAGAATGCTTGGGGGGAAACTCCGCGCAAGGACAAAGTATGTATGCTACATTACGGGATCATCTAATCAATATGCTTGGAGAATGTGCGTGGCAAGAGGCGTTGCCTGCATACAGAACGACATATATAAAGAGACGGGAAGGAAGCGAGGCGGCGTCAAGTGAGATTAAAATGCTTATGCGGGTGACCGACAGTTTGACGGCCGATGGCACCAAGGGCAGGAAGTGGGCTTGCTGGCGGCCCCCGAGAGCTTGGCGCTTCGTAGCCACAGTTCATTCGTGAGAGTCCTTGGAGGAGAAATCCAGGTCCTCGATCCAGTGCGCGATATACCGCCAAGTCCGCGAGCGCTGCGGCTCGAACCAAGGGACTGTGAGGCATGCATAGTTGCGCAACGAGTTGGTCAGTCAGCAGCCCCTTCCCTGTCCCTGTCCCATTCTCTCCCACAGCCAGCAGGCGTTGCAAACAGGCCACTCGAGTCCTGCACCATTGCCTTTGATTTTCGCGCATGTGCTCAACTCACACAGTAGATAGTCGTGAATAGCCCCTTCGACCTCGTGGAGCACCACCTCACGCACCTCGAGCGGTGCCTGCATGATTGTCACACCGGCGTCCGTGTACTTGCGGTGGATGGACGACGCGTACGAGCCGCCCGCTCGCTTCAGGCCGTTGCCAAGCTGGGAAGACAGGGGCGGCTGCTCGAGGATCGGCGTCGACGCAAGCGTCTGCGCGACGCCAAGCTCGTGGTCGCTGGAGTGGTCGTTGTCACTGTTGCGGCCGGCAGCGCTGCCGCTGCCGTCGGGACGGCCCTGCGTGGCAGGGGAGTTCGCAGAAGCAGCGGCCGACGGAAGCGGCTGGCCGAGCAAGTGCGAAGGCGAGCTCTCGAAGACGGGCGTGACGGCGCCCCAACCTTCTTCGAGCGGCTGTGTCTGCGCATTTGCGCGCGGCGGCGCAGCAGCAGCATCAGACGCAGTGGACGCAGGCAGCAGCAGCGAGGTGTTCTGGCAGCGCACCGCGGTGCGCACGCTCTGGCCGCAAGCAGCACCCGTTGCCGGCCGGGGATATTCCGTAGCGGCAGCGCTGGGGTGGGAACCCTGGAGCGAGAGCGCCGAGTTGGCCCTGCTGAGGTCGAGCTGCGCGTCGGCGGGACGCGGGAACGCGAGGCGGTCGCACATGGCGCCGGGGTCGCACTGCGCGCTGACGCGGTCGCCCGCGTAGACTGGGCGACCGCGGCGCGTGCCGGCGGCCAGGCGGTGAGCGAGGGTGATGTGCTGGTCATAGCTGATCTCGGCCGTGCCGGTCGTGACGAGGACCTTGTCGGGGAAGTGCTCGAAGCCAAAGTGCGGGCCGGCGCCGCCGTGTTCGAGAGAGAGGTGCAGCGAGACGCTCGAGATGTATGGGTTGCGGTACGCCTCGCGCGCGGGGAGATGGCCGAGTAGCGCCGAGACGGCCGTGTTGCGGAAGGCGACTTCGCTGCTGATGATGTCGGAGTGCGCGTTGCGGTGGGCGCTGGCATCGCGCATGGGCGCATCGAGCGGACCTCCATGGCTGCGCGAGATGTCCGCCCACGGCGAGAGCAGCAGGACCTTTCCGGGGACCCGCTCAATGTGCTCGTCGCGCAAGTAGCGGCACAGAGCCAGGCACAAGTTGCCGCCGGCCGAGTCACCGACGAGGATGATATTGTCCGGGTCGAAGCGCAGCTCGCGCACAAGGTACAGGTAGCCGGCAAGCGTGTCGAGCAGCGGCGCCGGCCAGCTGCCGAGGGCGGGCCGACCAGGGACGCAGAGCCTGTAGTCGATCGAGAAAGATCGCGTGCACTTGCTCGGCGGCGGCGCGCCCCCCGCCGCCACCTTGTCCGCATAGGCGGCAGAAGACTGGTACAGGTGCTTCAGCGCCGCGAGCGACTGCAGGCTGACGGCCGCAGTGATGTCCTGCTCGTGTGCGGTACCGAGGAACATGGCGCCACCGTGGCAGTGGTAGAGCACCTTTTCGCCTTGGCGAGCTTTGGGAAACACGAAGCGACGGCTCTCGGAGCTGTGCGCGGTTGCAGCGGGGTCCTCTGGCGCGTTGTCGCCGTACCAGAAGCCCGCAACGCGTGCGGGGCGGAGCCCTTGCTCGAGCATTGTGCGCCGGACGTCGCCGCGGACCTGGTCCTCGCGCACAGGGTCGATCCAGGTGAACTTGCCGAACCGGGTCGCGCTGTGCGGCACCTCCACGCTGAGGTCCCTGCCGAAGGTGAGGTGTGTCTTGTAGGTGAGCGTGCTGGCGCGGCGGAAGAGCTTGACGGTGACTGCACGCCTCCAGCACCAGCTGTGGTGGCCGCGGCCGCTGAGTGGGATGCTCGTCAGCGCCCAGACGGGGAGCCAGAAGAGACCGATGGAGAGGCCAAAGTAGAGCATGTAGGCCAGCTTGAACGGCTGCTTGGTCCAGATTGGCGCGGTGATGGCAAATTCCGAGTCTAAACCGACGCCCTGCTTGGGGAACTCGATCGTGCGCAGGTTGAGCAGCTGGCGCAGGTCCGGGCGAGTGGAGACAAAGTCGCTCAGCGCGCCGTGCAGGCCGTCGTCGTCGTCACCATCGTCGACGGCCAGCGCACCGTGGTCCTCGCACTGGACCGCGCGGGCTACATCGACCTCCTCGTTATCGCGACCGCTGCTCATTTCTAGAGCCGGCGGCCGCATTCGACGTTTTCGTCGAACCTCGTTTGGCGGATGCCGCAGTATATGGCCGTGGCCCTCCCGCTACTCGGCGCGCGAGGCGGTGGTGCAAAGAACAGGGCAGACGGTGAGGCGCATGCTCGACCCTGTTGCACAGCGTTCGGTGCGTTGACCCAATTGTGCTTGCAGGCGATGCAGCATGTCCTGGAGGTCGTTGCAATCGGCACCCCACGTTTTCTCGGCCGGGCCAGCCAGCCAGTCATATATCATAACCCATGTATGTTCGCCGCCGATCACTATGAGCCTCACTGCACGCCCCCCCCTTTGCACCAGCACCCAAGCCACCAAAGGCCAGTGCTCCCCTCTGAGAACGGAATCGCATATCGTGCTTATGTAATCCCGAGTGATGGAAGATTCGACTAGGGTTCTGCATCCCAGTTGTCCAAGGCGGCAAGTTGCACCGACTGGATGAATGGAGGGTTATCGAGCACGGCCATGTTTGTTTGGCTCGCCCTCTGTCTGATTCAGACATCCACGGCTGGGGCCTGGCGCCGACAGCTGCTGAGAAGGGACGAGGGGGTGATAGGCGGGCACACTGGCGGCACTCTTGCAGAGAAAAGCATCGAACCCGAACCCAAACCCAAACCCAAACCCGAAAACGCGGCTTTCACGCGCGCAGCCTGCTTTTCAGCAGCAGGGCGTGCAATCACACGCGGGGGCGCAAGCGGGAAAAGCGTTGGCTGAGCGTCTACACGGCTCTCGTTGAGGAATCTTTTTTGGGTGGGCATTTGTTTGTCCAAGGCGAGCATCGCGATGGTTCGATGGACAGCGACGACGCATCCCCTCAGCAAGGTCACGACATTCAGCAGGCCCACGCGGGACGGGGCGGAGCGGAGCGGAGCGCAGGCAGCTTAGCTCATCTCATCTCAGCGCTGCGAAACGGGTCCCGGGTGCACAAGCGCCAATAGACCGGCCTGGACCCTCTTTCGCTCCCTTGTGCTCTGTGGCCCTGACCCAGCGCAGCGCTGCTTTCAACCCGTCGGCAGATGCCTCGGCATTCATATTGGTCACCTGATAACCATCGACCCGCAGACGCAGATGCAGGTGCACACACCCGTCAAGAGAGGCAGGCCAGCAGGTTGCAACGAGAGGCAGGCGATCCAACCTCGACCCATCCCGGGCAATCCCTTTATCAGTAGAGCTATACCATCGTCCCTTGCCTTTCCGACGCCAGACACCACCTTCGAGGCCGACACGTGATCAGCCATGACCCACCCGCCATCGCTGCATCTCTTCCCGGACCCTCGGCAGCAGCGGCAGCACCACCATCACCACCACACCCAGCCCAGGGACGCCGGTGCGCCGGTGGAAGAGTGGCCGCTGCGGCGCGCTCGCCGCCCGCACTCGCGCTCACTCGCATCGACGCTGTCTGCTGCATCGCTCTTTTCCGAATCGCACGCAGACCCGCTGCCCTGCACCGCTGCATCCACACCCGCGCCCCCGCCTCCTTCACCTCTGTCCGTCCCGCGCGGCCAGCCGCACAGGCACAAGCGCCCGCTTTCGCACTCGGTGCGCGAGTACGCCGCATCGTGGATCCCTGCCGCGCTCGCAGAGTACTGCTATGCGCAGCCGCAGCCGCAAGGTGTGCTCCCGCACCTACCCACGCGCGCCAGCACGGATCCGCATCCGCATGCACCACGCGAGGCGCATACGGGTATGCAGCGCAGCCACTCGATAAACAGCTCGGTCGCGACCGTCATGCCGCGCCACGTCCGCCACCGCCGCCGCCAGGAGCTCCCGCTCCAGCATCCGCAGCAGCAACGCACATGGTACCACTCCCTGCCCATGCCGACGCAGCCTTCATCGCCTGCCACGAACGTGTCGCGCTCGTACACGCCCCGCCGTGCGCGCCGCCCACTGTCTCCACCGCACCTCGACAGGCGCCGGCTCGACAAGGCCGTCAGCCTCGCGGTGGAGGCTGCGCAGGCCGCCGAGCAGGACGAGGCGCACCGCAGCGCACGGTCCGAGGCCCGTTGGCTTGCGATGCAGCAGCAGCACCTGCCATCGTCCTCGTCCTCGCTTGGGCTGCAGCTCGTCCCTGCATCCCCTTCACCATCGTCTTCGTCTTCGTCCGTTTCTGACGCAGGCGCCGATGCGCCGCTAGCCGCTACCGCCATTCCGTTTCCATCCTGGCGTGCGAATCAGGAAGATTCGCCGATGCTGCACAGCAGCGAGGGACGCGAGGAGCGTGACGCCTTCGCTGGCGGCGGGACATACGCCGCGCGCGCGCGCACTCGCGTCTCGCGCTTTCTCAGCCTGCCGCGCAACGCGACATTCCGCATGCGGCATCCGTTTGGTGATGGCGGCGCGACGAACGAGGTGGGGGATACCAGCGCTAGCGGCAGCGCAAGCGCAAGCGGAAGTGCTATCGGCAGCTCGCCGCGGAGCGCCTCAACGTGTCTCTCTTCACCCGTTTTCAGCATCGCCCATAAGGACGACGTAGACATGGACGGACTTGACGCGCAGGACACACACCACGACTTTGACTTGGACCAGGACATGCTGCACGCTGCCGCGCTCGCGGACGCAGACGCAGAAGCGGCGCGCGCCGACTCGGACTTCTCGCTAGACTTGTACATCTCAAGCCTGGCGTATCTCCTTTCGGCTCTGCCCGCCCGCGAGGCGCACGGCGTCAGCGACAGGCACCGCGCAGAGATGCGCGCCAGGCTCACTGAGGCGCTCGACAAGATCGGCGGCGCGCACGCGCAGGACGAGGCCGATGTATGGCATGCAGGCCGAGGTGGGGCGGAGGACGGCTCCGACTTGGCGCGCTTGAGGTACGAGCTTGCGCAGCTCCAACGGGCTGTGCAGCAGCAGGCCGTAGCCCCGTCCAGTGTCTCTGTTAGTGGCACGTCGACGCCGATTGTGCATCATCACTACCACACCATCGCAGGGGATAGCTCGCTCGTCGCGTGGAAGCAGCCTGCACCGAGGCTGCAAGAGCTCCAGCAGCAGCAGCAGCAAGACGCTGACGAGAGCAGAACAGCAAATGCTGGCGCCGCAAAGTCACGGGCAAAAATAGACACACCTTCGCCGCCGCACCCCACAAGCCGCGCGTCAAGCATGGTAGGCACCATCGCCTTCGCCGCACTAGACACCGGCCTTGCCGTTACTGCCGGCGCCGTCTCGCTCGCCGCACGAGGCGTGGCCTCCATCGTTCCTCAGCGTCTGGCGGGTGGCGCGTCGGCGTCAGGAACGAAAGGCACGAACGCAACGCCGCCGCTTCTGCCTGATCAGCAGCAGCAGCCATCAGACGATGCGTCTGCGCCCATGACACCACAGCAGCGCGCCGCCAAGGCGCAATGGGACCTGGCGCTTTCGCTCGCCGGGTCCGCAGCGCAGGCTCTGTCCGCCACGCTTTCCGCTTCTCTGTCGCAACCCGTGCCAGCAGAGACACATACGGAGGCCGTTTTGCCGCCATCCACCACGCATGCCTCCATTGCGAGCCGAGGCTGGGCGCTCGCACGTCGACACAGCACGAGCGACCTCCTGCAGCTCTCGGCCGACTCGGGCGAGGCAGCCGCCGACATTGAGCAGCGCGTCGTGCTCCTCACCTCGAGTGTTGCGCGCGCGATCAAGCGCTCGCCTCTGCCGACACAGCTGGCATACCTCTTGCGGCAGGTCGTCCAGCTGCTGCGCGCGCTCGACCAGCGCTATGCGCTGCGCCAGCGCGCTGTGCGCACGGCCATACGCCAGGCTGGCGTCACGGTGCGCTTCGTCCGGCAGCACCAGTTGCACATTCTCGTCGTCCGTGCGACGCTCGCCGCGTTTGAGGCCGCTATCGCCGCCATCGAGGCTTACAGAGACGAGACCGGTTGGCCTGACAGTGTGCCTGGATCGCCCATCAGCGCTCTCCTCCACAAGGCGCTCGACGCACCGCCCGTGCCCGCGCCTCCGGTGACTTCGGTGGCTGCTGGGCAGCAGCATCTGAAGCAACCGCAAATGCAAGGGATAGCTGCGTGAACGCTGCCGCGATCTCCCACGCGTTTACTTTCGATCTCGACTCTAGGTCCAGGACAATCAAGCTTGCACTAATCACTATAGATCTCCACCACTCCAAGTCCGCCTCTCCGCTTTGCTCAGTTTTTGTTTGCAGTTATAGACCGCTCCTCGTCCTCGTATCGCGTCGTATCGTCAGCCCGCGTATTCCGTTGCAGCAATGTTTTCTCTAGTGTAGTCAATACCGTGCGTCTGTTGTACATTTGCAAATAGGCTAGAATCTCTATGACGCTTGCACTTGCTCTTGCTCCGTCCCTTGGTTCCACCGTACGAGCTCTTCCATTGTGACGCCCGATCCCCCAAAAATGTCTAGCGCGCTGCCGAACGTGAGGTCGACAGTGCCGTTGCTGAGCTGGTCGACAAGCTGCATGTCGCCCAAGTGGCGTGCGCCGCCAGCATACGTGACTACAAAGTCTAGCCGCCCGGTACGCTCGTGCAGCGTCGGCAGCCACTGGCCGAGGAAACGGACAAGATCCTCGTCTATACCTCCGCACAGGCCTTCGACGTCAGCGGCATGGATGAGGAACTCGCTGCAGTGCTCGGCGAGCATGTCGAGCGACGCCATATCGACTTGCATGTCCGTCAGGTCTTGCCATTTGTTCATCGCGACGACCCATTTTCCCGCCTGACGCCGGCAGCTGACGTCCACGACGAGATTCTCTCGCCCCCCCACAGCCGCTTCCATCTCCTTCAGCCGGTCGAGAGAGAAATTGCACGCGGGAAAGAGGAATGACGTGACAATCACCTTTGCCGCGCCCTTGGCGAGCCACTCGGATGCGTTCGCCGCGTTGATCCCGCCGCCGACTTGCAGATGGCCTGGCCAGGTTGCCAGCGCTTGCTTCGCGGAAGCATCGTTGCCCGGGCCGAGTTTGATGACGTGTGCACCGTAGAGCGAGTGTTGGCGATAAAGTGACGCGAAATGCGAAGGCGGAAGCGTGGATGTGTGGTTCGTCCGCAGCGCATTTAAGGTCCCTGCTGCACTTGCGGGTATTGACTCGATTGCAGCATTTTCATCATCCCTGAGCGTACCTCCGACGATCTGCTTGACGACGCCTTGGTGCAGGTCGATGCATGGCCGGAACAAGCTGCGTCTCCGCTTCGCACAAGACTCGGAGCGTGGACAGGGCATTTTCGCATTCCAGTGTTGACGGTGACGAAGGCGATATTCGCCGCGAAGAGCTCTTTCTTCCGATCAAACCTCAACGCCTGGCTACGTGCGGGAGAAAGTCTGCGTGGAAGTGTATGCCCTACAGATTCCCTCGCAGCTGTAGCTCATGCTGGAGGATGCCATCCTGAAGAAGGCTGCTTAACAACACAAAGAGCCATGTACGAGATTCCAATGCGCATTCGAAAGTGTGAATTACATCAGTAACCCTACGTTTCTGCGCGAATCCTCCTCCTTATGTCCGGCCGATAGCAACAAAAATGTTGTGCATGGCAGCAAAAAGTTCTGAGGGTATCACCTAACAAACCACTTCGAACGCCTCGCAAGCACCTCTCCCTGATCCTCTGAAAGACCAGGGTTCTTGAACCCGTCCTTTGAGTGAAACGATCTTACGCGCAACATCTGGAGAAGTACTCAAACGCGTTCGTCATGGATTTGCAGCGGAATCTCAACCTCGCCGAAAGCAGCGATCTGCACGAGCACGATGAACCCGAGGGCATCAATGCCGAAGATATTGAAGAAGTCGTCGAGCTAGGCGACGATGATGGCGACGAGCCGATGGACGAAGATGAGGATGAAGAAAACGGTGGGTATGAAGTCCAAGCAGGTGATTTGGATGACCACGATGGGGGGGACGACATGCAACAGACTATCGAAGACACCTCCATTGCAGCCTTCCATGACCACAGGTCCTCTGTCTTTACCGTCGCGCTGCACCCCTCCTACCCCAATCCTCCCCTGGCTATCTCAGGCGGCGAAGACGATGCAGGGTACATATGGTCCACACACTCCGGCGAACCCCTCGCCAAGCTGTCAGGACACACAGACAGCGTCATCGCTGCGGGCTTCAACTTCAAAGGCGACATGGCGGCCACCGGGGGCATGGACGGGCGGATACGCGTCTGGAGGCGGCGAGGCGGAGAAGACGAATGGGGGGCATGGGAGTTTCTGGCGAATCTGGAAGGACCGGATGAAGTGGTTGTGAGTGTGATCCCGCCAGGGCTGCAGAACGTGGCACTAGCTGACCAATTCTTCGCCTTACTCATATACAGTGGATTGAATGGCACCCGCGAGGGAACGTCATTGCAGCAGGAGGAACAGACTCGACAGTGTGGATGTGGACACGTGAGTGTTTATTTTCGCCAGTATACATGACCACATTTCTCACACATTGCTTACGTTCTCCGTACACTCACCTCTCAGTCCCGTTGGGTAAGACGATGCAGGTGTTTTCAGGGCACACGGCTGCAGTAACCACTGGCAGCTTTACACCCGATGGCAAGAAGCTCATCACCGCTTCCGAGGATGGATCGCTGATCGTCTGGGATCCACGCTCGCCAGCGCCTGTCGCGAAGCTGCAGGCGTCCGACGCACGCTTCAACCTCCCCGGCGGCATCACCAAGCTGCGCATCTCACCCGATAGCAGGACCGTGATCATCGGCGGCGCGGCGGGGCACCTGCGTATCGTCAGCATTGCGCACGTCGATGATGAGGGCTCCATCGCTGTCGTCGCGACGCTTGCAGGGCACGAGGAAGGGGAAAGCGTCGAGGCGATCGAGTTCATCGACCTTTTCGGCGTCACAGCTGGGTCAGCACCAACACCTTCAAGTTCAGCATTATCAGGGGCAGCCACAGCCACGGTCCCTGCAAAGCCGGTAACGACTGTCATTACAGGTGCAACAGACGGGAAAGGATACGTATGGGACATCTCGACCGGAAAGATGCGCAACTCAATCTCGCACGACGCAGCCATTACATCGATTGTTGTCCACTCACGTCCTGGCGCCGCCGCCATGCCCTCCCCGCTCTTCTCGACCAGCAGCGCAGATCACACTATCAAGACGTGGGACGCGCGTAGTGGCGCGTGCATTGGCACACAAACCGGCTTCACTGATGGCGTCCTCGCGCTCGCTGTCGGCAGGGACGACGGCTACACACAGGGCGCCGAGACCGGCGGGATCGGAGCATACGCTCGCGGTGGCGGCGCAGGGTGGAAGCTCGTCGGTGCTGGCGACGAGGGCGTTGCGCTTGTTTTCAGAGTATAGACGTGCTTCTGCCCGCTCCTGAAATGACATTTGCGTTCCCGACTTAATCGCAGACTGTTATTCAGTGATTTGCTAAGATGTCTTTTTGTGGTTTGCCACAGTTTCATTTATCTAGTTGCACCTTTCGCGTAGTCATACTTTCTGAAGAATTTTCTAAAGGGTCGTGAAAGATGTAGTGGCCATATATGAGCACACAACGAGTTCCCCTTGAAGGTCAGCGCTCGAGAAGCATGGCGCACTCACTCCGAGTCCGTCGTCTCCGTGTTGCTCCGTGCACCCCTCTTTCTTCCCTCTTGCTTCTCCTTCTCGATACGCGCGACGCGATCCTCGCGCAGCCATTGCAGCGCGATGTGCAGCAGCGGACTAAAGTCATCGCCTGCTGACCCGGCACCTCCATTAGGAGAGTTGCTCTGGGCCGGGATAGGAGGGATCAAGTGCATCTGCGCAGCGCTTGGTGGCCAATTCAGGGCGTCTGAAGTCGTCGTGGAGCCGAGACGCATGTGCACAATGTGCGTGGGGAACTTTTGCAGCCCATCGAAGATATGGGTGGCATCTAAAGGAAAGGTCGAAGAAGAGTGAGCCGGTTTCTCCATCGCATGCCTTGACGCGGCACGCCAGCTTACAGATGATCGTAGCATTGCGCTGTTTTGTTTCCTCTTCGAGGAAAGATAAGAGGTCGCTTCGGACTTGCACGTCCAGATCGACAGTGACTTCGTCGAGCAGCAAAAGATCCCACTCTTCCATCAGACCCATGCAAAGCTGCACCCTCCTGCGTTCTCCGTCGCTGATCTGGTGCATGTGCCAATCGAGATCGATATCTAGGATGTCGAGCAGCCTATCTCGCCGTGCTTTGTGCCGGTATCCGCCGACACTGTCAAGAAAATGACTGACGACAATGTCCCCGCGTACGACAGGATTCATGGCCCATTCCGTCCCTAGATAGGTGATGCCACGCGGTGCGTCACGGAAAACGTCGCGTCCGAATACACGGACGGACGAGTCGCAGAGGCGCTTGCCGGCCAGGAGGCGGAGTAAAGTGGATTTCCCGCTGCCGTTGGCACCAATCAACAGACAGCGCGAACCGCGCACGAGGGAGAGGTTCACGTGCGTCAGCGCTGGTGGGCCGTCGGGCGAGTAGGAGAAAGTCAGATCCGGGACAGAGACGGCGAAAGGTTGACCCAACTCTTTCGCGGAGTTTGCTAATGGTTCAGCCATGATAGCCTCCTCTTTGACGGGTTCTTTCAAGCTGTCCCAATCCCGGTAGCCTAGACCATCCTTGTCGAAAGCCGTCATCAGATTTTCTAGCTCCATGACAGCTTCCTTGGCCAAGCTCTTCGCATCATCACCTTTTTCCCCGATGAAACTAATGAATCTCCTTCCCTTCTCGCTGATGAAGCCGTCCTCTACCGCAGTGTCGATCATGGCCCGGAACGGATTCCAGAACCCATTCGCATTGAGCAAGACGACAGGCTTGCTGTGCACGCCGAGTTGAGCCCAATTAATCATCTCCATGACCTCTTCGAACGTCCTGTAGCCTCCCGGCAAGCCGATGAAGCCGTCACACGAAGCAGCCATGGTGCATCTGCGCTCGTGCATCGTCTCGACTATTATCGTCTCCATCCTGCTATTCCGATCAGCCTGCTGTTGGTTCAGCGTACGAGTGCCTACATCATCAGCCGAATGAGCGTGTTCAGGCGGTTGAGCCTCTTGTCCTTCGCCAAGATGGCCGTGCGGTTTCGTCGTCACCATTACGCGCGGTATGACGCCGAGGACCTGTCCCCCACTCTCGATAGCCGCAGCTGCCACGGCGCCCATGCTGTGCAACACGGTGGAGGGCGTATCCAATTTACATGTAAGCAGCGACCACTACCTTATAGATGAACATCGCATGACTTACCAGCCTCGTTCGCCACCGCCATAGATAAGCTTACAATTATGCTCAGCGAGTGCTTGTCCGAGTGCTGCTGCTGTCTTAAGATAGACCGCTGACTTGCCGGGGGACGAGCCGCAGAAAACGCAGATGGCTTTGGGGGACACCATTTTTCGAGCCCTACTCCTGGTCTTTCTATTTCCTAATATGCAAGGTGCCCTGTGAGGCCCATGTGGATGACTGAAGTCCAGCATTCGCAACCTTTAACCAGCATGGCTGTCAGGAATGCTTCATAAACTAGCTGACGTCAATGGTGGTTCATCTCGCGTTTCGAGTCCGAAGGTGTGCTGGATTCATTGTTGCTGGAGTAACTTCTACCGTCGTCGCTGCTCAGCCTTTTGCACAAATGAAGTCTATGGGTCAGGGTTAGGGTTAAGGCTCAGCAACTACTTCTCCCGAGTCGGTGGGTTTTGTGGCACCGTGAGTCAGCCGCGTCAAAAGGCACAAAATTACATAATCTCTTTGCCTAATCAGCAGGGTTGGCTTCAAAAACTCTCTTTCTCCATGCTTACCTTTCCTGATTACACGACAGGAACTCCGTATCGAATCTCCCAGCTGTCAAAGCATACCTTCTGCAGCACCTGCATCTACACGGTACCGATCATAGCACCTTGTGGGCAGATCCAGAATCCATCTCCTTGCTTCGTACAGTCGTTGCCGCTTGCGACCATGTCCGGACTCACACTCGGCATCATCGGCTGCGGCACAATGGGTATCGCCATCCTCTCCGGGGTGATCGATTCACAACGTAAAGCAGCGCAGGCACATGCGAACGGGCCCGAATTATCTGGAAATGTCTCCTTGGCCTCCTCCATGACCGAGGAAGATCTGCGCCAGCAGCTTCCGACGCGATACATTGCCGGCGTTAACCGCCCCGAGAGCGCCAAGAGGTTGCGGAAACTATTCGATGCGGAGGGGTACACGGACGTCAAAATCGTGACGAGCGGGAATGGCGGCAATATTGAGGCGGCGCAAGAGAGTGACATCGTCTTGCTGGCGTGCAAGCCGCATACAGTCAAGGAGGTGCTGGCACAAGAGGGCATGAAGCAAGCGTTGGAAGGCAAATTAGTCTGCAGCATTTGTGCCGGGTTGAGAATCGAACAGATTCGCGCTTGGGTATCGCCGACTACGAAGGTCGTAAGGGCCATGCCAAACACCCCTTCCAAAGTAGGTCTTGTAGAAGGTATTCGCTACCGGTTCGCTCCCGATCCTGACTCATGGTTCACTTACCCACGCAGATTCGGGAAGGCATGACAGTTTTAACTCCGCTCGCACCCTCTCCCACATCCGAGCAAGACAAGGCGCTCCTTCTCTCCATTTTCACTGCCGTCGGACGAGCGCGTTTTCTGGACGAGAAGCACTTTGACGCGTGTACAGCGCTTGCAGGCTCCGGCCCTGCATTTGCCATGGTCTTCCTCGAAGCCATGGCAGACGGCGGCGTAATGATGGGACTGCCCCGGCCGGAAGCGCTCGAGCTTGCTGCACAGACAATGCAAGGAGCTGCAAGGATGGCGCTTCAATCGGGCTTGCATCCTGCCGCTATCAAAGATAGCGTCACGACGCCTGGTGGATGCACGATCGCTGGATTGCTTAATCTAGAGGATGGTCGCGTCCGGTCCACCGTCGCGCGAAGCATCCAGGCTGCCACCGAGCACGCTGCTGGGCTCGGACAAAAGTGAGGCGAACAACGCATGTCTTCCTTGCGTATTTCGTCATAGGGTAGGCATTGGTATCTGCAATCAATAATTTAAGGATCATACAGCAACTTTCAGAGAGTGGTGAGATCTGATGGCAAAAAGGTGTGATCCATGTGATGCAAATGGACCTGCAATCGGCAAAAAGCGATTGTGGTACAGTCGACAAATAAAACACGGCTGTACATTCCCCTCCGTCACAATAGATGCTTCTGCTGTCGGTCTCTGGAAAGTTCAGAGAGGTCTAGCCTGCTCAGCCATCCTGCACGAGGATCGGTGAATTCTTCGACAGTGTGCGTGCCCGGCGGCAGCATGAAAGAGTTACTGTCGCGCCAGGCGGCCGCAGACTCCATGTACGGGCCAAAGTGATAGTGATGTTGGCTGGGTAGCAGCGTACGTGTGAAGAATACGCCGAGCAAAAAGGCGAGCGCGCCCATGTAGAACGAAGTCTGGTGGATGGAAAGGCTGCTCAAACCGTGATGGCGAAGATTGGAGATGACGGTTTGCAATTGCACCGTTGACGGCTTCTGTGCACTTTGCCCGCTCGCAGCACGCAAAATCGGAGCTGGACGGGCTTGCAAAAGCATCTTGTTCTCCAGGACATCGCAGCGTAAGTCCAATAGCTTGCTCAGGGTGGCATACTCAGGCCACTCGTCGAGTGGCTTTTGACCGATCGCGATGGCACCTGGATGAAGTCGATCGATAATGGTCTTCTCGAGAGCAGCCTCGTCGTATGTCGGCGGAGACGGGATGTCGGTCCCTTGCGTGAGTGTATGCGTGGACGTCTCCGGGTCGTCTACCATCTTGCCATCGGAAAGGATGGACGTCTCTGCCGCTGCCGCTTCCTCGTCTTCTGCGCTTGAGGGTTGAGTGCCAACATCGATGAAGTCTGCTGCGGGTAGGTCCCGAGCTTTCGCTTTACCCTTTTTGCTCCGACTAACATGCCTAGTAACAGTCTCGATATAGCTCTCCGCGCTGGTGTCAGGGTCCGCAGCTTGTCCTTCACCATTGCTGCATTCTTCTCTTGTAGGCATGGACAAGGAATCGTTAGGACTGAAGTGGCGGCGTAATTCGGCTCCCAGACGCTGCGAAGGCGTTCCCTGAAGGCTTCTATGACCGTCAAAGCTGAGATCATGCTCGCGGCCCAAAGACCTGAACTTCTCATCGAGCTCAGCCTTCAATTTGCCGACCTGCTCGGACAATGTGAGATTTTCTTGTACCAGCCGATCGTTCTCAGCTTCGAGCTCTAAGAGGTGGAGAATTCGCTGCTCCTTTTCAGCCACGAGGTCCTTCAGCCTTGCCACCTCGGCGGAAGCGGCCGTCGCCGTATCTTGGGCGTGAGCCTCATCGACCTTATGAGCCCTGACCGCTTGTCGCAGCTCTTCAAGCTGTTTCCTCAGCAATTCGAGCTCGGCTGTGGACGGTCAGGAGTCAGCACTGCTCCATGATTGGCATGAGCGAGGGTAACGCTCACCTAAGTTTGACTCGATTTGTTCTCGGCCCTTTTGATTGAGCTCCTCTAGACCCTTGTTCCGTTTCTGCACCGCTGCAAGCTCTGATTCGAGGCTGGAAACCTGCTCCGAGAATTGTTCCGCGCGTGCACTCGCCTCCTTCTCTTCGCGCCGCTTGGCTGTGAGCTGCTCCTCGGCTGTGTCTAGTCTGCTGTGCAAATCGGCAGTAACAGCTTCATGATCATCCTCCTTGGCTTGCATCGACTCTTGCAAGTCCTTCTTTTCCCGCTTGAGCCGCTCATTCTCGCGCATGAGATCAGAGTGCAGCATCGAGAGCTTGTTCGAGGGTGTCGACATGGCGCCGCGACCGTAAATGTCGGGCGATGAAATGCCGCGCGGGAGCCCGCCCTGACCTTGTCCCATCTTTGCATGCAACGGTGTCTCAGCAGAGAAGCTGTCGTTGAAAGATGCAGACGGCGTGAAAGAGAAGGGCACGAAAGAGCTTTCATCGAGTCCCGGACTCGCGCCACGACCTGTGGAGCCAGCGTCCGATCCTGCGTAGTCAAAGCGCGGGCTCTGGCCCGAGAGTGCGGCGGAGAGCTCGTCGAAGCGGAGGTCTTCTTCCTGCTGACCTTCACTCAAGTCTGTGTTGATCGTGCGAGGAAATATGTAGCCGGTACTTGCGCTACGAGGAATGGCCGAGTCTTCATTGTCGTAGTCTCGGTACCCACTGACGGGCTGTGACGCCTGGCGGCTGCGGCCATTCCCACGACGTTGGGCAGGTCGTCCAAGGCCAACTGCATCCTCACTGCCTCGACCCAGTTGCGGACTTTCCGTAAGGCTTTGGGCCGACGAGCTCGTGTCACTCGTACGCCTGGTCCTCTGCGCCAGTACCTTGGGCTTTGGACGAGTCCACGCAGACGGCGGCACCCTTGCTCGCCCTTTGCCTTTTAAAATCTCCTTCTCGTCCTGATGTGTCGCAACGCCACTTGACTTGCGTGACCGCGGCTGCGACCCTTCTCCACTGCTTGCACACCCAGGCTGTGACCTAGCGGAAGTGCTGACTTTGCGCTCGCGTGACAGCTGCCGACTTCGTTGGTGGATGTCGTTCGCGGGAAAGTCTTGGGATGAGCGTTTGCGTGGCACCGAGGACGAAGAGACGTTGGATGCGGACGTCGCCAAAGAGGCAGAATAGTCTTTACCAATGACGTCTTCGTCTCCGGAGCTTGGTTGAGCGGCAGAAGGAGTGGGCGGGATGTCGAAGCCTTCAAAATTTCCGCCTCGAGACGGTACAGGTGTCTCCTCTCTATCATCTCTGGTGCACTGCAATTGCAATGCTGTGATGCTTTCACGACGTCCAAGAATTCCGCCACCGCCGTCAGCAGAATCACGGCTGATGTCAGAGTCGTCCTCGTCGGCGCTATCATCTCCGCTGCTCATCTGGCTGCTGTCGCTCAGAATCTGTCGTACATCCACAATTTCCTCCCCACTTAGTCTGCCAGCGGCATTGGCACCGGCGACTCCGCTGCCAGCCTCGCTGTATGCGCTCTGCAAGCTAGTGATCATATTCACCAACATGGCTGGTTGGATCCGTAGATTGGGATTCTCGTTGGCGAAAGCCTCAATCTGCGGCAGAAGTGCTGGGTCGATGAGCGGTGCATCAGCGGCAGACAAGTTACTGTTCGCAATGCCGGACGTGGGGTTTGCCTGGGTCGTGCGAAAACTCTCAAACTCGGCAAGCACGGCGGGCAGGTCACCAGTCAAAAGGTATCGTCGTCTGCCCATCTTCCGGCTGCATCCAACCTGACCATAAGATTCGCTTGAATCAGCACCGTCGCTTTCGGCCTCAGAAGCGGACGAAGACTCTGTGGTTGAAGTATGCGGACCCGTGTGAGAGGAATGGGCGAAGCGATCAAAAAGGTCGTGGACTTGTGCTTCAAGCTCTTGATACGAGCGTCGTGTAGATAGAGAAACGTCCGCACCCTCGGTGCTATTGGGTTTTGGGGGTCTCCGCTGCCGGCTCTTCAGGCGTGACTCGGGGTGAAGGAAGCCGGCGCCTGCTGAGGAAGCCGATGAGACGTCAGCGGGATGAACAAATACTGGCTGTGCCGACGAGTGTGCACTGGCGGGGTTCTAAAAAGACAACGTAGACGTGTCAGACGATTGAATGTAGGCTTCAGGGCTCTCTCAGACCTCACATCGTAGGATATGTCGACGTCCGTCACCCTGTCCAAGCTGTCATCGCCCTCATAATCGCCATCGTCGCTGCCAACTGAGCCAACGCTCTCGATAATGCTTAGTGGTCGTCCATGGGCGGCTATCATGCTCTTCAAGGACCCTTCTTCTCGCGTTGAATCCGCACTGTTGTATGGTGGAGCAACTTGCACGGCACCTGTCGCTGTCGGTGTCGTGGTCGCGGTCGCGGTTGTGGTTGAAGCGGCCGAGGCCTCTGTATCTTGTAGAAGACGGGGGGAGTCCTGCGTCGTTGCAGGACTCGGGGAGCCCCGTTGTCCTTCCCCTGCATCGCTTCCCGATTCCATCTTGATGGCCTTAGAAGGAAGATGGGCAGAGAGGCACGGAATACAGCTCCAAGGATATATGCATCTGAAGGCTCGAAAGCAACAGACATCCTTTGTGGTCCAAAGGAAAGTTCACCTCATGCCCTGGATCGCAAAACTGTGTGAGGAGTGAACAGGTTGTCAATTGCGTCACGTGACACGCGTTGACGTGTCTTAAATTGGGTGCTCGCCTAGGCCTTCACCCGGCCCCCCCTCCCCGCGGCTCTTTTCCAGCCAGGCAGACTCAGTATCAGAGTGCGTCATAGAAAACCGAAGTCTCCATGAAAGCCGTAACCTAGAATGCGTTGCCGCTATTGCCGTTTTTTTCATTCTCGGCCGAGTTACCCCCATGGTGACCGAATCTGACCTCCGAATCCTCATCCCGCTCCGATTTGAACTATATTAAGGCAACCCGCTACGTCCCAGCGCTTTCAGTTTGGGACTGGCATTTCGTGTTGGCCGCTTTTATAAAGAAAGGCGTTTTGGGAGCTCGCATTCCTCAAGAAACGTCTCGGTTGATCATCCTCTTCGTCAAGGTTGGCTGTTCCCCCGCAGCAAGCGTTGTTGATCCCGATACTTGACCAGGCCGCCAGAATGTTTTCTCGCAACACAGCACAGGCACTGCGGTCTTCCATGCGGTCGTGCTCCGGCTGCTCGGCCTCCCTGTTTCCGCTCGCACTGCAACCGCTCTCGTTCCGGCTTCTCAGCACATCCGTACCGAGGCTCAAGGTGTCGAAAGTCTGGGACAGCGCGGACGAGGCGGTTAAGGATATTAAGGCCGGCTCGGTGGTCCTCAGCAGCGGCTTCGGGCTCTGCGGTACGCCGGACACGCTCATTGCAGCCATTTCACGAAATCGGGATATTCAAAATTTGACTTGCGTCAGCAACAATGCAGGCGTAGGCGAGAGAGGCTTGGGTGCGTAAACCCAAGTGGCAGACAATGATATTCTGATTTCGAGCAGCTGGTTACTGACAGTAATTAACCCTCTACGATACCCATAGGAAAGCTCTTACACACGCGGCAGGTGTCTAAGATGGTTTCCTCATTCATTGGGTCTAACAAGTACTTTGAACAGCAATTCCTCAGCGGTCAGGTATCTCTGCAACTAACACCACAAGGCAGTCTTGTCGAAAAGTGCCGTGCCGGCGCATTCGGAATTCCAGCGTTCTACACGCCGACTGGCTACGGAACAGCAGTCCAGACTGGCGAGTTGCCAGTGCGTTACGAGAAGAACACGGACGAGACGGCCAAGCCGAAAATCATCGAGATGAGCAAACCCAAAGAGGTCCGGGAATTCAACGGCAGAGGGTACATTCTCGAGGAGTCCATCTTTGCTGACGTTGCCATTGTGCACGCGTGGAAAGCCGATGAAATGGGAAACTGTGTTTTCAGGTGAGAGCGGCCAGCGACAGCGAAAATCGGAAGGTGGGGTTAGCTCACCTGCTCGGCATTTACAGATATGCTGCTGGAAACTTTGGCCCAGCATTCGCCAAGAACGCCAAATTGACTATCATCGAAGTGAGTTGTGCTTGCCGAGCGTGCGACATCGCAAGCTCACAGAACTTCTTTCGTTCAGGCGGAGGAGATCGTACCTACCGGGACCCTTGATCCTAACCATATTCACCTACCATCAATCTTTGTCGACCGCATTGTCAAAGCAGCTCACGAGAAGCAGATCGAAGTTGTCACTCTCGCAGAGAAGCAAGGGGAGCCTACTGCTTCCAGCAGTGGAGGCGACAGCACCAAAGACATCGCTCGCCACAGACGCGAGCTGATTGCGCGCCGTGCAGCGAAAGAGCTCAACAATGGTGATTACGTTAATCTCGGCGTGGGTATGCCAACGCTCGTGCCCTCGTTCGTGCCGGATGGTGTCGACATTGTCCTTCATTCCGAAAATGGTATCCTCGGCATGGGTCCTTACCCAACGAAAGAGACTCTGGACGCGGATATCGTCAATGCTGGAAAGGAAACGGTCACTCTCCTCCCTGGTGCTGCAACATTTGAGAGCTCGGAGAGCTTCGGAATGATCAGGGGGGGGCATGTGGACGTGACCATGCTCGGTGCGCTGGAGGTCGACGCATTCGGAAACCTTGCGAAGTGAGCATCCTCCCTGATTGCTTTCCGCCGCCGGAGCCGATATTTTGTCCTTTCTGACCTTTCTGATCCGTATTCCACTGGAAAAATAAGCTTCATGATTCCATCTCGGCTCGTTAAGGGAATGGGAGGTGCAATGGACCTTGTTTCCAGTCCCGACCACACGAAAGTCGTCGTCCTAACCGACCACACAGACAAGGTACGCGATCTTCCCCATTTATTGGCAAGTTGGAGCGAATAATAACAAGCCGAGTTCATTTTGGCACTCTCTCCTTTTGGCACGTGAACAGAATGGCAAGCCCAAGATTGTTCAAGATTGCAAGCTTCCTCTCACTGGCGCACGCTGTGTCAGCCGCATCATCACCGAGCTCGCGGTTTTTGACGTCGACCGCAAGAATGGTGGTCTCACGCTGATTGAGCTGGTATGTCAAAGTACACCTATCCTTGCGCAGAAGTTTCGACGCCACTGACCAGGAACTGCGCCCAATACTCTATCTCGGCTGCTTCCAGATGAGTGATGCGACGCTAGAGGATGTGAAGGCCAAGACGGACGCAGAATTCAATGTCGCTCTGTGAAAGAACCCATAAATGAATGTTCAACGCGACTGGCTAGCCTTGTGAGATTGGCGTTCTGTTGGCGCTGTACATTCTTGTGTGCGAGTATGTACCAGAAGTAGAAAATGGAGAAAAGACCGCAACCCATGCCTCCTGAGAGAAAGGGAGGGTGCCTTCTTGAGGGAAAGTCTTTATCGCTGCGAATGAAATGGCCTCTCTGGCCTTGTCTCACTGCTCACTGCCACCTCGATCTTCGAACCTCTCAGGTCGCAGTCGCGGACCGCAGGTTGAAACTCCTCGTTCCCGACCTATCGAAGAGGCGTGCGGAATGGGCGCGTGTCCAACGCCAACGGCAGCGCACCGCACTATATACCACGACAGACTATGGCCCACGCTTGTGGTTCTTTGACTTAGAGATGGCATTCACCAGTTGGAATCACGCAGGTAATACCCAGGCTCAGCCGACGCCTAATGAAGCAGGCCGGTCTGTGCACCCGGAATACGCTATACGCATCCATGTCAACCTGCAGGTGCAACCCACATCACCTCATTGTTTTCATTGCTAATAGATATATCGGTTCATGGTTCATCCTTATGTCTGCCTGGCGCCAAGCGCGCACTTCGCCTAGACTGACCGGGACAGGCCTCAACGACTTCATATAAGCACCGAGTAGTACGTCAGGCGGCCTGCGGAGCTGTCTCTGCAGACTGCAGCAGTGGCGCAAACGTATTGCCTCGCCTCATCGCCATGTCAGCCAGCTGTAGTTGCAGACTCATCGTCGCAGTAACGCATCGACACTGGATCGGTGGAGTTGAATTCGCTCGCTTTGTGTGCGGAGGATTAGCCAATAGCAAGCGTTTAAACACGCAAGCCTGCTGGAATTGAATTCTGCGAGTGCGTTCTCCAGAGTCGTAGGAATCGAAACATCGGGAGAGGCATGCAATAAAAATGGAGAGTTCCCGGTGGAATGCAGCAGTTGCAAAGGGGCAACTTAAACATAGTATTCTGAAGGATTCTCCAGAAAGTGGGGAATTTGCCACAGGTCGACAACTCTCCTCAAAGCCCGATATGGCAACACGTCTAATTTGTACTTTCATTTTCGTCCAGCGCCACTGAAAATTGCGGTGCGTCGTCTGCGAAGCAGATCCGCGGAACTTGAAACTCGACTTTGCCCACACGAAAGTATTGGCACCAGAGGGAAATGTAAAAGCCACAGGGACGCGGCGACACTGGAGGGGTGGATCTGTTCATGGATCCATGCACGTATACATATACATACATATATATATATATATATATATACAAACGTCAATCGCTTGTTACTACATATTGAACATCCTCTGTTCCAAACTATTCCACTCATTCACAGCAGACCGCCGGCCGTGTGGGAGGATGCAGCACGCCGGATGTGAGTTCCCGCGAGTTGTATTACACATGAAGACGTGAGTATAAACTAAAGTGAAATGTACGGGCGCGAGCCAGTTGCCAAGCCAATTCTGCGACATCTCTCACGTCAATCCTCGGGAACATTAATCAAGTTTGGTTTCAGTTTGCAGCGGAACGTGGATGCTGTCAAACGGGGAGCATAAATATGTCCGCCGGGTCTTCGCGACTACGTCTCCTTGATCAGGTGGTGGTCGCTTTACGCTACATACACTTGGTACCCGCTCTGCGGTGGCCCCTACGTTTCCTTGTCCCTCCCTTATATGAGCAGGGCCGGGTGTCGATCATAGGCTAGCCATTTCACCTACTCAGTCGCCGCTGTTTTCCCTGCTTCAGCCATACGCGCGGCCGTTGCTGGCTATCTGCTTTGCCCTGCCTGCAATTGGTCCCTCTGCTCCATTTTTACGGCTTCCTGAGTGCTTGAACTGCAAAAATCTGCATCGAGCTGGACTGCCAACACGCCTTCTGTTTGTTCAAGCTCATCATCACAGGGTCGCGTTCGAGCCTTCGGAACCGCGTTAATCCCCTTCCTCCCCACGGAGGGAACAACCATGGCTGCAGAACCGTACGCGTCTGCCGTCAAAGGCGCCGAGACGGATGCTAGGGCCACCTTGGTGGCCTCTCCTATCAATTCGTCGGCGGCGGACGACGCGCCTGAAGTCGACATGGCGCTCACTACAGACGCTGACGAAACAGTGACCGTTGCAGAGGATCCTCAAAACCGGCTGACAAAGCATAAGCGTGCCAGCGCCAAAGATATCGCTTCCGCTCTGTCACACCCACACGCTCAACCGCAAGCAAAAGCGCCGGCCAATGCGCCTGGTCTTTCCCATCGTCAAGCGAGTCACATCATTGAGCAGTGCCCCGGCATGCCGGCGCTCACTAAAACGCTCTCGGGCCGCCAGATGCTCATTCGCTCCGGCGATCATGCAGGCATGGCCGAGGTTGTCAGGACATTGACTCAGCAATCTCGTCTTAGTCGCCAACAGAGCAAAGCTTCCGATGCCGAAAAGCAGCAGGATGACCCCCACATGCCCCTTGACGCGCACGGCAACTTCGACCTCGAAGCGTTCCTCAAGAACGCGATGGAGGTCGACAGCACGGGCGAGGCGGACAGCAAGCGTGCGCAGCAGAACATCCCGCGTGACATGGGCGTGGCGTGGAAGAACCTCACTGTCACCGGTGTCGGAGCCAGCGCTACACTTGGCAGCACCGTCGGCTCTGTGCTCATGTCGCCCTTGAACTTCAAGATCATGCTGCAGGCGCTCAATCCGCCTGTCAAGGAAATCTTGCATAACTTCAATGGCAATGTGCGTGCCGGAGAGATGCTGCTTGTTCTAGGGCGCCCCGGTTCCGGATGCACGACCTTCCTCAAGATGCTCGCAAGCTACCGCGACGGATACCGATCGGTCGAGGGTGATGTCCTTTACGAAGGTCTCGATCACAAAGTTGTGGAAGGGCCTCTACGTGGTGAGCTCGTCTATGTGAGTGCAAATGGCCCGCTTCGGGATTTTTATTCAACCCCGCTGACCTGGCTCACTCACCTTTGGTGCGACAGGCCGCTGAAGACGATGTTCATTTCGCCTCGCTCAGCGTGGGCCGCACGCTCAACTTTGCGATCGGAACGCGTGCACCACAAGCGGCCGTGCGTCCGGGCTTTGGCGCCAATCGCAACACGCGCACCAACTACGTTGCCACGATGCGCGAGGTGATCGCGACGACGCTCGGCTTGAAGCATACGTACAAGACGCCGGTGGGCAACGAGCTGATCCGTGGTGTTTCGGGCGGAGAGAAGAAGCGCGTTTCGATCGCGGAGCTGCTCGCTACACGCGCCAGAATCCAGATTTTTGACAACTCGTCGCGTGGCCTGGACAGTAGTACAGCGGTGGAGTTCATCCAGTCGCTGCGAATCCTGGCAAACACGACGCGCACGACGACAATCGCTTCGATCTACCAGGCAGGCGAGCCCATCTATCGCTTATTTGACAAGGTCGTTGTCCTCTACGCCGGCAGGACAGTCTACTTTGGCCCTGTCGACAAGGCTGTCGAGTACTTTGTAGAGATGGGCTACGTTCCGCACGAGCACCAGACCAGCAGCGATTTTCTCGTCAGCGTCACCGACCCACATGCACGCATCGTCCGCAACGGCTACAAGGGCAAGGTCCCGCTCACTGCTGAGGAGATGGAGGCTTACTGGTGCTCGAGCGAGGCTGGCCGCGCGTCCATGGAGGGAGTCGACAACGAGATCAAGCGCATGAAAGGTATCAGCACCGAGGAGGCTGCCGATTACCTTGCCAACGCTCGATTGCAGAAGGCCAAGGGCAAGCGCAAGAGCTCGCCCTTCTTGCTCAGCTGGAGTCAGGAGATTCGACTGTGTATCCAGCGCAGAGCCCAGATCGTCGCCGGCGACATGGCCACTCAAATCGTCCTTGTCGCCGCTACTGCCATCCAAGGTATCATTAATGGTTCTGTCTTTTTAAATCTTCCAGGCGACACGAGTGGCTTCTTCTCTCGCGGTGGTGTTGTGAGTGTGCTTTCCTCTTTTGCTCCGAGGAGGGTAAAGAGCTGGATTGAATTCTTGTTGATTTAGGCCACCAAGAATTGCTGATGCTCTGTTGCTGGCGCTTTCTTCCTTAACTCCAGCTTTTCTTCTTGCTGCTGTACAATTCGTTCATGGCGCAAGCCGAAGTCGGAAATGGCTACATGCAGCGCCCGATCGTGATCCGCCACAAGAAGTTTGCCATGGTTCACCCATCCGCCGACGCACTCGCCAACACCCTGCTCGACATCCCGGTTCGTTTGATCTCCATCATAGTATTTGACGTGCTTCTTTACTTCATGACAGGCTTGGCCCGGACTGCCGATCAATTTTTCATCCTCCTTGCTACCACTGCCCTGCTCACCTACACGATGGTCGCCTTTTTCCGGTTCTTGGCGGCCTCCTTCCGTTCGGAAGCAAATGCTGTCTTGCTTGGTGGACTTGCGATCATTGACTTCTGTATGTTTTTCGCGACATGAAAGCAAGATGGGAGCGCAACTTGCTGACTTTCTCCTTGCTTTTGACAGCACTCTACGCTGGCTACATCATTCCAAGGTGAGCCTTTGCACAATCAACGGGGCGAGCACACCGTGAATACTGAACCTTTTTTTCATCTGCAGACCCTCAATGGTTTGGTGGCGCTGGCTGAGCTACTGTAACCCCATCGCTTTTGGCTTCGAGATCTTGATGGCAAACGAGTTCCGCCGCCTTCGCGTTCCTTGCGCTCTATACATTCCTTATGGTCCAACCGTGAGCGACTCGTTGCGCCTCCATGATGAGTTTAGAGTATGCCGACGCTGACACTCTCCACTCATTCTTCAGTACGCAAACGTGCCCATCGAAAATAAGGCGTGTCCAACTATTGGCGCTGTTCCAGGCCAGGAATTAATTGATGGTAATGCTTACATTGCGCAGAGCTACGGTTGTGAGTTATCTCACTACAGCATCCGCCATGTGCGTTTAATGACCTACTTTTGCGAACAGACTACTGGAGTAATTCCCGCCGCAATGTAGGCATTCTCATCGGTTTCTGGATTGCATTTGTCATATTCTATGCCGTGGCCAACGAGTTCCAGATGGACCCCAGTGCTTCAGGTGGTGTCATGGTCTTCAAGCGCGGTGCCAAGAAGATCCAGGACCAGAACGAGCTCGAACAAGCGGCGGCACGCAATGCCCTCAAGGAAGGCGAACACGGTGACGTTGCAGACAGACTGCACACGGATGCTAAAGAGCCTCCGACCTCGACAGACATTTTTGCCTGGGATCACATCAACTACGATGTTACAATCAAGGGTGGTGAGGTGCGCAGACTGCTTAATGATGTTAGCGGATATGTTCAACCTGGAAAGATGACCGCATTGATGGGCGCATCTGGTGCAGGAAAAACGTAAGTGCCGCGTTGCGTCTGCAGACGCATGCTTCACCATGGACAAACTGATGCCTGTTTGAATTTTACGATCCCTAGCACGTTGCTTAATGTCCTCGCTCAACGAGTCGATGTCGGCGTTGTGCAGGGAGACTTCCTCGTCAATGGGCGGCCACTCCTGGCAAGCTTCCAGGCGCAGACCGGCTACTGTCAGCAACAGGACAACCATTTGCCAACCACGACGGTCCGTGAGGCCCTCGAATTCAGTGCGCTCCTGCGTCAGCCAACTGGGACCAAGGCCGAGAAGCTCGCATACGTTGATGAAGTGCTGGAAATGCTGGACATGCAAGATTGGGCTGATGCCCTTGTTGGAGAAGTCAGTCAAGGTCTCTCGGTCGAGCAGAGGAAGCGTCTTACCATCGGTGTCGAATTGGCGGCCAAGCCAAAGCTTCTCCTCTTCCTGGACGAGCCAACGAGTGGTATGGACTCCTTGGCCGCGTGGAGTATTGTTCGCTTCCTGAAGCGACTTGCAAACGCTGGCCAGTCGATTCTTTGCACAATTCATCAACCTTCTGGTGGGTTGCAATGTTCTTCTCTCGCCACAACGGCGTTGCACTGATACTTCCTTGATGCTCCCAGGTGAACTCTTCTCCCAATTCGACAGACTAATTCTTCTGAAGAAGGGCGGCGAGGTCGTGTTCGCTGGCGACATTCACAACTCGAAGCAGCAATGCGGCAAGCTACTCGAATACTTTGAACCTCGCTCAGGTCGACTCTGTGGCGATGACAACCCTGCCGAGTACATTCTTGAATGCATCGGAGCGGGTGCTGCCGCTAGCACAGACAAGAACTGGAGTGCCATGTACAAGGAAAGCGAGCTGTACATGCAGATGCAGTCTGATCTTGCCAAGATCTTCGCCAGACGCGACGACCCTCAGTTTGATGCAAAAGACGCGGACCTTGCCGCCAAGGAATTTGCGACTGGTTTCTTCACTCAGCTGTGGGCTGTGGAGAAACGCACAATTATGTTTTACTGGCGTAACCCAGTCTATATCTGGGCCAAGCTGGGGCTGAACATAGTTAGCGGCGTCTTCGTCGGAAGCTCTTTCTACGGACAGGGAAAGAAGGGCACGATTGCCTCGCTGCAGAACCAGATCTTTGGCGTCTTTATTGGTCTTGTTCTTTCAGTGAGTGCTCGTTTTGTCGCGAAGCCAACAACGAAACAGGCTTTGTCTCACACACTCGCTTTGGCAGACTTCGTTGTCGCAGCAGCTTCAGCCTGTTTTCCTTCAAATGCGGAATCTTTTCGAAGCTCGGGAGCGTCCTTCGAAGATCTACTCGTGGCCTGTCTTGGTTCTCAGCGCGCTCCTCACTGAGCTACCTTGGAACTGGCTTGGTGGGGTGAGTAGCTGATTCCCTGATACCTTGCTGAAAATAAAGATTGACTGACATGGTGTCAACGGTCTGCTTCCACAGACGCTCTTCTGGATGTGAGTGGTTGAGTGTGGTATTTGCACGGACAGGTCCGGTCTAAAATGAGCTCCCTTTTATTGCTTGGTTTTAGCCCGTGGCAGTTCTTCATTATGGTGAGTATTTGAATTCATTTGGCCAAATGTATGTTCTGACTAGCCCGCGCTTTTTTCGCCATTTGCAGTTCCAAAACTCGAAGGCCTACATGGTGAGTCCCGTAGGCGTGGCTTGGAGCCTCGGAGCGCTTCTGCTGACCCCAGCCTTGGTCATGTTTCCAGTGGTTCATGTACTCGATCATCTTTCAGTCATATTTCGTCACGTTCGCACTTGCCATCGCTGCTCTGTCCCCCAACGCAATGGTCGGCGCGATCATCTTTTCAACCTTCTTCAGTTTTGTCGTATGTTTCCTGGCCTGACGGGCCCCAGCGCATAACAAGGCTTCACTGCGCTCACTTTCCCCTCCCTTTCCCCTTCACAGATCGTGTTCTGCGGTGTAGTCCAACCTCCGCCGCTTCTGCCGCACTTCTGGCGCGTGTGGATGTTCCCGCTATCGCCTTTCACTTACCTCATCGAGTCGCTCATGGGCAACACCCTAGCGGGCACACCGATCCGTTGTGCACCTTACGAGTTTAGCACGATCGTCCCGCCAGCCGGTCAGACGTGCGACCAATACCTTGGCGGGTTTTCGATGCCTCTCGCCAACCTCAGCAACCCCAACGCTCCTCGGATCGGTGTCGGCTACTACACGCAAGAGGCAAATGGGTGCGCCTACTGCCAATACCGCGAGGGCGGAGACTACCTTTCCAGCGTCAACCTGAACGCCGCCTACCGCTTCCGCGACATTGGCATCCTTTGCGCGTACATCTTCTTCAACTGCCTGCTGTTCTTCTTTTTCTTCTGGATCTTCCGGATTGCAAGCTTCAAGAAACAGCGCAACAGCAAGCTAGCGACGACAATGCCGGGCAACGGTGCACAGCAGGCGGTCGAGGACACAGTCGAAAGGGGACAGGATCGCTTCGCAGACACTGAGCTCGGTGCGGCCACACTTTCCCCACAGGCCACCGACACTGGTTCGCAGGCTGCAAAGTCCTCGTCTTGAACTCTTTTTACTCTGGGTCCGACTTGTGAACGGTGTTCTCGGACTCCTCTCGTAGGCTTATGATGCGCTTCTGAACCCAAAAGCCGGAAGGAGTGGAGTTTAAAATCAACCATCAAATAGGGCTTCGCCCCTTATCTTCCTTACATGCGTTGCGCTGTTTCTTTTAGTCGCGTCGGCTGTCGACCCAGATTTCATATTGGGGGGTGGGGGTGACACTGGGCACGGGGCAGATGGCTCTGATTGGGCTTTTAGTGGGCTCTTGATCGCAGTTCCGGCGGCCTGAGGCAGGCCCTCAGGGTGATACTTGCGAGTTGCAACAGTGGTGCAGTACTCAATAGATCAGAGTCATCGTTCCCGCCTCTCTCAGCCCTCGGGCTTACAACCTTCAACTGCAGCTCCCGGCCGGAGGGTGGCAGATGGGAGTTGGCAGCAGCCGAGTTTTCTGCATGCTTAGACCGCTGTCGTTCAACAGGCGCGCAGTGGGTCGCTCTCCCCGCTTTATGCAACGTCGCTTTGCGGGCGGACACTGCTCCTGCGCCGGCCGCCACACAAGAGGGCTGCTGATGTGCGCTCACACTGGTTCTGTTCTGCCGCGAGAAGTGCCTATTCCCAACGTTCCAACTACGGTTGCAAACTGTGATTGTGCCTCTCATGTTGGTCACGCATGGGATATTCTTTTTTTTTTGCGGTTAGAGTGTTGTGATGGGAACTGGCCCACAGCGCGATGAGGTCTGCCGGGAGATGCCTTTGGAGTGGCTGTCGCGGCTCTCCTTGTACCCTCGCCAGTCCATCCAGGTCATCGACGGTTGAGCGTGGCACCCACCACCACCAACCACAAGTTCTGGCGAGCAAAACGCCGTCACCACCTTCTGCTCGTAGTCACTCCAACCTCCTGTCCCCCTCGTTCGTATCCATTCATCACAATTTGATCTGTTGATCAGACCTTCTTACTTTGTATCTCCAACCTCCATCTTTATTCGCACCACCCTCCCTCCCCCCCCCCCCCCGCCATCGCCTTGTACAGTCTGCGTGCGTTTGGCTCAACATACCTCGCCGCATCCTACTCGCTCTTTTGACTACACTCTTTGCCTCACACTCAGCTTCTAGCTTTGCGGCAGAAGCTTTCCAGCGCCTTTTCGCCTGTCCACCGACTTGCCCTTTATCTATCATCTTATCCAAAGCATACACAGACACAAAACACGAAGATGCAGTTCAAATCCACATTCGTCATCCTGGCTGCCGTCGCCGTCAACG